AGCCGATCGACAACTGCGGCTGGGGGCGGCGGGGGCGCGGGGCGGGGCGGGGCGGGGCGGGGCAGCGGCTCTCCTCGCGCTGCGCCGAGAGCTCTTCCTGCTGCTTTGTTGTCTGCCGCTGCAGCCTCTCGTTGCAGGCCCGCTCCGAGAGCACCTCGTTCGCGAGGAAGGCGCTGTCCTGCGCGCCCGCGCGGCCGCGCTTGGCGGGGCGCGAGGAGTCCGAGTCGGACTCGGCGGCGGATGGCGGGAGCGGCGCGGCGAGCGACGAGAGCCGCGCGAGCGGGTACCGCTGCGCGCGCGAGAAGGTGAGCGTATCTCCCTCGGCGACGTCGACCTCGCCATTCTTGCCGATCAGCTTGCCGTTGATGAAGGTCCCGTTCGACGACGTGTCCACCAGCCGCACGCGGGGAAGCTCGGTGCCCGACTCGGCGCCCACGCAGTGCAGCGTGCAGTGCGCCGAGGAGACGAACGGAACGGGGATGACCACGTTTGCCTGGTGGGTGCGCCCGACAACGATTGCGCTCGCGCCCCTGAGCTCCACGACACGGGGCGTCGCGTCCGCCTCGTCGACGATCTCGAGGGCGCCCCACGACTGGCCCGCCATGTGTTCAGGCGCGTTGCAGTGTGTCTCCGAGAGAGGGCAAAAGGGCCTGCGAGTTGGTGAAGGCCGCCAGTTGGAGGGAAGCCGGGAAAGAAATTTACCACTCAGCCCTCGCACTGGCACGGGAAAGAAAGAATTCGTGCTGCCCGCTCTTGCGGAAGAGGGAGAAGAGCGAGGGGGAAGGGGCATACGCCGCATCGGCGGCGTTCCACTCCGTCCTCTTCACAATCTACTCGAGCTGGCAAGGCACACGCCGGGCGCGAGTAAGGGCTCCAGATGAGGTAAGTCAGAGAGTTCATAGGACGGCACCCCTACCCCTCCCGCCGTTTTAGGGCCTACCCACCCGCACTCCAGTGCCCGACAGCCTGACAGCGGTCAGCGGTCAGCGCTGACAGCACTTTCTCCGACAGCCTGACAGCACGTATCTGACAGCCTGACAGCCAGGCGAGGTGCTCCGTCGCTGTCAGGCCCTGAACGTGACAGCCTGACAGCTGCCCGACAGCCCGACAGCGGACACAGATCACAGTGGGCCTGACAGTAGCGCTGACAGCCCGACAGCCCGACCAGCCCGACAGCAGCACAGACCGTACACAGACCGTACAGCCTCTTTCTTGTGCCCCATGAGTCAGTCAGTCAGTCTTACACACCTCCTAGCACTCCCATGACGAAAACGAAACACGCACCAGGCGACTGCCTGAGAACGCTGGATCGAATCGAGGAGGCACCTAAAGCAAAATCGAGCCCGCTTCAGGTGAGAAAAAATAATATAGTAAGGGTCGGAGCCGGTTTCGAACTGGCGACCTTCACCGCTCGCGGAGAAGGGAGCCAGCCAGAGATCGGTTCATGTGAGAGGGGGGCCGTACGTGGCGGCCTATATAGCATAAAAAAAAATAAAATAATATAAATAAAAAACCGGGGGAATTAGACACCACAGATACGCACACACCGACGCCCGAAGTGCCAAGAAGGACGTCATTAGTACGAAACCTCAGAAGGCCATGGGCGCCGAGAGAACATTCCCCCGAGAGCACAGAGAAAGGCAAAACCGAACCTCCTTCCCTGGTTCCCCCCGCCAAATGTCGCCGTTCTCGGGGCATGCTATCCTGTGTAAGCAGGGCAGGTGGGGGAGGGGGGCACTCCCCCTGGTCTGATACTGGGGTGTGACTGTCTCTAGCGTCGGAGGCAAGGGCGAAGCTAAGAATATTTAATTTTTTTTTTACACACCTCCTAGCATGGAGGACGGGCCCAAACCCATGAGGGTTTGACAAAACTCTTACATGCAAAGACATGTGAGTGTGGTCCATGTAGTCATGGGAATTGGGATGGTCATGGGTCTCTCTGACTCTCAACCCTCCCGCCTCACCTCTGCGGACCCTAGCACCGGCGGCTGTGCTACTACAAATGAAGCTACCAGCTAGCCTTCTGGGGCCCTACAGTATGTGCCTACGGCGTCTGGGTGGGGGTGGCCGCCGCCGCCTGTGCCGCCGCCGCGGCCTGCGCCTGCGCCGCCATCTGCGCTCCCCAGGAGACCTACTGTGTGGATCTACTCTCACTGGCTGCGGTCTCCTCTTGATAGTGTCATAAGTGTGGCTGGTGAGTGTCAGAGCCTGACAGCACCCCAACAGCACCACCTGACAGCACCTGACAGTACCGGCCCTACGTCTGACAGCAGCAGCAGCCTGACAGCTCTGACAGCTCCGACCGCGTCTGACAGCACCACCCGACAGCTCCGACAGCACCTGACAGCACCAGAGCACCTCGCCTGTCAGACAAGCACCGGACAGCACCCGACAGCACTGACAGCACCTGACAGCTGGTCTGACAGAGGCACCTGACAGTGCCGGACAGTGCCCGACAGCCCGACAGATCACCTGACAGCACCTGACAGCCTGACAGCCAGGGCTCAGCGCATGCCGGCGGATGCCGGTGCGGCTGCGGGTGTGTACACTGTGCTCTCTCCCTTAGTCCCTTTTCTCCCACCAGTACGTACTTTTAGGGCCCTTATAGGGGCCCAGAGAAGACAACCGGCTCTCCCCTTTTCTACTCCCAGTAAGCTAAGTACGTACGTATATACGAGCGGTCCAGAGAGATCCTATATACAGGAGATATTACGGGGGCAGAGAGCCACACATGGACACAGACGTATATACGCCGGCAGATAGCCGGAGGCGGCATGCGGGGAGATACGAGGAGATGCGAGGACCGGCGATGGCCCCGATGCGCGGGCAGCGGGGACGAGATATACGGGGATCGAGATATATAGAGAGGGAGATATAGAGTAAGAGAGGGAGATACCGCAGGAAAGAGAACCCGGCCACACCAGGGCTTTCCTCCGTGCTCCGACGAGTCCGACCCACCTGCACTGGCGTTGCTATATAGAGGCGGAGCAGTCTGCTCTAGCCTCACACGCTTGCCGCCCGGCCGCGCTCGCGCTCCTTCGGTGGACTCGGGTCGCTGTGTCGTGTGACGTGTGTGTGTGCGGCGCACACCGCCACGAGACCGTGCCGCGCGAGTTTCGCGAGAGAGGAGTGTTTTGCTCAAGAGAGCACAAGACGGCACGAGTTCGATTTCGAACACGCACGCCCTCGTTCACCGAAAATCGCCTCAGCTACTTAGAGCCCTTCCAGCGCTTGGAGTGTAGACTCTGCGTCAGCCCCGCGGGGAGAAGCGCATCGCAGTCCCACTTCCAGCGCGCCCCGCGCCCCCGAGCCAAGCCCTCCGCGCGCACGCAGATCTCGCGGAGTGTCACGTTGTAAGCGATGCCGGCCGGCGGCCACAGCAGCGTGCGGCGGTAGTGCCAGAGCGCCTTTTGCTTTTGGACGAGCGTCTCCTCGGGGAGGCGGGCGAGGAGCGCAGGCAGGCGCGGCAGCTCGCGCTGGTCCACGCCGAGCAGCGCCATCCCCTCCCAGGGCAGCACGCGATCAAACCACGGCGACACCTCGCTCGAGGCGAGGAGCGGCACGCAGCCCGCCAAGACGGACCAGAGCAGCCGGATCCCCCAGCCGACGCCGAGGGGAGCGAGGCAGACCCGCGCGTCGGCCCAGTCGTCCTCGTAGCTGGGCGAGCGGGCAACCACCTTGAATCCGTCCGCCTTGCGCAGGTGCTTCCACACGAGCTGCCGCACACCCTCCGAGTACGCCTCCCGGCCGAGGTCGTCGTCGGTACGCTGGTCGAAGCCGGGCAAGTGCGAGTCGGGCACGTTGCCCGCAAAGAAGAAGCGGAGCGCGCGCGCCGCCAGCGGCCGCCGGCCGGCGCGCAGCAGCCGCTCCTCGGTCGCGAAGGGCAGCTTGGGAGGGGCGGCGACGTCCTTGCTCGCGACGCCGCACCGCTCGTTCGTCCGCCGGTACCCGCCCGACCTGTTCGCCTTGATGTAGTGCGCCACCGCCACCGAGTGGCGCGTCTCCCTAAGCTGGTTGAGCTCGCAGCCGCCTCCGTCGGCCGTCGACCACCAGAGGTGGTTCGCGCCGCCCGAGGCGGTCCACCACGGGTGGTGGGTCGCCACGTGCCGCTGCGCGTGCGAGTAGTACTCGCGCAGCGCCTCCATGTTCGTCGCGAACGCCGGGACCAGGAAGAGCGCCGCCTCGGCCGGCGAGCGGGCGAGCGAGGGCGCGTCGGCGAGCAGCGCCTCCAGGAAGGCGTGGTGCGTGTTGAAGATTGGGTCGCGGTCCGACGCAAAGGCGCGGCGGCGCAGCACCACCGGCGGCAGGTCGTACACGTACACCGTGGGGCGCCGCCCGCCGCCGCCGCCGCCGCCGCCGCCGCCGCCGCTGCCGCTGCCGCCGCCGCTGCCGCCGCCGCCGCCGCCGCCCCCGCCGAGCGCACAAGCTGGCCCGTAGGAGCCTCCGCGGCAGACGCAGAAGCCGTCGACACACTCGCCCCTGCCGGAGCATCCGTTCCAGCAGTGCGGCGACGAGTGGCGGTGGCAGGTCTTGCCAAAGTAATACGAGTCGCATCGGCAGGCTGCGCTAACTCGCCGGGGGCTTGCCCGCTGCGGCGCGACGGCGGCGAGGCAGCCACCCCGCTCGCTGCAGCGGTCGATGCAGTTGGAGAGAGGCAGATGCTGCAGTTTGGGCGTGAACTCGTGCGTGAGGGCCTCGAGTCGCGTGGCGGCGCGCAGGCCTTTCCGGCCGCGCCAGCCCGCCATCGGATTCCACCGCCAGAAGAAGGCTGATTCGGTGCTCGGGATGTCGGAGAGCGGCTCGGCGTCGGCCGTTGTGAAGCAGTACCTGTACATGTGCGCGACAAACGCACCCGCTGCGACACACTGCTCAAGGCACTCGCAATGCTGAGGACGGCCGACGGTGCATGAGACGGCGGTCGAGCCGACCGCCGCTCTGCAGGCCGGCAGCGAGTCGGAGTCGCAGCGGGTCCCGTTCCTGCCGATTGGACATATGCACCGCTCCTCCACAGGGTTCCAGTTTGAGCCCGCCGCGCAGTGACGCTTGCTGCTCAGATCGTCAATCATGGATGCAGCAGCAGCAGCAGCAGTGGCAGGGAGAGAAGTGCGACGCGTGTTCGCGCGGGGTAATTCTTTTGTTTTTTTGCCCTTCTTGTAGAAACAAGAATACGAAGTGGCCCCGCGAGCGGGGAATAGGACCGCCGCAAGCGGCGTGGCGTGGAGCGGTTGTGCATCCCTCCGGGGGCCCCTCTGCGCCGGGGAGGCGTTGTTGGAGGCTAGGACGCAAGCGTCCGTCGCCTTTTTCAAACTCGGGGCCCACTCCGCTGCGCTCCGACCCGAATTTGGAGGGCCATGAAGTTTAAGGTGTTGCTGCGCAAAAGGGGCGGGGCGCGGGCGCGCGCCGGGCGCACCGAGAGTTCTTTTTGGAGATCAGACCTTTCGATGGTTCATGCCTTCTATGTCTATCTACATGTATCATGCTTCATGACACGACACGCGGTGGTGGGAGCTGGTGGAGCTGTCAGCTGATCGATCCAAGCGGGTGGGGAGTGGGGGGCATGGCTGGGCATGCAGGTCCGCCAGTCGGCCCGGCCTCTGACGTGGTGCTGCCGCTGCATTCGCTGAAGAAGAGAGGTGCGACGGCTTGATTTGGAGGCACTGGAGGCGAGGGTGGGGAAGGGAAGGTTGGGCCGGGCCGTGAGGGGCTGATCTGATGGCGCTGGCCAGCGCGGGGTGTGAGATGCCGTCGCCGTCGTATACTGCTGGCCCTCGCCCTCAGTTGCCAGGGCTGTCCTGTGGGCTGCAGAATTGGCGTCTGTGGCGTCTACGCAGGCTCTGCAGCGTGATGGCTGGCGGGACTGCGAGGCCGGCGGCAGCGGAAGGAGAGGCTGGGCACGAGCCAGGAACAGGCTGGCCAGGTCCGCAGGTAGCTGCGCTCGGGCGAGGCGCGCGCGCACATGGCAGGCCGAGCAGGCTCGGCATATATGGTGAACCCCCGATGTCGCGATGGCCGATGGCGGTCCCGATTTTCCGCGATCATTTCGTCCGTCCAATCGAAGGAAGCGCTGGATCGCCCATGTTTAGCGTTTACCAAACTTGAACCGACGTTTTTCAATGTACGTACTTTTATTTAGCTTACTGGGACAAAAGGGAGAGGGGGTTGTGTTCTCTAGGCCCCTAAGGGCCTACGCGCGGCGTGAGAGCTCGGAAGCGAGCTGTGTCAATGTATGTGGCTCTTACGTACATTCCCGGGGGAGGACTGCTGACAGGGTTTGTGATGAGGAGTGACCCGAATTTTTCGTCCCACGTTCCGTGGTTTTTGCACGGTATTCGGATTTTCGCTATTTGGTCGTGTGGGTGTGTATTCCGGGATTAGTCAATGGTACCGCGTCGGCGACGCGGGCGCCTTGCGGGCAGAGCGTTAGCCAGCCTTTGTGTTTCGCGGTCAAACGAAAAACCCGTAGCTGTGAGCGCTGTCAGAGCGGTGTTTCGACACCGATATCGTTCGAGGACACCTCACAGGTAAGTGTAAGCGGAGCAGCTGAGTAGATACAGCGAATCCTGTGTGTTCACACCTGCAAGAGCAGGTGTGAACCGATTTCGGCCTTAGCCGTATGCCAATAGCGTGCTAGCCACCCGTCACAATTCGCGGCATATACCCGGGTGGCGACGCCCCCCGCTCGGCATGCTCCCACATAGCGGTCCACGCAAGCGCGACCGCGTCGTTGTGGTCAGGAGTACGACCGCGCTCCGCTGCGCGCTTATCGTGGGGTCGCTCGTGCTAGCCTGCATGCTCTTCGCTGCTTGGGAGGCTCGAACGAGTGCAGCCAGCACAGCCGCAGCACGCCGCGCCTCGGCCCTCGCGGCCCATCACAACTCGCTAGCGCTCGTCCGCCGCGCGCTCGAGCTGCAGATCGAGATCGAGTCGCATGAGGCTCGCGGCGGCGATTTGCTGGCGCTCTACCTCCAGCTCGATCGAGAGAGGCTGCCCGCACTCGAGGCCGCGGTCGAGGCGGCCCTCGACGGCTGCGACGGCTGCGTTTCGGGGAGACGGAACGTCTCGGCGCTGCTGCACGCATTCCTCGGAGAGACGCACGCGCGCGCCCAAAAGGCGCTCGACGACATCGACCGCAGAGGCACGCGCAGCCGCGAGCGCGCTCACCAGCTCGCCTCCGAGGTCGCAGCGATCGCCCGGGCCGACCGAGAACGGCTTCGGTCTGAGCCGCTTGGTGCGGCCGACATCGGTTGGGCGGTGGATGCGGAGCTGCAGGTGCCGCTCCGCGCGCTCGCCGTCGCGCTGCGCAGGCCGAACGCGACGTTTGAGCTCGGTCCTGCCGCGCTGCGCGAGTGGGGCGAGGCGCTCACTGCAGCGAGGCGCGAGGGGAGGCCCACCGCAGCGACCCTCGGGCGGCTGGCCCGCCTCGTCGCCGCCGCGCCGATCGATCCGGGCCACCGCGGTCGCGCCGCGGTCCTCTCTGCTGCTCGGGCGGCTGGAGCGTCTGGAGTGGCGGTCGGCGAGGGCGAGGCGGCCGCGGGAGGCGAGGCCGGAGGCGAGGCTGGAGCGGTCCCCGCGTTTGAGTCGCTCCTGCTGCGAGCCCGCTTCCACCCGGAGGCGTCCGGCCTGGAGCGGATGCTGGCGAGCTGGGAGGAGGGGCGCGGCTCGGTGTGGGACGTCGTGGAGGAGGTCGAGCGGCTGCGCGAGGCGCGCGTGCTGCCGGTCGACATGCTGCGCCTCCACGAGCACGAGTGGGCGGGGATGGTGCACGACGCTTCGGGCGGCCGGATCGGGCGTGGCGACCATTCCTTCGACGCCGAGGAGGGCTGACGGCCGAATCTCTCCCGGCATCGTCCATCAACGGTTGGTAGGACAGCTCCGCTGCTATAAGGGGCCGGCGCGCGTTCAGGCGTTGGTTCTCCACGGGAGCTCGCTCGTGATAACGTCCACGTTAGGGACATGTAGGTCATGTGAATACACTCGGGACGGGGGGCCCACATCGAGAGTCTGTTAGAGCACATACAAAGGGTCATAGGGTAAGAGAGTGGGGACCACACACGCACATATATAGCGTAGGGTCCGACACACACACGTAAGTGGGCGCGCAGGACAGGAGATGACGGCACGCTGGAGAGAGCGTCGCACACAGACACACCGACGAAAGAAGTGAGAGCGAGAGTCGAGATATCTACTGAACTCTCTGATGATCACAGAGTGCCCCCCCCGGCTCCGCCCTCGCCCCCGCGGCGCGGCGCGGCGGTGCGCGGCGGTGCACCACAGATGTCAGATCGTGTGTGTTTTACGGCACACGTGTTAGAGATACAACGTTGCGGTGGACACATACTGAATTATTGCACGATGTGAGATGTACAGAGCTAGCCATTACGGGCACGTATGGCCAGCCTCTTGGAGTGTGAACGCGTCGCGTCTAGGGTTGATGTGTACTCCCCGCCGCCGACGCGTCGCGGTAGCCGGTACAACCCCCCGCCCGCGCTCTCGCTGTGCCTCGGCGCGCCTTGCGCGCGCGGTCGATGCGACCTGGATCAGAACCTCTCACCATCAGAGATATCGGACCGACGAAACCTCAATCGTTCGGGTCGGGGGCAGACCAAAGAATCTCATAGGCTCCCTCTGATTGAGAACCATGCGCCGGTACAGCGCGATTCGGGCCTTTGTGAAGCGCGAGTGGCCCGCACGCGTCACATAGTTGAAGCGGTTCAGGAAGAAGGTAACGTGGTGCGGCTCCCCTTCCATCCTCGGTCCCAGCTCCTGTCCCGGCCCCTTGCCCGCCGCACCTTCCTCCTCCGGCCGCACCTGCGCCGGGCTCATGCCCGCAGCCACGTCGTCCGCGTCGAGATCCACATTGACTGTGAGGGCGAGATCTCGCAGCGCCGGGTACGTTGCGACGTGCCGGGCAGCCACTTGGGCGAGGGCGGAGCGAACGCGGCGCAGCGCGCTGAGCGGTTCAGCATACCCAAAGTGAAGGACAACGCGGTAGACCCCCGCCTCCACGTCAAAGGGGTCAAAGGTCGCGCGATCCGCTGGGTCGACGAAGGGCACGCTGACGAACTTGACGGTTAGGAGGACGAGGGTCGCCGGAAGGCAGTTGAGGGCTCGGGCCACCGTGGAGAGCGACTGCGGCACCTTCCACACATACGGCGTGAGAAAGACGGCAGTCGCGTCAGTGCGCGTCAGCGACGAGAGCCGCAGCGTCTTAACCAGCGCCTCGGCAGTGGAGATACGTGGGAGGGCCGGAGCCGGGGCCGCCCCATGATGCGCGCGTGTGCCCGCGAGCATCAGGTCGGACGATTGAGGCGTGTCGAGGGCCCTCAGCTCCTCATCCGCCGCTCGTGCGAGTCCCTTCTTCTCCCGTAGGCGGCCCCAGTAGTGCGTGTGCATGGCGAGGCAAGCGCTCGCCGCGAGCAGCACCGGCATCCAGCCCCCCACCCCGGTTCCGAGCTTGACGAGGTTGGACGTCCAGAAGAGCACATCAACGCAACAGAGGGGCGCAAGGAGCACGGCCCAGGGCAGGAGCCGCCACCCCCACACGCGCCACACCACCACCGACAGGAGGCAGGTCGTCACCAGCGCATCGCCAGTGACGGCAATCCCATAGGCGGCAGAGAGGCGGTCGGTGGAGCGGAAGGCGAGGACGAGAGTCACGCACACCAAACCGAGTAGTCTTCCGGCTTCGGGGATGTAGACCTGGCCCTTTTCCTTCTCCGATGTGTGCAGGACCCGAATCCGAGGGATGAACTCGAGGGCGTGCGCCTGTGCGAGGAGCGTGAAGACGCCCGAGATGAGCGCCTGCGAGGCGATGCACGCGGCGAGCGTGGCGAGCCCGAGCACCGGCCACTGGAGGGTGGATGGCACGGCCGAGTAGAAGGGGTGCGTCTCGGCCCACTCGGAGGCATGCGCGATCAGGTGCGTCGCTTGCCCCGCGTACTGGATAACCAGGCTCGGGTAGACGAGCGCGAGCCACGTGGCGGTGATGGGCGCCGCGCCGAAATGCGCCATGTCGGCGTAGAGCGCCTCGGCGCCCGTGACGCAGAGCACGACGCCGCCCAGCGAACGCCAGGCATCCACGCCCCTGTAGCGGCCGACGGCAAAGAATGTGTACAGCGCCCTTGGATGGAAGCCCTCGGCAACACGGGCTGCGGCGGCGGGGTGCAGTGTGATGCTGCGCACTCCGAGCCCGCCGATCGTGAGGAACCAGAGCACCATGACAGGGCCCGCGACGAGGCCGATCACCCTGGATCCGTGCCTCTGCACCGAGAAGATCCCGACGATGACGAGCGCGGCGATCAATGTGCGCACCGCCTCGGGGCTGATGGGCATCCGAGGCAACGACTCGAGCGGCAGGCCCTCGAGCGCGCCGAGCACCGACATGGCGGGCGTGATTGCGCCGTCGCCGAGGAGGAGCGAGCAGCCGAGCATGGCGACAAAGGTAACGGTCGCCTTTGCGCGCGGTCCCAGCGGCGTCGGCGAGCCGGAGAGTATGGTCTGCAGCAGGGCAAACGTGCCTCCCTCGCCATGGTGGTTGACCCGCATGACGATGCCGACATACTTGACGCAGACGATGAAGGACATGGCCCAAAATATGCATGCGAACGTCCCTACAATGTCCGCTTCCGACGGCTGCGCGTGCAGCTGCTCGTTGTAGATGGACTGGAAGACGTAGAGCGGCGAGGTGCCAATGTCGCCAAACACGACGCCGGTCGCGCCCAGCGTTAGCACGGCAAAGTGGCCGACGCCTCTTTGGCGCTTGCTCGGCGAGAACCGTCGGCCGACCAGCGGCTCGGCCAGGTCGCCGCCCATCCTGCAAACGCAGGGGCGGCCGGAGGTTCCGAGCGCCTTAATTATTTTTGTGGGAGGGAGAATTCTTTTTCGATCGATGTTCCAGGGTCCGGCTCCTAGCCGGGTAGGGGGTCTGTCCACACTGACTCGCGCCAAAACGCCCCACCTACCTACCTAAACCTATCCCCAGGCTGCTGCCGCGCAGCGAAGCGAAAAGAAAGAGAAGTAAAGGGCGAAAATAGGAGGGGGTACCTACCTATTGCAGGCTGGGTGCAGGGCCCTATGGGCCAAACAAGACCAACCTACCTACCTATCTGGGAGGGGCCAGCCAGTGTGGGGCCTGGAAAGAAGGCCCGCGCGCAGGGGGGTGGGGCTCTGGGGCATTGAGACCGGTCATGAATGAGTGCGCGACACGCATGTTGCGAGCAGCGTTGTTGATGTTCTGCGTCGCCACAGACGGCGGCGCGCGAGAGCTGTTGCGAGTGGTGTTCACACCTGCCCAACCATTCGTGTAGTATAGAGCCAGGGCCCACTTATAGCTCGCATCACCGACTGTAGTCGACTGTAGGATCTCCGAGGTAGTGCTCATGGGCGCGAGCTCGGCGCTACTGGAGCCGCTCAATCCGGATGAGGTCCTGTGCCGCGCTGTGCAGGGCTCACCGCACTCGCGCTCGTCTGCGTGGCGTTCCATGTCCTCGGCAGACCCTTTGCAGTCCTTTGACCGCTTGCTCGACCGCGACGGGACGTTTCGGCAGTCTAGGGGCCGGTTCAACATCGTCAGGCGGCTGCCTCGCCGCATTTCGTGCTCCTTTTACTTGGAAGACTGGTTTCATTCGCTCGTCAACACGCGGATCCACCGCATCTTCCTCGTGCTCGTCCTCTTCTACTTGACGGCCTATTTCGGCTTTGCGTTCGCCTTTTCGTTGGTCGACGACGTCTGCCTGCCCGACTATTACAGCGACCACCCCGGCGACGGCGTCAAGCGGTTCGTGCGAAGCCTCTACTTTTCGCTCGAGACGATGATGGCCATCGGGCACCGTGCCTCATGCAGACGCTCTGCCATGTCCACGCCACGCCCGCGATGTTCGTGAGGTATGCCACGTAGGTACGGCTCCAAGGACCCTGCGGCGGGAGGCTGCATCCTCATGTGGGCTCTCGTCACCGCCGCGAGCTTGTGCGGCGTCTTCGCGCAATCCTTCCTGTTCGGGATCGTCTTTGTGAGACTCTCGCGCGCCGACGCCCGCGCGTCGACGGTCGCCTTTTCCTCGTGCGCCATCGTGCGAGCGGCGCACGGTGCCCTCTTCCTCGCCTTCCGAGTCGCGGAGATGCGGAAGCGGCACCACCTGCTCGGTGTGCGGGCGCGGGCATACGCCTTTGTCGACATCGGGGACGGCACCGAGTGCTTTCCGCTGCCGCTCGAGGCACCCGCCCCTTCGGGCGACCTCCTCCTCGCCACGCCCGCGCTCATCGTCCATCGGCTCGATGACCTCTCCCCGCTCGTCCCGCCGCACCCCTCCGCCAAGCCGGCGGCGCGGGCAGTGGCGCCGCCGCCGCCGCCGCCGCCGCGGCTCCACCCGGTGCGGCTCGTGTGCGGCCTGATGTCGGTGGCGGGGTCGGTGGCCGGGGAGGAGGAGGGGCGGACGGCGCATCTCCGCAGTCGGATGGAGCAGATCCGCGAGCACATGCGGGCGCAGAGCGTGGAGGTGCAGCCTACCTGCAGCCTACCCCCTCCGCCCTCCCGCCCGACCCCCCCTCCGACCTCCCATCCTGCCTCCCGCCCCGCCCGCCGCCGGCAGGTGCTCGTCCTCCTCGAAGGGACCGACGCCACGACCTCGTCCGCCGCGCAGGCGCGCCACCCCGCGAAGACATCGCTCACCCCAGCCCCCGCCCCTACCTGCCACCCGACCCCGACCCCAGGCGAGGCACTCGTACACCTCCTAGACACTTCCTAGACACTTCCTAGGCGAGGCACTCGTACACCGCCCACGACATCGCGTGGGACTCGACCTTCGCGCCGTGTACGCGCCGGGTCGGCGCCTCCTCGGACGGCGGCCCCGGCCTCTCGGTTGACTTTCTTGCGCTGCACGCCACCCTGCCTCTCGTGCCGGGGCTCGAGCTTCCTCCCGACGCGGAGCTCTTCCGACTGGCGCAGCCCGGCGAGCGAGCGTCCCCCATTGGCGCCCCGCCGCCGCTGCCGGCGAGGACGGCGGCGGAGACGCGCCGGCCGACGGCTTTGGCGTGAGATGGGTGGCCTCCCGCGCGCGGCGCGGCACTGTGTGAGAGCATGGTTGCGTGGCATGCATGCTATCAGAATGGCATGCGCATTTTGTTACATAACTTCTGTGCGAGAGTGCGGCAGAGTGGATTTAGGAGAGGCTCCCACGCGGCTCGAGGCGCAATGTTCTCCTCCTGGTCGGGTCGAGGCCGGGGCTTCCCGCCGAGCGGCCTCCATCAGCGATGCGAAGTCGGCAAAGCTCACGCGTCCGTCTCCGTCCGAGTCGACCTGGCAGAAGAGCAGCCGCACAGTTGCGGCAGGTATGTGTGGCGCCACCTCGCCTGCCGCATTCCGCAGGTCGTCGAGGGTGATGTAGCCGTTGCAGTAGGGATCAAGCGCAGAAAAGTGTCGCCGCACGCTGTCATGCCAACGGTCTGGATTCGGTACCTAGGTACCCGGGTACTTCATTGGTATCGTACCATCGGATGTAGAGCAAGCCTGCTCTAGCCTCGCATGTCACTTCCTGTTGTCTGTTGTGTCGTTGTGCCCTTGTTTGTTTCTCTTGGCACCGTGGAGTGCTGGGGGGGGCGACAGGGAGGATATGGCCTTGAGTTATGTGTACGCCGACTCAGGGTGTGTGGCAGCCCGCTGGCTGTGTGTCTTGTGAGCTTGTTTGTGTCTGTGTGTCGTTCGTGCGTGTCGTCATCATCTGTCTCGCGTCCACCCATACCGCGTTGGTGTCCAGTCCGAGCCTGGCTGTTCTTCACCTTTCTACCTACCTACCTATCGGATGCCAGATCATACCCCAGGGCTATACCCTGATACCCTCTTGAGAGGACCCGCATTGGGCCCCTAGAGGATAGGCTGATACCCTCGTGGGTTACCCTTCACACCGGACACGAGCCCCCTCTTCACACCTCTTCGCGCGCTGCGCGCGCGCCAAGTCAGACAACGCGAGCGCACCACTAAGCAATGCGCTGGGCGAGGAGGGCGCTAATGGTGGCCGTCGTCGCGTTTGACGGGCCCGCGGCCGCAGCCGGTGCGGCTGCAGCCGCGGGAGGGGCCGCGGCCTGCACGGCTGCGGCCTGGGCCGGCGCCGCGGGGGGCGCGGGGTTAGGCGCCGTGGCGGGCTCCGCTGCGGACTCGGTGTCCCCCGCCGCCGCCCCCATCGCCTGCGCCGATGCGAGCTGCTGGCGCGCAAACTCCTCGCGGGAGGGAAATGCGAAATCGTTCTCGAAGTCAACATGGCACCGGCAACAAAATCCGGTGAATTTCCGAAACAGCTGGCTTTGCCGAAACGAGGAGGCGTGCATTGCGCGCGCAACAGCTGGTGGGCGTGGCGCGCGGGTACGGCGGAAGCGCAAAGAGTTTGAATGATACCGGGGCGCACCATGCGGGAGGGCTCGGTCCTCGGTGAGAGGTGTGAATTGTCGCTTCGCTGCGCGGCCGCCGATGATACCTTGATACCCAGCCGAGTTGGGTCCCCACAGAGGCCTAGAGCATACCTTGATACCCCCTCGAGAAGCATACGATGATACTATACCAAGCTGAAGTACCGAATCCTGACGGGTCAATATCTAGATAGGCCCCGGCGAGGTGGGTGCGGGTGGCGGCGAGCGCTTTCTTTCTGTAGCACGCGCCAGTTCGCACCTGTGTCGAGCCTGTCTGCTAAAGAAAGAAAGAAAACAGACAACCCAAGGGAGGGATGGGAGGACGGCACGCCGCCACCACACAGGGATTTTAAGGAGAGGTGTGTGGTGCGCTATCCGTCGCCCACCCTAGGGAGTCTGCCTCTTCCTATCTCTCTTCGCAGTCTCTCGCCGATTCTCGCTGCAACCTTCATGCCACCTCGCGGTCGTCCCACCCTCGTCGTTCTCTCCCTTGTCACTTCCTCCTCTGCCTGTCTGCTGTGAGAGAGAGTTCTTTGGTTTAAATTCTTTCTGTGCGCCGCCCGCCGAATGCCCGAAACAACATACCACCCCCCGGACCATGTGTGTGTCGCGACGCCATTCGCGCGCTTGTGATGAGAGGCGCGCGGCGCAGTCGAGTATTCGTTGCCTTCAGCGCCACATTCGCCGTGGTTCTCCTCACACAGACCATTCTCCTCGCTCGTGACCACGACAATCCCGCGTCCCGTGGCGAGCGCGTGGCTGCCTTTCAGCCTCAGACGCCCACCACCGAATTCACCACCGGCGCCGCTCTGCATGCTGCACTGCTACGGGATGGCGAGATGCTTGGTGGTGTCTCAGAGGCCCGTACTGCAATCGTGATGCCCGTTCGGGACGGGAACCTGCCGGCTGCGCTGCGAAACGTCGAGAGCTGGTCAGTCGGCCGCCGGCCGCCGTGTGCAGCCGCCTCGGGACCCGCGCCCGACTTTGCGTTCCTGCACGCCCAGAGCTTTGCAAGCGAGGCAGCCGCCAGATCCGCGGTCGCCATCGACGCCACTATGCGCCAGGGCCGTGCGCACTGCGTGCGTGCGATTCGCTTCCTCGCGGCTCAGATTCCTCTCTCGCTCGACGTGTACACCGTTACTCCTACTCACAACTTTTCGGGCCCCAACCGGCACTTCCTCGCTGCCTTCCGGGTGCTGATGCGGCTGAAGCCGCGAGGATTGGCAACCTACGACGCATTCCAGCTGATGGAAACCGACACCTACCCGCTCATTCCCGGCTGGGCCAGTGCGATAGCCGCGCTCGCGGCGCCGCCTCTCGCCGACGGGGAGGAGCATGGGCGTGGTGCGCCATGGGTGCGAGGAGGCATCTCGCTCTGCCTTTCGCCCGCGGACGATGCTTTGCCCAAGCATGTCAATGGCAACGCGCTGTACCTGCTCCGGCCCGCCACCTTTGCCGACGCGATGCGGCACGAGCTCCGCCAGCGGGTGCGCTCCTCCCGAGTAGAGCTCTCATGGAAACACAGCGCGCCTGCAAGTAGTCTGCCTTCGAATGGTCTGGTCATAACAGCTATCTAACATTTCCAGTAGCGCGCTTCTGGCAGTACCGCAAGCCCCGCTATTTGCCCGCGCAGATCGATCGGTGGGCTTTCGACGTCCTCCTCGGCCGCTGGCTATTTGCGCAGCACAAGTCAAAGGTGGTGCCGTCGGAGCACGTCCTCTCGCTTTCTTCCTTCCAGCGGAGCCGGACCTGCTGTGAGATCGTCGCGGCGCTTGTCGGCGCGCCGGATCGGGGCGGTGGTGCGGTGGTATTGCCGGGCCGGACCGGTGCGCTACTGTTGCACACGGGCAATGTCGGCAAAATGCCCGACGACCGGGTCCACCCGGCGATGCGCACGCTCGGCCGCCGGCTCCAGGAGCTCTTCGTGCCACGTGAATCAACGTCTTGCGCAGCGCTTCTCTCGGACGCAGAGCACTCGCCCCTTCCGCAGCAGGCGCGCCGCCACCCGCTCCGCGATTGGCAGCACTGCTGACGTCCCCACCCACCCCACAGTCGCCTCAAAACCATCCACGCCCGTTGCCGCATTCAGGCACGCGAGCGCTTTGCACCTATCATGCCGTGGAGAGCACGACTGAAGGCCGTTGGTGGCAGCTGCGCTGCACCCGATGCGCCGCCGCCGCCTCACTGGTGGGTCCCCTCGCTCTCACTGATCGGCCGCGCGGCTGCAGCCAGCTTGATGGAGGCGGCGGCTATGGGGCGAGGATGGGGCATGGCCGGCGGCGCTTCTCTGTACGGCACTCTCGACGAGCTGCTGGCGGAGGCGGCCAGAGACGGCGGCAACGGGCACGTAGTGGTCGCACTGCTCCAGCCTCCGCTGCAAGCAGCATGGGACGCTTATCTGTCCCATCGCTTCCCACGACTCGCCTCGGCGGCGCTTGGAGCGCCGTCAGCTAGTACGAGGTTGGGACAGGGCAGTGCGAACGAGCATGCGCGTGAGGAGGCCTTGCGGGCGCTCAGTCTCGAGGCGGCCCGCGAGGTGAGCGGCGAGGCTAGCCTCTCATCGGAGGAGCGCGCGGAGCGGCGGGCGTGGGCCGGCTCGCTCAAGCGCAACCCGCTCGTCTGCGCCCTCAGCGACGCAGCGCCTGGCGCCGGCTGCGAAGGGGCGGGCAAGGTGGAGCTACACGCTGCAATTCGCGTGTTGCGGGATCGGACGCTCGTGGTGCCTCTCGGCGACTCGGCAGCAGCTTCGGCGGCCGTTACAACCGTCTCTCGCTACTTTGGATGGGATCAGCCACAGGCGGGGGTCGAGCGGTTCCCGAGCGACACGCGCAATTGGCTCGGCGACCAGCCTCTCGGCGCCTCTCTCCTTGGCGGCGCGAGGTCCCCGCCGGCTTGGCTCGAGGAGGCCGTCATTGGCGGCCAGGGTGGAGGCGTCGCCGGCTCGCTCGCTCTCGACGACGCGTTGCACCGCGAGGCGATTCGCCTCGCGTATGAGCAGCAACGTTCCGTTGTTTGGGAGGAGCCCGCAGAAGGGGACTTGTGTTCAGTAGCGGAGACCGCGGGTGCGGTGCGCGAGTTCGCCGCGTCGACGCCGGTCGTCATCAACAAGCGCGAGGCCTTCGAGTTCGACGGCGACGGATCGCGCGTGTTTGTATTCCCTCTTCAGCCACCTCTCAACCGCTCCGTTGCTCTGCTGCTGCGAGGGCGTAGTCTGCTCGGCGGGTGCCGTGTCTCGGCCAGGGCTCTCATCTCGCACCGCACCTCCTCTCCTTCGGCTGCCACTCACGACTTTCGCTTCAACTACGAGTCAAAGCCTCCACACGATGGGCCCGGAGCGAGGTTCACCCTCCCGGAGAGCCGGATTCGCAAGTGCTGCGACGAGGCGGAGGCGGCGAGGAGGGAGCGCGGGGAGGGGCCAGGGTGCGGCTCCGATGGCCGGCCGCTCGTGCTGTGGATTGCGATCAAATATCGCGCGACGATGCGCTCGCGCCTCGAGCTGACTGCAGTGTATAGGAATCGTGATACATGAGGAATTGTGACGGAGAACACTCTCCGCTCGAATATGCTTTATACGTATCATCACACTGCGGACGCGTGTCAATGTGAGTTAAACAAAGAGAGCCGAAACAGTACACGGAGCACACCAACGTAGGAGATCCGATATCGTACAGCGATGCCTCTTCATCGCCCTTGCTGTGCCGACACCAAGCCGGCAAACGTTCCTCGGACCTCGAGCAGCTCGTCCCACGTGCCCTGCTCGACCACCCGGCCGCCGTCGATGACGGCGATCTTGTCCGAGTTGCGGATGGTGCTCAGCCGGTGCGCGATCGTGAGCGTCGTCCGCTTCTGCTGGTGCATGATCTCGTCGATCGCCGCCTGCACAATGCGCTCGCTCGTCGTGTCGAGCGCCGACGTCGCCTCGTCGAGCAGCAGGATGGCCGGCTTGCGCACGATGGCGCGCGCGATGGCGATCCGCTGCTTCTGGCCGCCCGAGAGCGTGCCGCCGCGCAGGCCGACGCTGCTGTTGTAGCCGTGCGGCAGCGCGCTCGTGATGAAGTCGTGCGCGTTGGCGCTGCGCGCCGCCTCCTCCACGTCCGCTCGCGTGGCGCCCTCCTTGCCGTAGGCGATGTTCTCGGCGACGGTGCCCTCGAAGAGCACCGGCTCCTGCCCCACCAGCCCGATCTGCTGCCGCAGCCAGCGCACGTTCAGCTCGCGCAGAGGCACGCCGTCGAGCGCGATCGAGCCCGCCAGCGGGTCGTAGAAGCGCTCGAGCAGCGCCATGAGCGTCGACTTGCCCGACCCCGAGGGGCCGCACAGGGCGACCCGCTGGCCCGCCTCGATCTCGAGCGAGTACCCGTTGCAGACGAGGTGGTTGGGGGCCCTGGGGTAGGCAAAGACCACATTGCGCACCGAGATCTTGCCGCGGACTTGCGCGATCTTCCGACCGCTGTTGACCGTGGCGTCGATGCGCGACTCGCGCGCGAGGGTGCCGAAGACCAGCTTGGCCGCCGCGTAGCCCCTTGGAGACTCCTGCGCGATGACACCGGCGGCGCCCATGCCCATCGACATGAAGAACATGACGATGACTGGCACGAGGAACTTCTCCATCAGCGTCCAGATCTTGGCGTTGAGGCAGCCGGTCTCGTCGTCGGGCGCCACCAGCGGAGAGCTGCCCGTGGCCGCCTCGGGCTCGAGGATCAGCTGCAGGACCTCGCCAGTCAGCTCCTCGACGTCGGCTTGCACGAGGAGGCATCCGACGTACGCGACGATGCCGATCACAGCGACGGGCGCCCCCTTGCCGATGCCCATGGCAAGGGCGGTGAAGATGGCTTTCTTTTGCGCCTGGCGTGCCTCGGCGTCGGTGTCCGCCTTGTACTCGCGAAGGAAGCGGGCCTCGGCACCGTACGCGGCGACCGTGCGGACGGACTGCACGACGGTGGTGACCAGAGAGCCTACGTTAATCCGCCGCTCGTCCGCCGACCTGACGCCGAGCGCCACCATGATCACCACCCCGAACATCGCCGTCATCACGGGCATGACGGCGAGCATCATGACCGCCAGCTGCCAGTAGCCAAACGTAAAGATGAGCCAGCTGCCGAAGAGGATGCTCGAGACCTGCCGGATCGCATAGGCAAACATGTGGCAGTTGAACGCCTGCACGAGCGCAACCTTCTCCCACAGGAAGGCGGTGAGCGCGCCCGCCGAGTTCTGCGGGTCGTCGAAGAAGCCAACCTCCTGCCGGAGCAGCGAGCGGATGACGACAGTGCGCAACCTGCGGGTGAGGTGCTCGCCGGCGGTGCCGAAAAGGCCTAGCTCGAGCGTCAGCACCGGCACGTAGGCGATTCCGATGGCGAAGCACGCAATGCCCCAGAACAGCACGTCGTCGTGGATTTTCTGCGGGTTGATCTGGAAGAACGCAACCGCCACCTTGGAGAAGGTGAAGCCGAGGGCCGGTATCGTCATGCCGTCCAGCACCGCGAAGAAGCACCCCAGCACCATGAGCACGCCGTCGCCGGGCTTCTGCAGCCGCATCGTGCGCCACAAGAGCGGGCCGCGCGTAGGGCTTGGAATCCGCGACTCGCTGCTGTCGGACCAGTCGAAGCGATCGGCCTCTGCAAGCGACTTGGCGTCGCCACGAACGTCGTCGGCCTTCCTCCTGCGCGCCAGCGCGTCCGCCGCGCGGGTCCACATGGACTGACGGCGGCTCGACGGCAAGCTGTCCCGCTCGAGCAAGCTGTCCCCCGTCGCCGAGCGCGACACGATCGCCCCCGGCTTGGGCTGCCGAGCCGCGAGCCGCTGGAAGTGGCCATCCTCGATGGCAACCAGCTCGTCCCACGTGCCCTGCTCGACCACCCGGCCGCCGTCGATGACGGCGATCTTGTCCGAGTTGCGGATGGTGCTCAGCCGGTGCGCGATCGTGAGCGTCGTCCGCTTGTGCTGGTGCATGATCTCGTCGATCGCCGCCTGCACAATGCGCTCGCTCGTCGTGTCGAGCGCCGACGTCGCCTCGTCGAGCAGCAGGATGGCCGGCTTGCGCACGATGGCGCGCGCGATGGCGATCCGCTGCTTCTGGCCGCCCGAGAGCGTGCCGCCGCGCAGGCCGACGCTGCTGTTGTAGCCGTGCGGCAGCGCGCTCGTGATGAAGTCGTGCGCGTTGGCGCTGCGCGCCGCCTCCTCCACGTCCGCTCGCGTGGCGCCCTCCTTGCCGTAGGCGATGTTCTCGGCGACGGTGCCCTCGAAGAGCACCGGCTCCTGCCCCACCAGCCCGATCTGCTGCCGCAGCCAGCGCACGTTCAGCTCGCGCAGAGGCACGCCGTCGAGCGCGATCGAGCCCGCCAGCGGGTCGTAGAAGCGCTCGAGCAGCGCCATGAGCGTCGACTTGCCCGACCCCGAGGGGCCGCACAGGGCGACCCGCTGGCCCGCCTCGATCTCGAGCGAGTACCCGTTGCAGACGAGGTGGTTGGGGGCCGCAGGGTAGGCGAAGACCACGTCGCGCACCGAGATCTTGCCGCGGACTTGCGGGAGCTCAATCCCCTGAGGAAAGGGGGCGGGGTGAGAGGCGGAAGAGGCGGAGCTGCGTTGGCCGCCGCACGGCGGACCTCGGAGGATGTCGAGTCGATGGGGGGCTTGCGGTGGATCGTCTCGCGCACTGGCGCCGCCCGCTGGCAGGCGCTGAGCACCACGGTCGAGTTCTGCGAGAGGAGGATGAAGAAGGCCATCCCGACCAGGAGAGAGAAAATGGCCATGAGGGACCGGCCGCCGGAGCGGGAGCACGAAAGCCACGAGCCCATGCTCTCGACGTACTCCTGGAAGGCTGCGACGTCGTCCTGCAGGAGGAAGAGCTTGAGCGCGGTGATGTTTTGCGCAAAGGCACCGGCGGAGGCGCAAGTGAGTTTGAAGGGCTGCAGGTCGAAGCGGTCCGACTCACACGAGCCGAGGGCTTGCGGGGTAGAGGTCGAGATGACCCGCGCCGCGCGAGGCAGGGGCTCGCCGCTCGTCTGCTGGAACTCCCTCCAGTTGGCGACCCCGGACTGGTAGTCGTTGTTCAGGATGTCGTACGGGTCGCCGCACGAGTAGGTGCAGAACTTGTAGTCGATGTGATCGATGCCGACTGCCGTGCCCGTCGAGGCGGCAGCGAGCAGCCCCCACTGGGTCGCGGCACCGCTGAAGTCGTCCCACGACTTTGCGGTGAACTCCTGCAGCTCAGGGAACATGCCTGGCGGCGGCGGGGGCGGCGGGCTGACCACTCTGCCCATCGCCGAGTCGACCGTATCAAGGAAGCTGTCGAGCTGCGCCTCGGTCGACCAGCTGATCTTGGTCGTGTACTCGAAGGACGAGGCCTCCTGCTCGGCGGCGAGAGCGACGCCGCCGTAGAACTCGCCCAAGGAGGACATGAAGATGATGGCCGAGATGGCTACGGCGGCGGCCAGGGCGAGCTGCCAGACCATGGCGATGCCGAGCCGCTCTGCGCGGGCGAGCCGCCGCTCGTACCGCGCTGCCGCCACCCGCTCGAGGCCGAGCGAGCAGACGGTGCGGATGGCGGCGAACGACTCGGTGGCGATGGCGCCTGCGTCGGCTCCGGCGACGGACAGCTTGTGGCTGGCGACGAGCCCGACGACGATGGCGACGGCGATGGCGATGCCGGGCAGCGGGCAAGCGGCGAAGATGACGAGGCTCAAGTCCCACGAAAAGTAGAGCCCAAGGAGCCAACAAGCGCCCATGGTGACCGCGGCGTCAAGCATCATGGGCGTCTTGAAGCTGATGCCCTCCTCTATGGCGCGCATCTCCTCGCCAAAGCGCGTCGCGAGCTCCTCGGGCTTGGAGGTGTCGTACCAGCCAACGTCTTGTCGCAGGATCGCGCCGAGGTAGGCCTTCTTGGTGGCCGCGATCTGGCGCGCCTTTGAGAGCTCGGCAAGGGCGGTGTAGAATGCGGTCGTGACGCCGTACACGATGCCAGAGGCGATCATCAGCTTGCACTGCCACAGCATGGACTCGACGTCAAAGCCAGACGCACTCGCAGAGCCGACCTGGTCGATGGCCCCGCTAAAGCTGTAGAGGAGAGCGGGAAAGCAGAGCCCGGCAACGGCCGCCCAGAACATGCTCGGCAGAATCAGAAATAGCCAATCGAAGATCGTGGCGTACGAGTAGAGCTTGAGTGGGCTGACGATGGCGCCCGGGCCAGCAAGAATCGAGCGCCATATCTCAGCCAGAGGGCCGGCCTGAGGCTTAGCAGTCGACACACGGCAGTCGAGCACGGCCCGACTGGCGGCTGGCGCCTCCTCGGCGAAGGTGACCTTCACCTCCGGCACGCTGCGGAGCGGGGTAGAGGACTTGGCGTCCATCGGTGGCGGCAGAGCAACTAACACCTTGAGCACCACCTTGAGGCTGCACAAGGAGTACTATGACACGCCGGGAAGAAAGCAACTAGGGCTGTGTACTGCTGTAAAGCGTATTTGCCAAGGGGGCGACCGCGAGGTGGCACGAAGGTTGCAGCGAGAATCGGAGAGAGACTGCGAAGAGAGATAGGAAGAGGCGGACGCCCAAGGGTGGGCGACTGCTAGCGCACCACACTCCTCTCCTTAAAATCCCTGTGTGGTGGCGGCGTGCCGTCCTCCCATCCCTCCCTTGGGTTGTCCGTTTTCTTTCTTTTAAAGCGTATTTGCCGTCCTCCCATCCTTCCCTTGGGCTGTCTGTTTTCTTTCTTTCTTTCTTTAAAGCGTTGATTTTCTAGTATCTCCTTCTGCGCTGTTCCTTTTCCGAGAGAGAGAGAGATTTTTAGAAGCCAACATCTTTTTGTGTTTTTGTGTGAAGAGCCAGGGGTTGTGTGAAATACACAGTATTATGATTCGATCGACGATTCGAGTTTGAGGCACGTTTCGAGACACTTGAGACCACTTTGTGTTTATGTGAAGAAAGAAAGAAAGAAAGAAAACACAGAACACAACTTGTCGGGCGTGCGTCCTTCCTACTTGCCGGCCCGGCTGCGAGCAGACATATACACACATATATGCCAGATGCCGACGACGACATCGACGACACGGAGGTGACGGACGGCGGGGCCGCGTGGATGCAGGACGCAGGGCTCGTCGAGGAGCTCAAAAAGGCCATCGTCGCTGGCGGCGACCGTGTCTGCATTGAGGACGAGGCCTTCCTCCGCCGCTTCCTATACATAGCCAAGGGTGACGTCACAAAGGCCGCCTCGAGGCACGCGCGGTATTGGGAGTACCGGATCAAGCTGTTTGGAAGCGAGCGGCCTTTTGACAAGGCGCACGCAGCCATGTCCCGTGGCGTGCCGTTGACTCCTCCCGCACGCACTGTCCCGTGGCGTGCCGTTGACTCCACCCGCACGCACTGTCCCGTGGCGTGCCGTTGACTCCTCCCGCACGCACTGTCCCGTGGCGTGCCGTTGACTCCCGCATCCTCCAGCTGCGAGCTTCTTTCCCGTAGGAGCGGTGCGAGGCGACGCTGCGCACGTGTCCCTTTGTGAAGATCCTGGACGGCGCGAGGGACAAGGAGGGCTGCCAACTGCTGCTGGTGCGGCCGCGCTATCTGGACTGGAGAAAGGTCGACGAGCAACAGGTGATCGAGGCGATGTGGTACACCATTGAGACGCTGCTGCAGGATGCAGAGACGCAGCGGTGTGGCTTCTGCGCCATCAACAGTCTCAAGGGGATGTCGCCCAAAGCGTTCAACCGCAAATTCATGCCCAAGATGCTCGAGTCCGTGCAGAATCGGCTGCCCATCCGTATCGGTGCGCTGGCCCAACACATGGGCCTGCCGTCGACCCGTGCGTCGGAACTCGCGAAAAACACATCTTAGGGTCTGTGCTGATAGGGGCGATGCGTGTCGTGGACAACCCTGGCTTCTTCAGCGTCATCTGGAGCATCGTGCGCGTCTTCCTAAAGGCGAGCAAAGCCGCGGCGCACTCCCACCGCCTCACCGAGGAAAAGGGTCTAGCACTTGAGCACAGGGACGGGTCGATTCCTCCTCTGTCTAGCAACACAATGTCGCTTTCTCCTGCCTATGCCAGGAGAAGACGAAGAAGCGCATCGAGGTGCTCGGCGGCGACTATGCTCGGCTACTCAACCGATTGCCCAAGGAGTCAATCCCGGAGGAGTTCGGAGGGACGTATGTGGTGCGCGACTAATTGAGGACTACGGGAGGATTTCTATATACGTGTACCCTAAGTTTCTCCGAGACCTCGCGAGCGGGCAGGTATTCTTCCGAGAAGCGAGAATTCTTGAACCAGGAAAAAAATAGCGCACCGCCCTTTCATCCCGCCTCGAGCGCCCTGATCGCCTCCCGGCCTCCCCGTCGCCGCCGCAATGAGCCGCGACGCCGCCTCCTCGCTGCGCGGCCCGTCCCTCCTTCACCCAGCTGCCTTCACCTCGCCGCTGTTACACTTACAGCAATCCTGGAGACCTGTGAGTAGGGGGGTAGGGGGTAGGCGCTATGTCTGCATGTGTGCCGTGGGGTAGGGGGGTAGGGGGGTCTGCACGGATCCTACCCTACCCTACGCTTTCACGTCTCGAACCGCAGACGCATGATGATGTTTTGCTGCCTCGTCATGCACAGCCTATTATTGCCGCGGTGCGCCATTCCATCTGCGCGTCGAGCGCCGCCGGTTCGGCTCAAGTCATCTCGCTTCGCGGAGATCACCTCGCCGGCCGCTTACGAGGGCCTTGTGCAGACCCTACCGATTGAGGGCGCGACAGTGGTCAAATTCACCGCCCCGTGGTGCCGGACATGCCGTCAGTCCAACGCGAAGCTCAGCTTTATCGCCTCCAAATGGCGGCGCGCTAGCTTCTATGAGCTGAAGCTGAGCGAACCACAAAGCGTCGAGTGGGCCAGGCAGCGAGGCATCAGTCAGCTGCCCTTCATTGAGGTGTACGAGGGGCGAACGTGCATCGAGCGCTTCGTCGCGCCGCCTTCCCGCGTGCGCGCCCTCTCATCGGCGCTGACGGCTGCCCGTCGGAGGTTGCGGTATCAGCGACGGCTGCGCACCGCTCTGCGGCTACGAGCGCTGCGGCGAGAGCGACAGCGGCTCCGGAGCGCGCTGCTTGCGCTCGAGAGCGAGGAGCGTGAGCTTGGCAGGCGCCTGCGATGGGACAGGGTCATGCGGCAGCGTGCGGCGCGGTACGGGTCGTAGCTGTGGGCACATGCCAGGGGTTTTTGTGGGGCTGCTGCTGCTGCTGCTGCTGCTGCTGCTGTTACGTCTTCGGTCCCCGCGGGAAGCCCCGCGCATAGGACAACAACGTCTGTCCCACACACGCACAGACGCGCACATACATCATGCTCGGGCACCCCCCACAGTGTAGTCGTGGTCTGAGCACACAAGTATGCATTGTGTTTGTGCTACCTACCGGGTACACACTGTCACTGTTCATGATATGCCAGTTTGCCACGCCGCACACGCGTGTGATTGGTGGGTTCGACGGACGGACGCCGCACCTGCACGCGCGGCTCTCGTTTTAAGGGCGCACCCTCGCGGCGGGCGAGCGCGAGTTGCCGGCCGGGCGCCCGCACCGGCGTGCTCCCGCCGCGGCCCGCTCTCCTCTCCTACACCTCTGATGGGCTCGCGCGTGCGCCGCCGCGCAAGAGGTTCGCGCTTCGCGGCCGCGGCAAACTGTCTTAGTGCGGGTGCGGACGACAAGGGCTGCGTCTACACTCTACTTTCTCACTTCTGTGTACATTTTGAGCTTTCGAGCATACAGAATACAGTAGCGCGCGGCCCGGCGGCCGGAGAGCCGTGCGTACATACATCGAGATCTCTGCGGGACACCAGTAGATTTGTTGAGTGGAGATCGTAGATGCCGATCAGAGATCTTCCACACACAGCATCTCGCACAAAACTCAGAGATCTTTAACTGAACGTAGAGATCTTGAGCCATCGGCACCTCGAGATCTCAGGCCGGAGGCGGAGATGTTGACTTCGCGCCAAAGGCGCCTAGAGAATCGTGTGGCCGACTGGAGATTGCAAAATGGCGCGAAAAGAGGGTGGATATCCGCTTGAAGGCGTGAAAGGAAAAGAGCATCCCCTTGGAAGGACGTCGATTCCCCCCCTGACACGCCTCCCCCACAAGTCGAGATTGGAGATTGGAGATCGGAGATGAAGATCGGAGAAGCAAAATATGACGTTGGAGATTGGAGATTGGAGATGGAGATCGGAGATCTGACTGGATCCGGCAAAATATGACGCTGGAGATTTGGAGATTGGAGATGGAGATCGGAGATGATTTTTTATTTTCATTTTTTTTGGCCCGAAGAGCCTGCGGCGCCGCTTTTAACTTTACGGTGTGGGGGAACCGTGCGTGTAGTGAGCTTTTTATTATCAAAAAAGAAAAAGATGATGACAGCGGCGTCATCTCCAATCTTGCGTCGACACATCTCCGAGGGCGGCGCAGCCAAGCCCGAGTAGTGGTCTTCTTGAGGCGCGTCAGCGCCGAGTCCGTGAGGAGCGGCCCCAGCTTGCTGGGTGCGGCCCCGCCGCGGGCCGTAGCGAGAATCGCGCAGCGAGTCGGCCGGAGAGGTTAAAACCGGCGCCGCAGGCTCTTCGGGCCAAAAATAAAAATAAAAATAAAAAATCATCTCCGATCTCCATCTCCAATCTCCAATCTCCAGCGTCATATTTTGCCGGATCCAGTCAGATCTCCGATATCCATCTCCAATCTCCAATCTCCAACGTCATATTTTGCCGGATCCAGTCAGATGGTCTGCCCGCGTCTGCGATCTACTGTCTGCGATCTACTACTCTCTCGCAGAGATCTCGATTACTCCGGGCGTATAGACGGTGTGTAATTACAGCCGAGCAGAGAGCCATCCCTAAAGCCGGCGCCTCGCCTTTACAATTACATGTGCGCCTCTACTAACTAGTCTACTTAATTTTCTTGGGCAGCAGCTGGTTCGACAGGTCCTCTCCGTGGCCTAGGCAGCCGTGGCCGCCCTTGCCCCAAGCAAAGACGGAGCCGTCGGCGGTGAGGGCGAGGCTGTGGTCGCCTCCAGCCGAGACAGCGACGGCACGCTGGTCAGCAAAGGCCTCGATCTGCTTCGGCAGCAGCTGGTTCTGCTCGTCGCCGTGGCCCAGCTTGCCATAGTACCCATCGCTCCAGACGGCGCCGTTGGCGGTGATGGCGATGCTGTGGTGGCCTCCAGCCGACACAGCGACGACGCGGTGGGCGGAAAAGGCCTCAATCTTCTTGGGCAGCAGCTGGCTCTGCCAGTCGCCGTGGCCCAGCTCGCCAAAGCCTCCACCACCCCAGCTCCAGACACTGCCGTTGGCGGTGATGGCGAGGCCGTGGTCCTCTCCAGCCGACACAGCGATGACGCGCTGGCCAGCAAAGGCCTCGATCTGCTTCGGCAGCCGCAGGCTCTGCCCAAGCTCATACTCGCTCTGCTGGTCGCCGTGGCCGAGCTGGGCATAGTATCCAAAGCCCCAGCTCCAGACGCTGCCATCGGCGGTGAGGGCGAGGCTGTGGCTGCGTCCAGCCGACACGGCGACGACGCGGTGGCCGGCAAAGGCCTCGATCTTCTTGGGCAGCAGCTGGCGCTGCCCGTCGCCGTGGCCCACCTGGCCTAAGCCTCCACCGCCCCAGCTCCAAACGGCTCCGTCGGCGGCGATGGCGAGGCTGTGGGCTGCTCCAGCCGAGACAGCGACGACGCGGTGGCCAGCAAAGACCTCGATCTTCTTCGGCAGCAGCTGGGTCTCCCAGTCGCCGTGGCCCAGCCGGCCCCAGCCTCCATCGCCCCAGCTCCAGACACCGCCGTCGGCGGAGAGGGCGAGGCTGTGCTGCCACCCAGCCGACACGCTCACGGCGCGCTCACCACCCAGCGGGGAGGGGAGGCGGGTCGGCGTGTTGAGCTGCGTCACGCCCTCGCCATGGCCGAGAAGGCCTGGAGCCTGCGCTTCGTCCTCGTCCTCCTCCTCGCCCTCCGGTTCCGAGCCGCACGACGAGAGCCGCCCCTCGCCGTCGATGAAGACGCTGTGCTGTGCGCCTGCCGCCACCCTCGCCGGCGGGTTGGCCTCGCGCAGCAGCGCAGCGAAGCACAGCCAAGGCACGGCGCAGCTCTCGCCCTCTGGCAGCGCCGGAAGCTCGAAGCTGCGCTCTCGCGACCACAAGCGGATGCCCTCCACCGCGAGTGAGGCGTGGAAGAGCAGCGAGACGGCCGCGACGCGAGCGATGTCGACGGGGCCGTCGCAGCGAGAGACGACGCGCACGAGGTGGACATCCTTTCGGGCACCCTCAGCTGGTTGCTGTTGCTGCTGTTACGTCTTCGGTCCCCGCGGGAAGCCCCGCGCATAGGACAACAACGTCTGTCCCACACACACGCACAGACGCGCACATACATCATGCTCGGGCACACCCCACAGTGTAGAGAGAGAGATTTTTATTAACTTTTCACAGTGTAGTGGTGTGAGCCATCGCCGTCGGGGAGAGGGGGGACGACACTGCCTCGGCAGCGTGCACCTCGATCCTGCACCTGTTTGTTATGACCCCCCCCAATGAACACACCAGTGAGGGAGGGCGAGACGATCGGAGGGGTCCCGTACCATGCGGAATCGACCCTATCAAGTGCTCAAGTGCTCAAGTGTGAGCACACAAGTACTAGCAGAGTGCACACCTGCCTTGGCGGGTGAGGGTCGTAAGAATCAAAGCCTCTTGGTGCCAAACGTGCTCGAGCGCGCCGAAGACAGACGATCTACGCTCGCGGGAGTTAGCGAAAGTCGCACGGGCAGAGGGGAGACCGAGGCCTCCGGCAGTCCGCACCGCCTCGCGAAAGGGAAGCAACGATCAACTCCAGCTGGTTGATTAAGCTTTTTCCCTTCCTTCCTTTCAACATCCCTGTCCAACGACGGAGATACACAGTGTCAGTGAATCTCGGAGCGTTTCAAAACGACCAGCAACGGAATCCGTTTTCGTCGGCCGAAAATCGTTACACCAGCGTTCCCCAACTTCAGCCATGCGTGAGATCGTCTCCATCCAGGGTGGCCAGTGCGGCAACCAGATCGGTGCGACGCTGCTCACCCTCGCCGCCGCGCCCCACTCACCGCCTCCATCCCCCCTCCCCCCTCTCTTCCCTCCCTTCTTGCGCCGCGCAGCTCGGGCGCTCGTCCCTCACTCCCTCTGGTGGTGGAAAATGGGACGGGGGAGTTGGGGAGTGGGGCTGCGTGGTGGGCTAAGGACTGGGAGAAATTTGATGACTGTAGCATATGCACGTGAATAAAGGGTCTGCGTCACTTTGCCGAGACACCCCGCGAGAAGTTCAGTTCCTGTAGCGTAGTTGCTACTTCGCTTGGTGGTTGGTTGGTGGGGGCGGCCCGCGTGCGGCGGCCGGGCGCGGCGCGGCGCCCGTGTGGTACGGTGTGCGTCTGCATGTCGCGGGACGGGGCCGGTAGAGCAAGTGAAGAGGTGGCGCAGAGAGCCAGCCGTGCACGCTCGCGAGTGCGATGTTTTTTCTTCTCATAACAAGGCTGTGAACGGCGGCAAAATGGTGCTAATGACTAGGGAAAAAGCACATTTGTGCGTGTGCGCAGACCGTCCGAGATACTGCCGGGTCCTATCGCCAGCTCCGGGCAACGTAATGAAAAACTGTGTGGGCTCTCTGTCCTCCATTTACTCGTACTCAACGCACGATTGGAGCCCCAGCTGCGACCCATGAAGTCGCAAAACACGGCGAGCCACGACACCCCGTCTCCAAAGAAGGCACGCCGGCCGGACGCGGCAATCGACGGCGTCGAGGCGCTTGGTCAGCCCGGCAGCGGCGGCGGCGGCGGCTCGCGGACGGGCACGTCGCACGCACGCGCCAGCACCCCCGCCGCTTGGGGCTGGACGGATCGGCAAGCAGCTTCGCCACCGCCCATGCCACCGCCGCATCCCTCGACGTCCTCGACGGCGACGCCACCTCTCAAGGGCAAGTCGGAGAGCGGCGGCGGCTCAGCGCCGAGCCCCGCTAGCCCGAAGCCGACGCCTCGTTCGCGCGAGCCGCCTGCAACCCCCCCCGGCCCTCGCGCCAATCCTCTTGCGACTACGGGAGGAGGAGGCGGGGCCGGCGCGGTGCTGGATGCACGCCGCGAGGGGGAAGCTCCCTTCTCCGAGCCTGAACCCGCTGCATTTTTGGTCGTGGCGTCCGACCCCTACCCCGATCCGGAGGTGTCGCTCTCGCTCGACATGCCGGACGACTCGTCCGTCGAGTCTGCGTTTCGTGCCCTCGGAGTCGGCACTTGGAGCAACTTTCATGGCATGCTCCGCTAAGGCGTGGCACGTTCCTCGCCCGCCTAGCCGCCGCCGCCCCCTTCCGCCCGGGCTGCGACTGCGGCGCCCGCATCCACATGGACCATCGAGTTCCATCCCCCGCGGCCCATGGCCAGTAGCAGTCGCGCCGCCGCTCCATGCTCTATCCCGCGCGGACCTGTAGCATGCTGACAGCTCCGCATCTTCCCCCCGGATGGTGGGATGGCCTCTCGCGGCCTGTACTGCCGAGAGAGAGCCCCCACGAGAGGCCAGCACTGCCTGTTTGCGTGTTTCCGTTTTCTTTTCCCGTGCTCCTTGTGCCCCGGTGTGCGGTGCGTGCAGTGCCGCTGTCTTGACCGCTCTCTGGTATGTGTGGGGGGGGGTGCACTCGCTGATCTCCGATCTCCCTGTCTCCCCACACACTCTGTCTCTGAGAGAGTCTGTACGCGCGTGCACGCCGCGCCGCCGCCAGTGTTATCTGCATGAGCCTCGTTGCGCCAGTGTGGCGCCTATTTTCCCGTGCTGTTTGTTTCTAATCAATTCCCTCCTCGCCCCATTCTTGCGCGCGCTGCAGCCCCACGCAGCCTCCTCTCTTGACGGATGCCGCCGCCGCCGCGCCGCGCACACACACATACATTCATACAGTACTAGTGTCTCAGCAGCAGGAGAAGAGAGCGCCTTGCCGGCATCCGCCCCTCAACCGTGCGGAGGTGCGGGGAGGTGATGTCGCGGCTCTTTTCTCGTGGCAGCAAACCTGCGAGCGATCGCGGCGTGGAGCGATCGCCGGTTTTGTATGTGTCCGGTCAGATGCTGCGGCCGACCACGCGCAGATGCTCGCGCGAGTGCCCCTCGTAGAAGCGGTTCGAGCACCCCCACACGGTGAGGCGCTGCAAGCGCGGCGCCGCGTCGACGAGCGCGCCGACGCCGTTGTCCGAGACGGCGCGGCACCAGCTGAGGTCGAGCGACTCGAGGCACACGTCGCCGAGGGCGGGCACGTTGTTGAGCGAGAGGTGCGCGAGCACGCCTGACGAGCGTCGCAACCTCGCGTGAGATTGGCCGACCCTCGCTCGGTGGCGAGCGGCGGTGCGCGCGCGGAATAAGTGTAGTTCTTGCCCAAGAATGCGTGTGGTTTTTGCCCATGCAGTGCATTTTTGCATTCGCTTGCATCTCCTGCATTACAACTGCATTGCAACATTCGATGCATTTTGCGCGTGATTGCATTTCGTTGCATATGCATTCGATGCATTTTGCGCGTGATTGCATTTCGTTGCATATGCATTCGATGCATTTTGTGCGTGATTGCATTTCGTTGCATTCTACTCTGACCTCGCCGCCGTCGTTGCTCTTTTAAGGGCGCACCGTGGCAGCGCGCCAGCCGCCACACGACGCGTTCTTGTTTCCAGCTTTGAGCTTCATTTTTTGGCGTACAGCCCCCCCCCCCCCCGTCAGGGGCGGGGCGACCCCCCCATCTCTACAGACGATATGCGCATCCTAGATGCCAAACGCCATCTAGGATGCGTTTTCCATCTAAGGACACCGGGTGTCTCCACTATGATTGGGTTCTCCAAGAAGATTTAATCATCTTTAGATGGTGCCCCGCGTCTTTTGATAGTGCGTGACATCTCTCAGCGGTACTCAGATACTGGTTACTGCAGTCGTCTTCAGACGCACAAGTGTGCCGAGATGATACCCTCATCTTGGGTTAGTCCATGCATCCCAAGATAGAATGTGGCATCTGAGGATGCGCAATGCATCGCTCAGGAACAATGAGCGCGTTCGTCGGATTTTTTTCAATATTTTCGATCGACAGTGTCGGAGTTTTTTGGCCGAACCCAGAACCCGAAATAAAAACCAGTTAGATGCATATTATCTCAAGATGCGCATATATCATCTGTAGATGGGGGGGTCGCCGCCCCTGAGCCTGACGCCCCATCCCCCCATCCCCCATCTGCTATACTGCATTCTGCATTCTCGCGCCAACCGCCATCCGCGCGTGTGCCGTGTCGCGCACACCGCACCGCAAGCGCTCTATAGGACTGGTCAACCAAGTGTGCGGGGAGCGTGTCTGCGTGCGTCGTGTGCATGATTGGTGTCTATTAGCTCCGAGTAGAGTGATGGATGGGAGCCTCAGCCTGTTCCTGAACTGTAATGTTTATCACCATGCATGCATGCGCCTCCCGACAGACCCGAGACCATGATCTAGACCATGATCCGCCACCGCCCCGCTGGCCAGCAAGACGAGAAGCGCGCACCGAACGCGCCGCCCCCGCCTGGCCCGTGGCACCCCTCCGCGGGGACGGTGCCCCATACCGTAGCCTCCCCCGCCCCGCCCCGCCCCGCCCCCCGCCCCCGTCCCCCCTTTCCTCGCCCGCCCCCTCGCCCGCCCCCTCGCCCGCCGCCCGCCATCCCGCCCTCGCCGCCTCGAGCGCGCCGCCGACCTCAGCCCCTGCCCCCTGCCCCCTCCACCTCAGCGCTTGAAGTGGAACTCGGAGAGGAGCGGCGTGTGGTCGGACGAGAAGAGCGGCGAGGGCAGCGCAGTGTGCTCCTGCACCTGCCTGTCGTCGACCATCTGCAGCAGCCCGCCCACAGAGAGGCGGTCGACGGTGTAGAAGATGTAGTCGAGCGTGCCGACGAAGGAGGTTGTGTAGTTCGTGTACGGCGGCTCCATCCGCTGCAGCTCGTGGCTCTCGGCCGACGCGTTTGCGTGCGCGCCCACCGTCGCCATCGCCGAGCGGAGTGGCAGCGAGTGGCGGAGCGGGAGCGTGGCGAGGACGCCGGACGGGTCGCCGTTCTCCGGCTGGACGAGCCCGTTCGCGAGGAGCGTGTGCGGGTCCGAGCCAGGCAGCGAGTTGAAGTCGCCGGCCGCAACCACCGGGATGGTCGAGGTGGAGCCAGAGTGCTGCGTGAGCATCCGCTCGATCTCGAGGACGAGGTGCTGCGTCTGCCAGAGCTTCACGTCGGCGAACTCGGGCGAGGCGTTGATGTGCGTGTTTGCGACGAGCAGCTGCCGCCGCGTCGCGGGGTGGGGTGCGATCATCTCGAGGAGGAGGACCTAGGGTTAGGGTTAGGGTTAGGGTTGGGTTTGGGGTTAGGGTTGGGGTTGGGGTTGGGGTTAGGGTTGGGGTTAGGGTTAGGGTTGGGGTTAGGGTTAGGGTTAGGGTTGGGGTTAGGGTTAGGGTTAGGGTTGGGGTTAGGGTTAGGGTTAGGGTTGGGGTGATCGTCTCGAGGAGGAGGACTGCCACGAGGCGTCGAGGAGTGAGGGGAGGTAGAGAGGTGGGAAGGAGGACTCGGCCCTCTAGGAGGAGGACCTGCGCGACGTTGTCCTTGAGGAGGCGGTTGAGCACGTTGCGGTCGTTGGAGTGGCGCTGGCGGGCGATGGTGTTGAACTCGACGTCGTGCTGCCCGCCTGGCACGACCTGCGGGGGGGGGGGGGGGGGGGAAGGAGAGGGGCCCTTGTTGCATGTGAAGGAAGGAGGGAGGGGGGTTTCCCACGGGGCGGGCGGCCCGGAAGGGGAGGAGGGGAGGAGGGGTCGGTTCCTGGAACTTGTCTCGGCGGTACAAGATGGCGCATCCGTCCATCTATCCGTACTGGCCCATGAACTCGCGCGTCTTGCACTTGTGGACTCCGGCGTAGTTGTACTTTGCGAGCTCGGGCTCGAGGAAGTTCTCGAAGTGGTCTGCCTGCACCTCTTGCAGGCACATGATGTCCGCGCGGTAGTTGATCAGCTCGCGCATGATGTTGCGCCGCCGGTAGTTCCACGGGAGCGCCCAGGCGGCGCAGTACGGGTAGGCGTCGGCGGTGGCGTAGATCTCGGAGAGGACGTTGTACGTGAGGAGGGTGAAGCCGAGCCGGTTGGCGTTGGTCCGGTTCGTCCCGGGCTTGCCAAGCGACACGACCACCTGCACGGGGGGGAAGAGGGGGAGGCCGGGGGGTGGTATGGCAGGGGCGGGGGGGGGGGGGTCCGGCTCCGGCGGGCAGGGCGGCGGCATAGGGGGGCGGGAGCTTCCAGGGGGGGGGGGGGATGTCCCCACATTGTTTCGCACGAGCAGCATGCGGCGCGGCGGCGGCGGCGGCGGCGGCGCGATGACGTAGTTTGTCTTGAGCGTCTTTGCGATGCCCTTCTGGGAGCCGTCGGCGCTGAGCGGGGTGACCGCCTGCGCGGCGGGGCCGGCCGCGTCAGCACTGTCCGCCGGAGCAGCCGTGCCAGAGCCGCGGAGGTGGGCGGCGCGCCAGCTTAAGCATGTGGCCGACGTCGTCCAGCGAGGGGATGTAGGTGCTCACGTCGGACACCTCGACCCACTTCTGCTCGGTCGTCTCGGTGAAGTCGCGCCCGACCCACCCCTCCGCCTGCTTGGCCGTCTCCGTCCGGACGCCCGAGCTCGTGAGGCCGGTGCGGTGCTGGTTCGGGTGGCCCTGCCACGCGTTGGTGAAGCACGCGACGGAGCAGAAGTACGAGTCGTCGGTCAGGCGCTGCATGATGACGGGCGTCTTACCGCACCACGAGCAGGCCATCTTTGTGATTGAGCGGTACCATTTGTACTCGAGCCGGCACGTGTGCGCCGGCACCCCGTTGGCGAGGAAGATGTCGGGCGTGAGCTCGCAGCCCTCGACCGGCTGGTCGCTCAGCAGCCGCAGCCGCGATATGGTGGGCGGGCTGCTCATGCCTGGCCCCTGCCCAGGGGGGGCGCGCTCGTCGTTGGACGAGTCGACCCACTACAGGGCTAGGGGAGTGGCGCCGGCCTGCTTCTTGAGCAGAAGAAAGAATTTTCACGCTCTTTTTTATTTTTATTCCCCGGGTGCCCTGTGCCCAGCCCTCTCCGCGCGGCGATGCGCCCTCCCCCCTCGCTTTTGCAAAATCCTGCAAAGGTGGGGACGTGTCTGTCCTCGACCCAGCCCTAGCTTGGGATGTCCGTTGTATTTATTTATTTATTTATCCCCGGCCCCGGCGCAGGGTGGGATGTCAGTTCGTGAGTCCTGTGTCCCGTCCCTGTGCCCCACCTTCTTCTCCTGCGTCGGTCCCCGCGAACCCCACTATCTATATAGCGCCACCTCGTGAGCTGTCCTGTGAGCTGTGTGCTGTGTGTCCAGCAGTCCGGACCCGGTGCTAAGGCCGGTGAGTGTGCCTCGTGTCGGCTCCCGAGCCAATCGTGTGCAGCGCGTGTGTGCGTTTGGAGGTGTGTAACCAGTACTGACTGACTGAGCCTTTTGCGCTGTGAGCTGTGTGTGAAGGTGAGCGCCTCCCTCTCTCTCCTGCTGCGCGCATGACCGGTGCGGCCTCCGAGTCGGCGTCTAGCGCGCACTTGGAGCACTTGGAGTGCAGTCATCAACCGCACATCCAGGGCCGGGGAGCTAAGAAAAGCGCACCCAGCGCGCGCGATACGGTTTTGTGTGTGTGTTGTACGTACTTTTAGCTTACTGGGAGAAAGGGAGTGTTGTAAGTTTTGCTTGCCTTCCTTGGGACCCCGTGTTGCATGAGCATGTGACATCTGACATGTCTGACCGTCACTGTGCGCTAGCACGGTGCGCGATTTCGGGGCCCGGGGTTGTGCGTTTATGTGGAGGTCAGCCATGCTCCGTGGGGCGCATGGGTCCTCTCTCGACTACCACCAATAATTGTAAGGCCGCCTCGTCGAGCGAACCTCGAGAACGAACCCCAACACAAACAAAACGACGAGCTCGAGGGCCGTAATACCGTGGCCTTTTCGCAAGTAATGCGCCGGGGTCGACCGGCGCGGCATGCGCGTGTCTGAGTGGCGTGAGTGCAACAAGGCCCACGTTCACACCCGGCCGCCGTCCCGCCCCGACTCGTCTTAGCGCCCAGGGCGAGCCGGCGGCGAGGACCCGACGTCCCGCCAAGGTGGGCGGCGGCGGCGACCCTCGTCCCTCGATGCCCTTTGCACGATTCGAGCACGTCCCCTTTATCTCGTGTCACGACGACGCGCGGTTCGTCGGTCGATCGGCGCACGGCGGTGCCGGTGCCCGGTTGTTGTGGGAGGCGCGCGTGCCGCCCCGCCGCGGCGCGGGCGCGCGGCGGCGCGGCTCGTCGGCGGCGGGGTGGCGGGCGCCCCGCGGCCCGCGCGCGGGGACGTCGTCGTCGAGATCGTCATGGCACGAGCCTCGCGCGCCGGGGCTCGTTGCGGCGCGGCGTACCTTTTTTGTATTTTGGCATTCTATGATTGAGCACACGACTACTCAGGCACTCACGGGGGGATCAGTGGAGACAGGACCCGACAGTCGCTCGAGCCACCGAGAGAGGCAAGCATGAAGCATATCGTTTGCGCTCTCAGCTGACGTTGCAGTCTGCAGTTGCTTACCACGTCGTGGGGATGTGCGCGGCGGGAACGGGCGGCGCGGGCTGGGAGGCGGACGGAATCAGCCTGCTGAGGTAGGGCATCCGGTCGCCGGTGGCCCACGCGCCCTCCAGCGCCTGTCGCAATGATTCTGTAAAACTGAAGGGCCTCCTGCCTGGCGAATGCAGCCTCACGCTGGTGTGCCCGCTCGTCGTTACCGTCGTTGGTGATTGCCGGCTCAGGAAACGGGCCGCTGTGCCTCCCGAGCGGCATTGAGTGCGGCACCGGTTCGCCAACGTGTGAAAGGTGGAGAAGATCGCTGACGGCATGGTGAGTATGCTGGAAGGTGCATGAGTGCCGTGCCTTGTGCACGCCACCCAAGCTCGGTCTGCTTGGCTCAGACAGAGCGACCTGGTAACCTGGAACGGTCCGCTGCCCGTGTGCGTCTCTTGTCGAACGTCCCCGTACTTTAGCGTACCTTTGCGCCAGAAAAAGAAATTGAACGCCCGCGGTACGAACTACACCATGCATGTACACGGCGAGAAGGGAAGCGGCAGAGAACACAGAGAAGAGGGAGATAGTGGACCGACGGACGTACGGGCACATGTGTCAGAGCGCGCACGAGTCAAAGAAATTCTTTTGTGACGGTGAAGCCCTAATACAAGATTTTTGCCGTGCCGCGCCTAGACCGCTAAGCGCTAACTCGAGCGAGCCCAGGCAGCGCCGGGACGCTCCTCTCCACCGTGATGATCCTCGCCATCATCGTCACCACGACGAGAAGAATTCTGCGAGGAGAGCGCAACCAGTAGGAGGCCCGCGCCTGCCCCCGTGCCGCCGGGTGCAACCCGTCCTACGAGAGAGGAATCCCTGGGACCCTGTCGTGTGCCCAGCCCCCCTCCGTGTCGCGATGCGCTCCCCGCTCCCGTTCCCCTGTGTCCCTAATCGTCCTTCCAAGATCCTGCTCGTGCAGGTGGGGACCTTGTCCTCCTCCCATCCCTCGTTTGGTTTGTCTGCTTTCTTTCTTAAGAATTCTGCCCCCCTCCCCAAACACAGTCCAAACCGGCCCCGGCGGCCGCCGTGCAGGAGGCCGCCGGGGCGCACCAAACGGCCCTTCACGACCGCCACGCGGGCCACCACGGCCCGTCCCGGTGGCACGGGTGCCACCACGCACCCGCCCGACGCCCCCGGCCCGCCAGCTCCCGCTCCAGGAGACTTCACCTCCGCCAGCGAGCCGCAGCGCGCCCCCCTTTCGCGCACCGCGGCCGCACGCCCGAGAAGTGGCCGAAGGGCGACCTACGCGGCACTAAAATCACGACTAGAAGCGCCGCCCGCCAGCAGGCAGCTCACCCGCCACGCGCCGCGCGCCGCCGCAGCCCCCGGCCCGCGCTGGAAGGGCTATGCCGGCCGGTAGCCGCCGTCTCCAGAGGGTTTGTCTATGCTTATTATCTATGTTATCTTATCACTTAGAGCACTCTCCTACACGTTCGCGCGCATGGGCAGTCAAGAGGGACCACGCACCTTCTCAGGACAGCGCCGGTGCCTCTCTCTTGGACCGGAAAACTTGGTGGTCTCGTGTCACCAACGTGGGACCAGTGCGGCATCGCGCCATCGGCAGCGGTTGGGGCGGCGGCGCCAGGACGCCCCGAGCGGAGCTGTGAAGAGCCTGGGGCGCGGGGTGGGGGTCGGGGAGGGCGACGTGGGCGATGGTGGTGGCGTGGGTGCGCGGGGCCGGCGTGTGGGGGCGCGGGGAGGTCGGTGGTGGTGTGTGGGAGGTGGGGCGAGAACGGAGGAGGCCGGCAGGGATGGTGGGAAGGAGGGGGGGTGACGGTGTCGGAGGGGGTGGCGGGGCGGGAGGCGGCGGTAGCGGTGGCGGCGGGGGCGGCGGAAACGGCGTTCCGAGGCGGGGCGCGGTGGCGATCACCGGTCGGCGCCTGCGCGGCCGGCCGGCCCGGTGCGCGGTGGGTTGGGCCACGGCACATGCAGCGCCGCGCGCGCCGTCGCCAGGCCCCGCCGCCGCCCCGCCAGAGCAGCGGCGAGATGGGAGGCGGTACCATCCGCTCTTCGGAGCTTTCAGCTCACTTTGACGACGCTAGGAAAATCAATTCGTGGAATCCAGTTCGAGATGCAGTGAGGCGGAGCCTACCCCTGCTGCTGAGGTGCTGCGCCGGAGGACACAAAAGAAAAACTGTTCAGTTTTCAAAGGCAAAAACGCCAGCCTACGCCCTCCCCTCACACTGACACTTCTCCCCTATTCCCGTCTGCGCCGGAGGACACACGGCGCTTGGGCCTTGGCGCTCTGAGAAGGCTGCTAGTTCCACTGTGCACTGATGACTGAGCGCACTGAGCACTGTAATTTTTTGCGAAACGAACGTGGCATGGAACGTACAAGAGAATCCAACATGGGCCATCCGACAGGACCGCTATTAAATGAAACGGGGGCGGGGTCAGGCGCCCCGCGGCGGGTTGAACGCCCCCCCTCGGCGTCGAAGCCCGCGCTCGCGCGCCGCGCGCGGAGCGGCCAGTGGCGGCGCGGCGCGCGGCGGCTCGTTCTGTACGGCGGTCAGAGCTTCGAGAGCTTCTCCCACGCCACCTGCCCGATGGCGGCGTCCTGCGCGCCGGTGCCCGTCAAGTCGCAGACGATGATCTCGTCCCCCTCGCGGCCGGGCTTGTCTCCGTTGACGACCTGGCCTAGCTCGGCGTACACGTCCGCCTGAGGGGGGGGAGCGGGCCGTGGGCAGTGTGAGTGGCGCGTCCTCCCCGCCCAGCGTCTCCCCGCCGCGTGCGGAGCCTCCGTCATCGCGCCCGCCGCCAGCGCAGAGCGCAGCTCTCCCACCTTCGACACTTGGCCGACGAGGTCGCAGACGTACTTGCAGTTGGCGAGCAGGTCGACGGGCAACTCCTGCTTGGTCGGCTGGTCCGAGCCTGCTCGCACCGAGCCCGTGTGAAGGGACGCTGCTCGCCCCTCCGCCCCCTCCCCCGGCCGGCGGGCCCGCGCCAGACGCAATCACAGTGCTGCCCGGCTGCAGCATCGAGCGCTCGAGCACGGTCGCCGAGCCGGGGGTCTGCGTGAAGACGACCTTGGCGCTCGCGCAGAGCTCCTCCGCCGACCCCACCGCCGTGAACTCGCACCCGAGCTCCGCCCGCATCTCGTCGCAAAAGGACTGCGCCATCTCTGCGTCGGCGCCGTACGCGAAGCCCGTGAAGCCGGGCCGCACCGCGGCGGTGGCGCGCGCCATCGACTTTGCGATCGCGCCGGTGCCGATGAAGCCAACCGTCTGGGCGGGGCACGCGGAGAGCGTGAGGCGCGGGTCGCACCAGGGCGCGAGAGCTGAGGCGGAGGCCGCGCCTTGTCGGTCGGCTTGGTGAGGTACTTGACCGAGATGCCGCCGGCGGCGCCGGTCCGCACGTCGGTCAGGAAGCGGTTCTCCTGGATCACGGCGAGCGGCGCGCCGTTCTTCGCGTTCATCACCACGAAGATGCCGCCGCCCGGGGGGAGGCCGTCGGCGACATTCTTGTAAAACGAGACGCACGCGAGCTTGACGGTCCAGGTCGACTCGCCGGAGACGTAGCCGCCCTTGATGTGGCAGTCGCCAGGCCCCGCGCTGGCCGTCTCGTCGATCCCAATGTGCATCGGGAAGGGCACGTCCACCTTGCCGCGAGCCAGCGCGCCAAAGGCAGCCTCAACCGCCGAGATTGCGTCAGAGACGTGGATGTGCGATGTGACGGTGGCGTAGTCAAACAGCTTTGGCGGCGGGATGGCCTTGGTGCTCAGCAGCCGGCGCAGCGGCAACGCGGCAGGCAGGCGAGAGCGAGCCAGCATCTGGTGGCGATGGACGGAGCCCCGAGCGTGGTCGGCGCAGGAGGCAGCCCCCAGCCAGCAACCTCGTTTCAAGAAACACTATATCTCGAGACCTCGAGAGAAGTCGCCCGCAGGCAAGTCACGAATTGGCTTTCTTTTGGCGGGCAACACGAGCCCACAATAGCTGAGACCAGACCGCTAGTGGAGTGGAGTCCACCTGGGAGCCTGTCGTTGTCCCTTGTCAGGAGAGAGAGAGAGCAGGAGAAAGAACCCCCTTGCTTGCGCCCGATCGTCCTTCCAATCCTGCTTGCTCGCGCAGGTGGGGACCCTGGTCCTCCCATCCCTCGTTTGCTTGCCACGTACGACAAACAAACTAGATGAGCCAGAGAATTGAGCTTTGAAGAAAATAAAAAGCCCGTCGGCGCTTGAACCTGAACCGTCTTCCAAACCCTCCCAAATGCCGGCGCTCCTCGCGGGATACGTGGTGGACGGCCACGTGCGGGAGCCGCAGGGCGACAGCACGGCGCGCGCGGAGACGGGCACGCGTCGGGCGGCCGCTGAAGGCGACAGTTGTGCCTTCGCGCCCTCGCTCTTGCCTTGCGCGAACCGGCTTGCGGGCGTGCTTGCGGGCGTGCTGGCGCTGCTCCTCGCGGCGTGCCGCGGGCGGCTGCTGCGTGGGCGGCAGGTCAAGAGGAAGAGCGTGGAGGGCCGCCGCCACGCAGCCGGCTCCGTGCAGCTGCACTCTGCGCGGCGGCTCCAAGGTGCGCAAACTTGCCCGACCCCTTGCCTCCTATCCACACTCCCCAGCTCGGGTCGCCCTTGCCCGCGGCGGCTCACCAGGTGACAGTCGTCCAGTGGCCTACAAGTTGAGCACACGTGGCGCTGCTCGCCGCGCTGGCGTCCTGCTCCTCCTCCTTGCGCAGACATCGTCCGCCTCTCCACCGCCTCCCTCGCCACCGCCCGGTCTCTGCGAGCAGATCTGGGCAACGCGGTCCCTGAACGTGCTCTGCCACAACTGCTCTAATCTGGACTGCTCCCTTACTTGGTACAGCTCGATGGCCGCATGCAAAGCGCCGATAGAATTCGGTGGCTGCATTGAGGCGTACGACTGCAAAGTCCGGTATTGCGGAGCGGCAACAATTGACCCAGCAGTCCAAGGGCGGCCGAACAACGTCACGTGCGACAAGCTCTTCGACTACAGGCCGGGGGACAAACAGGAAAGCAACGCGAAACCCTGCCAGAACTCCGATGGCGACGCCTGCGAACCCTCCGCAGCTGTAATGTGCGCCGACGGCGCAAGTGTGTCGCCGCCGGCGCAACCGCCACCGTCGCCGCCACCAGCAGCGCAGCTGCTCGACCTTCGCACGGCCACCACGTACCAGGACTTGCAGGACTCGAGCATGTTCGACAAGCAGGCGCCCGTGAGCGACCTGTCATACGCCGACAGCACGACGGGACGGCCGTGGGCCGAGTGCGGCCACTTCACAAGCCAATGGTGGGGCGTCGACCTCGGGAGCGAGGTGTATGTGCGCCACGTGAGGCTGCAGAACCGCAACGACTGCTGCGCGGAGCGGCTGACGGACGTCGACATCTATCTCGGCTCGACGGCGGAGACGTACACGGGCAACGCGCTGGTGAAGTCGGACGTGAGCGTGTCGTCGAACGTGATGTTGGAGGTGGAGATCAACGCGTTGGGGCGCTACATCTACCTCAACCGGCCGTCTGCGGCGGGGCTGACGGTGTGCAAGTTCTACGTCTTCGCTTCGCCCGCGCCGCCGCCGTCACCATCACCGCCTCCACCGCCGCCGCCTCCCTCCGCCTCGCCCTCGCCGCCGCCTCCCTCGGCATCACCCTCGCCGCCGCCTCCCTCCGCCTCACCCTCGCCCCCGCCGTCGCCGCTTCCTCCGCCGCCATCGCCGCCGCCGCCATCGCCGCCGCCGTCGCCGCTTCCCCCGCCGCCATCGCCGCCGCCGCCGCCATCACCACCGCCGCCGTCGCAGCCGCCGTCGCCGCCACCGCCGCTTCCACCGCCGCCGTTATCGCCGCCGCCGCCGTTTCCTCCGCCACCCCCCTGGACGCCGCCGCTTCCTCCGCCGCCGCCTTCGACCCCTCCGTCGCCCCCTCCTTCGGATGGGGGCGGCGGTGCGCCCGTCGCCGCCATCGCGGGAGCGGTCGTCGGCGTCCTCCTCGTCGGCGGCGCGGCCTGCCTCTGCCTCCTGCGGCGGCGAGGGTGGCGCTGGGGGAGCCTTGGCGACTCGTCGTCCTCGCCAGGCTCGGCGCGGGGAGGGGGTGCGCGCAAGGCGGCCGCCTCTCGCGACGTGGGGCCGGCGACGCCCGCCCCCCTGGGCAAGCTCGGGCAGACGCCAATGTCCGCCGAGCCGTCCTCGTTCGACCAGGGGGACTGGTCCGCGACGGCGCTCCCCCCTCTCTCGCGACGGCGCAGTGCGAGCTGCCCACGACACAGTCCGCGACACGTCCATGACACCTCCCATCATAGGAGCTCATCCCGTGGCACCAGTGCGAGCTCCTCGACCGGCTGGGCTCCGGCGCCGATTGTAGCGAGAGTAGTAGCCGCTGGCTGGCCGCAGTGCCGTGTGCGCCGGCCCGCCGCCGCTCACGCCGTGCCCCCCCCCTCCCCCCCCACCACCACCACCCCGGCGAGCAGGCGCGTCGGGGGACGTCTACCGCGCCGAGTACGCCTCGACCGACGTCGCGTGCAAGGTGCTCCGCCGCAAGCGGGCGATCGATACGCGCGAGATGCAGCAGCTCGTCGAGGAGTGCCGCCTCGCCCTCAAGCTCCGCCACCCGAACGTCCTCCTCACCCTCGGGCTCGTCTCGGACGGGAAGAGCAACCACGGCGCGCGCCGCCCACACTGCCCACAACTACTCAGGACGCCGCCCACGTGGCGACCCCCCCCACCACCACCACCGCCATGCCCACCCACCCACGCTTCCCTTCAGGCATCCTCACTGTCTGATGGACCTCTCGGTCAATGAGCCAGTCCTCACCAGTCGTGGCTGACACGCAGGCATCCTCACCGAGATGATGGACCTCACACTCGACGAGCTGATCGAGGGGCAGTCAACCCCGGCCGGCCGCCCCCCCTCGTGGGAGTCACCCTACCTCTCGGTCGCACACGACGTGGCGCGCGGGATGGCCTACCTCCACCAACACAACATCATCCACCGCGACCTCAAGCCGGGCAGCCTTCGCGCTCGCGCGGCCGGCACCTTGCCCGGACATGCCCGCGACACGTCCACGACATGCCCCGTGTAGGCAACGTGCTGCTCAAGCTGCCAACGATGACTGCAAAGGCGAGATCTAGCCGAGATCTAGCCGAGGAGGACCACCGAGGCGGGCAGACCCTCTGCGCATTCCGCAAACCCCTCGGCGCCCCACGTCGCCCGCACCTCGGCCGCACCTCGGCCGCACCTCGCCCGCACCTCGCCCGCACCTCGCCCGCACCTCGGCCGCACCTCGCCCGCACCTCGCCCGCACCTCGGCCGCACCTCGGCTCTCTAGGTGGCCGACTTTGGCGCCTCGAAGGATTTCGTCGGCGACCCGGGGAGCGACCCCACAAACGGGTGGGGGGGCGGGTCGATGAGCATGACCATGTCGATGGCCGGTACGCCCGTCTACATGGCGCCCGAGGTGCTTCGGCAGGACCGGTACGGCAAGCCGTGCGACGTCTGGTCCTTCGGCGGGCTGCTCGTCCACATCGCCACGGGGCAGCCTCCCTTCTTCGCGCTGCTGAAGCGCGGCGGCATCTCCCCGCTAAACCTGATGCAGGCTGGGCTCCTCTCGGCTCCTCGCGGCTCCTCTCGGCTCCTCTCGGCTCCTCTCGGCTCCTCTCGGCTCCTCTCGGCTCCTCTCAGCTCGTCGCCGCCCAATGTCCGATGATGCAGGCCGTCACGACGGGGAATCTGCGCCCAAGCTCGCGCATCGACGAGCTGCAGCCCTCCTGGCCACCTGCCATCGCGCGGCTCGCCGAGGCGTGCTTCGCCCTCGCGCCGGAGGAGCGGCCAGCCTTCGTTGACCTCGCCTTCGAGCTGCAGGAGGGGCTCAGACCTCGGCTGTAGCTCGGGCACACTTCTCAGCTGCACCTAGCTCTCCTGTCGAGCCCTCCTGCAACCTCGGATCTACCTTCCGCTGCAGCCCCCGGCTGCTGGTAGCTCAGCTCCCCGTGCCTCGTCCGTATCTCGGCAGCACTTCGGCCGCGTCTCACCCCTCGCCTCGTCGAGCTGCGCAGGGCCTCTGGCTCGAGCTCCACCCGGACCCTTCCATGTCCCACCGCCGCTCGCAGCAGTCGAAGCGCCGCTCAGAGGCTTCCAGAGCAGACTCGTCCGGCCGCTCCAGCCACAGGCACAGCAGCAGGCACAGCGCTAGCTATGTCCGGACCAGCCTCGGGTCGAGCCTCACAGCCTCCCGGAAGAAAGGGACGGCCTGCGTCTCGCCCTCCCGCGGCTCTCCCGGCTCCGCACCTCCCACGGACCCCGCCAACAACAGCGCGCCGAGGCTGCCTGCGGTCGAGTCCGCTGGCTCGGAGGCGTCGAGTGCGGCGCCAGGCTTCTTCTTGGGCACAAGGGCTCCCCCCTAGACGCCATCAACGGACTACCCGGAGAGATGTTCCGCATATGTCCACCTAGTTGGTACAACAAGTGCTCTAGAGAGAGCCGGGGCGCGCCACGGCGGCCGCGCCAGGGGGCGGCACTTGAGGCGGCGGGGGCCGTGTGCCGCGTCGTGACTGTCGTGCGCGGGGCATGTGGATGTGCTTTTTGACCCCTTATTTTTGTGTATTGTGATTGTATGTGTGTTTGCTATTTCCGGCGGCCCGCGCGCGCGCCCCGCGCCCGGCTCTCGTCAAAAATGAGCTATGAGGCGCTCGTCAAAACGTGCCCACTCTTACACCAGACAACGATACAGCAGTAGTGGAAGCGCTACTGCAAAGATTGCATCAGTTTGTCAGTCACAGACGTAAACACGTGTTCGCAGACAGCGAGTCCGAGATCGAGTGCCTCTCGAGCGTGAGGTCGTCCTCGGTGGGCGCGCGCAGCTCGGCGCCGAAGACGTCGCCAAAGTGGCGGAGCATCTCGGTCGCCGCCCGGTCGAGGAGGAGGGCGCGCGGCACCGCTGCCTCGCCGCGGCTGGCGAGCAGCGTCTCGACCGACGCCACCTCGCGCCCGTGCAACCCGCACGGCACGATGCCGCGCCAGTGCTCCATCTCTGTGCAGACGTTGAGCGCGAGGCCATGGTAGGTGAGCCAGCGAGAGACCTTGACGCCGAGCGCGCACGCCTTGGCGCCGCCGACCCACACGCCCGTAGCGCCCGGCTCGCGCTCCCCTTCGAGCCCGAGCGAGCCGAGCGTGCGGATGGCAACCTGCGGGGCGGGGCGAGGGCTGCTCAAGCCGCTTCCACGTGCCTCCCGCCGCTGCACGGGCGAGCCTCTTCGAGCGAGCGCATGTACCAATGGATGTCCTGCTGGTAGTGCCTCAGGTTGAGCAGCGGGTACATCACGAGCTGGCCCGGGCCGTGGTATGTCACCTGCGCAGGGCGGCGAGGTAGTGCCAGTGACTCTCGAGCGCACGGAGCACGCGCTCTGGCGAGAGGCCGCACCTCGCCGCCGCGCTCGGTCCGGACGAGATCAAAGGCGGGATCGACCACGTTGGACAGCGTGCTCGTTGAGCCGAGTGTGTACGTGGGAGGGTGCTGCAGCAAGATGAGAGCGTCGTCCAGCTGCCGCGCAGGCTGCTCGCCGCGCGGGAGCAGCTGCGCGGCGCGCTCGGCGTGGAGCGCGCGCTGCCAGGAAAGAGCCCGCTCGTAGGGAACGCAGTCGGCGCGGCGGTCGTGCAGGACGACTGGGCGAGACGCGAGGAGAGCTGCGAGCATTCGTGTGGGTGAAAAGAATTTTACAGTGCCGAATTGTGCGTGCTTGGGCGCCCTCGTCTCTGCTAGGGTGGGAAGACCGCGAGGTGGCATGAAGGTTGAAGCGAGAATCGGCGAGAGACTGCGAAGAGAGATTGGAAGAGGCAGACGCCCAAGGGTGGGCGACGGCTAGCACCACACTCTTCTCCCTGTGAGATGGCTGAGTGAGGCTGCCTCGTAGGACGTAGCTCGGCAGTTGGTCGTACTCGAGCAGAGAGCCAATCGAAGCGCGTACATCGGTGCAATTGTCGGCTCAAGAGGGCCTGGAGCATTTCTACCGTCAGACCTGCATTCCACGTTCTCGCCGGCGGCATTTGTGTTCGGGGGGACCGGTGTCAAATCGCCAAAGGGCAAGAGATCCAAAGTACGAAAGTAGCTCGGCACTCTGGGATTGCGAAAGCCGTCTCCTGGTGGGTGGGGGGTGGGTGGGTGCTTTTTGGGTTGGTTTTTTTTTGGGGGGGGGGGGGGGGCTGTGTTCGTGCGCTTAAAAGCCGCAAGTCGGAGAGAGATTTTTAGCAATACCAAACAACTCTAACACTCACACGTAATTTGGGGCCTGGAGCCCTGTTCACGCGCGCGCGAGACGTGCAGACAGGGTTGCCAGGTGAGAGCGAATGGCGCGGTTCACGCCTCGCACAACAGAGAGAGAGATGCGCTCTGCATGGTGGGACATAAAAGAGAGCGAGTACTTGGGCGAGTAGGCCGTGCGGTCAACGCTGCCGCGCGCGACTTTGCGCGCGAGGCGGCGCAGCTTGAGAACGGCGGTGGGCGAGAAGCCGCCGCCGAACGTCTCGTGGATTGAGTTTATTAATGGTGGAGTACGAGGACTGGGGGTTCAACCGGGAGGCAGGGGGTTCGACCTGGCGACGGAGGACCGTGGGCATCGAAGAAGAAAGAAAGAAAACTTCCAACGAAGGGAGGGATGGGAGGACGGCACGCCGCCACCACACAGACAACCAGGAGGAGGGAAAAAGTTTTTCAGGTTTCGCGGTGAGCTTCAGCTGGGTCAAGGACATCCCTGCCGCCACGATGGCCACGTCCGTCGCCGTCGCGGGCTCCTCCTCCGCCGTGCGTTTTGTTTTTGTCAAGTCGGCGAGAGCAGCCGGGCCGCGCGCGTGCCCTTTTTTGCCTCTTTCAGGTATCTCGACGATGTATACGGTCGATCCAACATATCCAAGAAGAGGAACGGGCTCACTCTCTATCGCCATTCTCGTGGCATACACTGGAGACTCTTGGAGCGCGTGACGACCGGACTCCCCCGCCTCGTGTAGTTCTCTCCCCCGCGGCGCGCTTCACCCGAGCATGGCGGCCAGCTCCTCCTTCTTCTTCGCGAGGTACGCCGCGCCGCCCTTGCTGGCGTACTCCTCGCACTGCTTGTCGAGGGCCTCCTTCTTCTTCAGGACCGAGTCGAGGCGCTTGCTGATGGCCTTCTCCGTCAGCTTGCCCTCGCTGCTGTCGGCCAGCTTCTTGAGAAACGGCGCCTGCTTCTCCGTCGCCGCCTGGGCAAGGAGGACCACGAGGCGACTCAGCCCAGAGCGCGCACACGTCGGTGGGGCGGGGGCCGGTCGCGCGCGCGGGAGGCTGTCTCACCCTCGAGGCCTCGAGCCACTCCGGCGTCGGCTTGCCCTTCGCCTTTGGGGGCGGCTGCATGCCTACCCACGCCTCCACGTCCGCCTGCGATAGCGCCCCCCCCTCGAGCTGCAAGTCGGGCTTGAGCGTCTCGAACGGGTCCGCCGAGCCCGCCGTCAGCTTGTCCACCTCCTGCTGCAGCTTGGCCGCCGCCTTGGCCTTGGCCTGCTTGGCCCTCTCCTCCGCCTCCGCCCGCCTCGCCGCAACCTCCTTCATCAGCGTCTCGGGGTCGTCCAGCTTCCACGTGCTCGACTGCCCCTCGCGCGTCGCGTCCTCGAGGCGGACCCCGATCGCGGTCAGCGCGTCGTCGCGGACGTGGTCGCAGGCGGTCAGCACCGCGCCGTGCCCGCCCGCCGCCGCCGCACGGATGGCGCCCGCAAAGTCCGCCAGGACCTTCGCCACCTGGTCGCTCAGCCGCGCCGCCGCCGGCGCGCTGGCCTGCACCTTGTCCGCCACCGCGTCGCACGCGCCGAGGATCTCCTCGACCGGCCCCTTCTTGCGGGCGATGCTGCGGACCGCGTCGCGGAACTCGGTCAAGGCGTCGAGCGGCCCCTCCACCTCCGCCTCGGATCCGGCGCTCGAGACGGGGAAGCCGATGTCGTCGGCGCCCTCGGCGACGCCGACGACCTTGAGGATCTGCGTAATGTACACGGCCGCCTTCTGCACCAGGTAGACGGCCGGCGCGGCGGGCGGCGGGCGCGAGAGGTAGTTGTTGCAGTAGGTGACAAGCGAGGAGAGCGCGTCCACCACCTGCGGTGGAGTGGGTCCGGAGGAGGTCAGAGGAGGTTCAGAGAAAGAGAAGGCTCAGAGAGGGGGGTTGAAGGGTTCAGAGACACGTCAGGCCCGCCACCTGCGGCGTGTTGAAGTTGTCGCAGAAGCCGTGGTGGCACTTTGACTGGCAGTCGGCGATCTGGTCGTACAGCGCGCGGTCCTCCTCCCTGCTCCTCCAGCCCACCTCCTCGTCGAGCCACTTGGAGCGGATCAGCGCCTTGACCGTGCCGAAGAAGTTCTTGAACTGCGCCTCCTTGGACTTTGCGGCGCCTAGAGAAGACAGCTGTGGATAAAAGAAGGCAGATACGCACGCGCGCCTCCCCCGGTCGTTGCGGACGCCGACGGTCTGGTCGGAAAAGTTCATCGGCCGGTCCCACGGCTGCATGAGGAACATGAGCCGGATCTGGCGCGCCGAGTGCTCCTGCAGCGCCTGGCGGATGGTGATGAAGTTCTTGAGCGACTTGGACATCTTGAGGCCCTTGATGTGCAGGTGGCCGGCGTGGAAAAAGTAGTTGACCCACTGGTGGTGGCCGTAGTACGCCTCTGACTGGGCAAGCTCGTTGTCGTGGTGCGGGAACTTGAGGTCGGAGCCGCCGGCGTGGATGTCCATGTTGGCGCCGAGGATGTCGCCCGCCACGACCGAGCACTCGATGTGCCAGCCAGGCCGGCCGGTGCCCCACGGGGAGGGCCACGCGGGCTCGCCCGGCTTGGAGCTCTTCCAGAGCGCAAAGTCGTTCGGGTTCTTCTTCTCGGCCGCCTCGCCGGCGAGCTCGCCTGAGGAGGATTGGACAAGCATCACGTACGCTGCTGAGTGGCCACCGCTCAGCGCCTCCCGGCGAGCTCGCCTAGGAATCAACACTTGACAATCGAGTACAATGTTCGACCGAAGCGGTTTCGCGCCGCCGGCGGGCTCGCCCTCGCCCTCCGCCATGTCGGCGGCGCTCGTGTCGCCGCTGAAGGGCGAGAGCTTGCGGTAGTGGTGCCCCTGCGTCTTGAAGGCGTCGATGTCGAGGTAGACGGAGCCCGAGCCGCCCTTGTACGCGAGCCCCTTGTCGACGATCTTTTGGACAAACTCGATGATCTGCGGCACGTACTCCGTCACGCGGGTCATCACGTCTGGGTCCTTGACACCGAGCGCCGCCATGTCGTCGAGGTAGGCCTGCACCGCACCGGCGGCCGTGAGCGGCACCTCCTCTCAGCACCCCCCCACCTCGCCCCACCTCGCCCCATCTCTGCCCCGTCTCTCTCCCCATCTCTGCCCCGTCTCTCTCAGCCGCGCCTTCTCCCAGAAGCGCGCGTGCGCGTTGAAGATCTGGTGGTCGGTGACGGTGGAGCCCTTCTCCGCGTCGAGCGTCTCGCCCAGCTCGCTCCCGGCGAACCGGAACAGCGCCTCGATCGGCGACTCGCTCGCCGCGGCCAGCGCCTTGAGCCGCGCGAGCAGCGAGCCCAGCCGCGCCGCCTGCTGCGTCAGCTCGGCGAGCCGCTTGGCCTTGGCCGCGTCGGACTGGTCGAGCGTGTCGCGCGCGGCCTCGAGCTCCTCGTTGAGCGCGACGGTCTGCTCGACCAGCTCCCGCTCGAGCGCAGCCGCGCTCGTGCTCGCCACCCCCGCGTCCGAGCAGACCGCCTCGAGGATCGACGAGGCCGCGCCGCCTCCGCCGGCGGCTACCTCCCTGATGGTGGCGACCGAGGCGGCGATGTCGTCGAACTGCCGCTTCTTGAGCGCCGCCGCCGCCTTCTCCGTCTCGTGCATCTCCCTCTCCCGCGACGGCGCGTCGGCCGGCAGCTCAATCGCGGCGAGCGCCGCCATCTTCTTGTCGAGCTTTTGTCCCTTTGCGTCGAGCGAGGCGCCGACCGCAGACTCGACGGCGGCGTAATCTGCGGCGTGCTCGGCCTTGAAGTCGGCGAGCAGCTTGTTGCGGCGCGCCCGCAGGATGATCTTGTCGTCGATGTCGGTGATGTTGATCTGGTAGAGGACTTCGTACCGAAAGTAGTCCTCGATGATGCGGCGCAGGATGTCAAAGGTGAGATAGGCGCGCGCGTGGCCCATGTGGCACGCGTCGTAGACGGTCGGCCCGCAGGTGTACCAGAGCACGCGCCGGCCGCGACCCGGAATGAACGGGACCGGGTCCGACTGGTCGGTGAGCGTGTTGTGCACGCGCAGGCCGACGTCGACCCCCGCCTGCGACGGGTACCACGGAGGGTGCTCGGTCTTGTCCTTCTTGCTGATGATTGGCTCGCCGTAGGAGAGGCTGCCAAAGAGGTTGCACGGGCACACCATGCCCTCGGCGCCGGGCGCATTCGGCGGTGGCTCGTCGAGCGCGGGCGGGCAGACTGGCGCTGCTGGGCTCTTCTTTGCTTTGGCGCCAAGCTTCTCCGCCAGATAACGGAGCGGGTCGGCGGGTTGGTCGGCCGCGACCAGATTCATGAGTGCCGTCAGCTTCTCCTCCAGCCCATGCTCCGCGATGTAAGCCAGGCTCGCCGAGGGCGTCGACGCCATGAGAGTCGCGGCTGCTTTGGGCAGCGTGGGCCTCTGCTGCGCTCGAGAAAAAAGAATTCGATTTTTGCAGGGACAGTTTGTGTCTGTGTGTGGTTGCTCGGTGCGTGTCGTCATCATCTATCTAGCGTCCACCCATACCGCGTTGTGTCCCCCCCCCCGCAGATCGCCCTCAGAGCTCAGTGGGGGAGACCGCGACACCGGTGACGGAGCGCAGTTGGGAGTATCTTTGGCTCACGCCAGAGGGCGCTCGTTGCTCCTCCGTCTCTTTGTATCTTCCATATACTGCGTTTATCAGAAGACTGGCTAGCCCTGCATCTAGCCCTGCATGTCTTCATTCTACAGAACACCGGTGTGTCGTTGCTCGTGCGCGCGCGGCAAAGACGAGAACGACGCCTCGTCCGTGGGTTGTACTGGATGCAGGAATCGGCCATCAAGGGATGAATCAAGCTGCCAGTGTGTGCGTCGTGCTCTACATGCCGTTGAGTGCGGCGGCAGTTTCGGGCAGGGGCTTGGCCGCGCCGCGGCGCGCAGCGAGTTCGTAGAGACCATCATGTGTGCTTGTCTGATGTCCCCACACCCCCGGTGCTCTGATGCAGGTAATGTGTGGCGCTGTCTCTCAAGATGGAAGCAGGAAGCTTCCATCCCGGCGGTGGTTCGAATCCACGTGAGCCGAAGGTGAGGGGGAGAACCGTCCGAGGTCTGAAGCTCACCCATTGAGGAAGTGAGGGACTGCTCGGCCCACCCTGATCATGCTGACCAAGTTCCTCTTGTAGCTCGATCGGTCACACCGCCATCGCCGTCGGGGAGAGGGGGGACGACACTGCTCTGGCAGCGTGCACCTCGATCCTGTACCGTGTTTGTTATCTACCCCCCCCCCCCCCCCATGAACACCCCAGTGAGGGAGGGTGAGACGATCGAGGGGTCCCGTACCACGCGGAATCGACCCTATCCAGTGCTCAAGTGCTCACGAAGCGATGTCTCTCCAGCTTTGCCGACCGGCGACCCGACACCCGTCGCGACGCGTCGTGCGTCGACTTCCTGACGACAGGTACGCGCCCACGAGCAGCACGGGGACGTTCCCGCCGAGCGCGGCGATCGCGTCGATTTTATGCTAGCTAACACACACACTACCTCACACACGACTCAGCAACCGCCTCCCGTCCTCACGGAACGGAGGCGCTCCCTCGTCGACGCATCGGTGTCTGCGGCGCGGGCACGGGAGCGAGTGCCGAGCAGAAGGTCGAGCACCCAGCCGCCTCCGGAGTGCTCCGCGTTTGCGATGGCGGATAGAGTGGTGCTGTACACAAAGGAGAAGCCGGTCAACGCGACGGCCTGGTGCCGGACCGGCACGAAGCTGAAGTTGACGACGTTGAACGGAATGAATAAAAGCCACGTCGCCTTCAGCGTCACCCAATACTCACGCTTTGCCTTCTCCAGCGTCCGTGTCAACGTTCGGCCGAGGACGACGCCCGTCCACGTGTAGAAGAGCGGCAAATACACGAAAGGGTTCATGATGAGCTGCGTGAAACACATCTTCGGCACGAGCGTGCGAAGGCCACCAGATTGCGGCAAGATCGACTCGAGCCTCTGGAATATGTGGTGCATGCAAGGGCCGTTCCAGATACCGCCTAGCGAGGTGAACGCGAGGCCGCGCCGCAAATCGTAAGAACCGCGTCCCTCGAGGTGCTGCGCAGTCGCATCGCCTGTCGCTGCGAGCAAAGTCCCTGTCGCCGCTTTGACTGCTATCGGACGGCGCGCCAGCAGCCGCTCGTACTTGGCCAGCATCCAGCGACCTCGACCTTGGCCGATCCGACTCCTCTCTCGTCGGCCCCGGCCGATCCGACTCCTCTCTTCGGCCGACAACGCTCGGTCCAAAAAGAATTTTACAAGCTCCCTCGCACAACACTGGGCACGGGACTGGCACGCACTGGCACTCCAAAAAGAATTTTACAAACTCCCTCGCACAACACTGGGCACGGGACTTGCGCGCACTTTGGCACTCCAAAAAGAATTTTACAAACTCCCTCGCACAACACTGGGCACGGGACTTGCGCGCACTTTGGCACTCCAAAAAGAATTTTACAAACTCCCTCGCACAACACTGGGCACGGGACTGGCGCGCACTGGCACTCCAAAAAGAATTTTACAAACTCCCTCGCACAACACTGGGCACGGGACTGGCGCGCACTGGCACTCCAAAAAGAATTTTACAAACTCCCTCGCACAACACTGGGCACGGGACTGGCGCGCACTGGCACTCCAAAAAGAATTTTACAAACGCCCTCGCACAACACTGGGCACGGGACTGGCGCGCATTGGCACTAACACAGGTATTGGAATTTCAACCAACACGAGTCACTGGACACCAGACGCTATAAGCGCGCGCAGGCAGGTTGCCAGCCGAGGTGTACACATATATAACTGCTTGGCGCTTGGCGCTGCCTCCGTGGCCCATCTAGGTGTGCTTGAGGGGTAATGGGGGGTCCTTCGCGCTCGAGAGGCCAGCGGTGAAGAACGTTGCTGGCCTCGTCGTACGCGAAAGCTTGGAGAGCTGCTCTGCGGAGAGCTGCGTGGACTGGGTTGAGTCGGAGGAGAAGGAGTAACAGGTAATGTCGGTGCCGGGCGAGACGAGCCCCTCGGAGGGGACGGAGCCAGGCGACACGAGCCCCTCGGCGGCTGCGCCGTCACTGCCGACCAGCCCAATCTCGGTCACGCCTGTTTGGGCGCGGCAATCATTCCGTCATCAAATGCGCTCATTCTGTCATCAAATGCCTCGCCGACGAGGGGAGCGGACCGAGAGAGGTTGTGTGGTGTGAGTGTGACTGTGCATGTGTCGAGAGAGAGTGGGGGGGGGGGGGGGAGGGGAGCACCACAACAGAAGCCAGTCGAGGAGAAGCCGCCCTCGAAGCCGCGAGTGAGGCTTGCCTCCGATGAGGAACAGCTCTCGGCCGTGGCGCCGGGACCGGCGGCGGCGGCGGCTGCGGCGGCAGCCACGCTCGGCCATCCCAGCTGCAGCTGCGGCTGCAGCGTTTCGGAGCACGCGCTGAGGCGAGCAAAGGCGCTGAGGCGGGCAAAGGCGCTGCCTGAAGCAATCAGGACCGCCAAAGCGCCGGTGTGGGACACATCCTGTAACTCCAGCCCGCCGATCTCGGAAAGCATTCCGTCGCGGATCTTGTCTTTAATGAAAGAAAACGTGCCGCCCGAGCTGCGCATCGACAAGATAACGGAGCCCCTTGATATCTCCTGGAACTCGATCGAGGCCTCGCCGCGGAGGTTGAACTTCGAGTTGAGCTGGCGGACGAGCCTCTCGCCCTCAGGAATGCTGATCACGAAGTCGTCGCGCTCGTGCAAGACAATGTTGAATGTGGTGGAGAGCTCGTGCACCTCGATGTCATCGTCCAAGACGGGCAGGCCGATGTGGCAGAGCTTGCTCTGCAGGTAGGAGACAAATCCCTCCTTTGTGTCGATGTCGGAAGCGCGCGCGAAGATCTCGAACGAAAAGCGCGCGGCTGGGGGCGGCGGGGGTGACGGCCGGATGTGAAGCTGCGGTTTCCCGCCGTCCTCCTCGACCAGCTTCTCTCGCCGTGCCTTTGGCGCGTAGCTCTCGAGCGCTGCACACCCGTGAGCGTGCGCTGCCTCGACGTCCACGTCGCCCTCGTCAGACAGCAGGGCGCTGTAGAAGCCTGTCGAGTAGTTGATTGCGGCCTGGTCACTGATTCGGCCGCGCACCGAGACGACATACCTCAGGGTCGGAATTCGATCGAGGAACTCCTTTCCGAGGAGGTGCCCGGTGCACGCGTTCAGCACGACGCACTCGAGCGACGGACACTGTCGGAACAAGTTTGCCAGCCCGTCAGGCGGGATGATCCGCTCGCCCACCTCGTCGCCAGGGTCTGGGTCTAGCACGAGCCCCGCCTCCATCTTCTCGAGCGTCTCGCGGCAGAGGACACCCGCAGCGTCGCCCTGCCCTGGCAGCAGCGTCACCGGCGTGGTCGGCGGCGGATCCGCAAGGCACGCTCGGATCGCTTCAACGCACGCTCGCTCAAGCGCTCGCTCCGAGAGGCCGTGATCTCTACATCGCCTCTCCACGAGCTCTCTTACCTTCAGGTCGAGGCTGCCGTGACAGGAGAAGTGCACGACAGCGCAGTTGGCGAGCCGGGGACTCGTGATGATGATGCGCTTGAGCGTCGCTTTCGTCATCGCGTGAAGGGTACCCTCGTCGCCGGCGAGTAGGAGAGCCTCCTTTATCGCTGACTCCTCACGATCGATCTCTAGCGCCCTCCCGCCCGCAGAAGATGCGACGAAGAAGACGCGCGCCGAAGAGAGGTTCCTCGGCTCCGCCTTGGCTGCCGCCTCCGCCGCCAGTCGCTCCGCCTCCGCCTTGGCTGCTGCCTCCGCCGCCAGTCGCTCCGCCTCCGCCTTGGCTGCTGCCTCCGCCGCCAGTCGCTCCGCCTCCGCCTTTGCTGCCTCCGCCGCCAGTCGCTCCGCCTCTGCCTTCGCCGCCTCCGCCACCGCTGCGGCCTCCTCCTCCTGCCGCACCCGCTCCGCCTCGACTGCCACCGAATCGACGCGGGCCGAAGAGTTCCTCGTCGAATCGATGCTGCTTCCGAAGCTGCTTTCTCCTACGTCGAAACTGCCACTGCCACTACTGCCGCCGCCGTCGCTGCCGCCGCTGCCGCCGCCGCCGCCGCCGCCGCCGCCGCCGCCGCCGGCACTGCTGCCTCCGCCGCCGCCAACACCTCCGCCTTCCCGATCGTCTTCCTCCTCCGAACGCCGACGGCGGCTGAGGCGCCCGAGCTGGATCACCTTACGCGCCACCACCATGTGGCGCCGGAGGAGCTGCCACCGCTTCGCTCCGCCACCGCCACCCCCACAGCCTCCGCCGCTGCCGTCGCTGTGCCGCGAGTCCTCCGTGTCGCTGTGCCGCGAGTCCTCGAGACCTCGGGGTGTGCCGGACAAGGCGTTCTGAATCGACATGAATCGATATTCCTCGATGTTCCAAACGCCGTCCCGCGAGGTCTCGATTGATATGCTTTCGGCCGGGTTTGCGAGGATTGGCGTTACGCCAGCTACGACGTGTTTTCTGACGGCCAACCGTCAGTGCACGGAGTTGCCCCTTCTTTGGCTGCCCCGTCTTGCTAGTAGTTCCCGGGTCTTCGTTCGTCGCTGACGGCGAGATGAGATAGCGAAGTCTCTCTCTCTCTCTCTCGAAGCCTGAGGGAGTTATCTCGTACTGCCGAGATTCCTTCGGCGAATAAAAAATCTTTTTCTCGTGGGGGGGGGGGGTACATGCACCTGTGTTCGTGCGAACCAGGTTCCGAGTCATGGCAACGGGCCAGCGCAAAATCGCGAAGCCGCTACCGCCTGTCTCTCCGTTGTGTCCATGCGGTGCTCTCAATACGCTGCACCATACCGCCTTCCCGCCCTCATGTTGGCGTACTCAGCACGTAGGCTCGAGCTGATCGCCCTCTTCGAGAACCGCGAGTACCCCTCCCACCGATATAGGACGTGCCAATGTGGCAGTGCGCGAGAATGTCTGGGCACGGGACTCCTCCCCATCCCTCAGGTGTGTATTTTCTTTGGAGACGAGGGAGAACGTGCACAACGTAAAGCCATCTCAGCATCGTTTTAAATTCTCTTTTCCTCTACTTTGACAACAAACTCCCTCTACTTTTTTGCTTGCAGCAAGCAGCTGTCCTGACAGCTGCGGCCCCCTCCCTCAGTAGGTGCGGCTGGAGAGTCTGTCTACTGTCTGTCTGGAGACTCCTGAGGCGCTGGCTGTGCGACGGCAGCTTGAGCATCCAGTACGAACCGACCGACCGAGTCCAGCGAGGTCGGCCGCCTTGGTTTGTTCTGCCACGACGTCACGGCCTGGGGGAATGGAAGATTGTCGGAAGGGATAGAAGTTGTGGGGAAAGTAACGAGAAGTCGGGGGGCACTTCTCATTCTCATAAGCACCAAATGAGGCGCGGATCGCATCCAACAGAAGCTTTTGGACCGGCCCAAAACCGCAACGGGCCGGTAAGCTTCGACGCCGCCCCCCGCGCGGCCGCGGCCCTCACGCAGCCCAGGAATCGTCGCAATGGAGAGCACGGCGGGGACAGAGACAGGCGCGCGTGCCGGCGAACACCTTGCCGTGCTCTCGCCAATGGCGGCGATGCAGAACCACGACGACAATGCAGAGGCGCGCGCTGACAATGAGGCCGCGCTGAGGACTCCACCCCAGCAACCTCGCAAGCTCGGCGGATTCGACAGCTCACAGACCCCGACAACACCCGAAATCAAGCGCCGCCTCGGCACTGGACTCCCACTTCCGTCTGCAAAGAAAAAGCTGGGGTTCGGTCTGGGCGCCAGCGACGCGCCCAATCTGCAGCAAACTATTCTCGCCACGGCGATCCCGCGTGGCGCGGCGGCGATGCCGATGCCGATGAGCGCGCACTTCTCGACCTCTGAATTCCACAAGCAGGTGAGCCGGCGACCTGCAACAGGCTGCCCACTCTCGTGCCTGAAGCCGCGCGCGCCCCCCCCCCCCTCAGATGATAAAGCATCGGCTGAAGCAGTTCACGCCAATCAGGCCTCGGATATCGTCTCACAGCAGCGCCGCACTGGCGCATGCGAAGCAGATGAAGCGAGCTCAGCGGCAGCAGGAGCGGCAAGAAGCCGAGCGGCAGGAGGCACCGCTCGCTCCCCAGCCGCCACCTGCAGCTCGGCCTGCAGCCAGCGACAGGAAAGCCCGGCGTTCCTCCAAAGCGGGCTGCAATGACGAGGTATACCGCGCCATTCAGGTCTACGCAGCTCTCGCCCGTCGTGCCCCTCTCTGCGCTCCTTCCCACGCGAACCACCTCCCTTGTGCAGGGGATTGACGCGCAAGAGGTCGAGACGCTCCTGGACGCGGACATCGACGAGCTGCTGTCTCTCGTCAACTGAACTATCAGCCGACTGGTCTGCTTAATCTTGTGCACACGTTTACTGCCTGAGATGCGTATATGGGGATTGAGAGAGTGGGAGAAAACCCAAAAATAAATTATGTATCCGCGTCGTCTCCACGCGCGCTGGGCACGTGTGCGGCACACGGAGAGCGGGGACGGCCCCGGGGGTGGGACGTGTGTGGATCTCACGCACGAGCCGTTGCACACGCGCAGCCGGACGTCACGCGGTCCCCGCTACTCCTACTGGGCGAGCCTAAGCGACTCTGACCCAGGGGATAACCCGACGGTTGTGCGATCATTGTCGTGACAGCGCGCCGACCTCATTGAGTGGACCCTCCCGTCTGCGCCGACCTCTGCTCTAAGCAAGTGCTGCATCCCCGCAAACTCGGCCAGCAGCGTCGGCGATCGCCCGCTCTGGCCTTCTGGCGGCGCCCCCCAGACGCCTCCCCCCCACGGCGTCACCAAAACTCCGCCCGCGTTGAACTTGAGCCCGGCAAAACCGGCCCATGCCCACGAGATCGCGCCTGCGGGCGAGGCAGCCGACGCCTCCAGCGCCGTGGCGAGGCGTGAAGCGGCGCGGTCCGCCGGAGTCAGCTTGCGGAGGGTGTGTCCCGCGCAAGCGTCCTCGCAGAGGAGTGCTGGCTGCTTGATGAGCCACTCGAGCGACCGCTCCTCTGCGCGCTCGTCGTACTGCGGCGGGTCGGTGTACTCTGCGCCGCCCAAGCCGAGCGGCAGCCGCAAAATGAAGCAGTCTGTAAAGCTGGCGCACACTCCGTCGGCGCAGCCCGCCCCGGCACCGAGCGCGGACCGGCTGAAGAGGATCCGCGACGGCGAGAGCGCGCGCCAGTGCGCCATGCTCGCCAGCTCGCCGGTGGCCTGTGGCGGCGGTGAGTCTGGCTCGTCAGGGGGTGCGGCTGGAGCCCCGCCAGCGGGGCGAGCTGGCGCCGCCTGCGCCACGCCTCCCCGTAAGAGCAGCACCTGGCCGGCGCGGCCGCGGTACGGGCCCGAGCCCTCGACGCGCCGGGAGAGCTCGTCGGCGGGCGGGAGGACGGGCTTTGACCAGCGGGCGAGCACGTCGGCGGCGACGACGAGCTTCGCCACCGCGCCCTCGCCCCGGAGCTCCCACGCTTCTGCCGCCGCGTGCAGCGACATCGTCAGCGACTGACCGCAGAGGTGCAGCGCCACGCCGCCGCCGCTCGCCGCCGCCGCCCAGCGGCCATGCCCCTTTGGGCTGACCAGGAAGCCGTGCGACATGAAGTGCACCTGCATCCCTCCGGCGCGCCGAGGGTGAGGGGAGAGAGGCGACGCCGAGGGAGGGGCGAGGCGGACAGCGGAGCGGTGGGAGGGGCGGCCGCCGCCGCGCCGCGTGTGGCTGCGCCGCCGCTCGCGTCTACGCCGCTCTCCTTTTCCACACGGAGCGACCCGCCGCCCGCCGTCCCGGTGATGGTCCACGGGCCAGTGCCCAGCAGCGAGGCGGCGGTGGCGTCGCCCCCTGCGGTGGGCAGCTCCCTAGGCAGCTCCCCGGCCGCAGGGCCGCCCTTCCCGCCGGGCGGTGGGCGGAGGTGAAGGCGCGCGAATCCGGCGAGCGAGCCGGGGCTGCGCGGCGTCGGCCAGCCGCCGGGCGCCGCCTCGAGGGCGGCACTTGCGTTGTTGAAGAGGGCGGTGAGCACGTGCGCGCGGTCGTGGCCGCACGCGGGTGGCAGATCGAGGTCGCGGGGCGGGTGGCGCGCCATGTAGTGCCGCTTATCGAGCGACCACTCGCCGACCTGCAGCTCCATCGGGAGGCCCTCGCGCGAGTACTCGATGCCGTAGGTGTAGTGGAAGATGTAGTAGGGCATGCGGTGCGGTGTGCCGCTCCGGCCGGGGACGAGCGGCCCCTCTGGCACGACAGGCGTCGGCGTGGGGAGTGGCCACGCGAGCTGGCGGTTGTGGTTGCCGATGGAGCCGCCCTCGAATTGGAGCGCGTCGAGCACGAGGTGCTTGACGCCTGGTCAAGGCGGGGCCACCCGTCAAGCCAGCAGTCAAGCCAGCAGTCAAGCCAGCAGTCTGGCTGTCCGGCACGAGGCGCTCGGTGCGTGCCGCAGCGCGCGGGCGGGATCGGCGCGCCGGTCGCGGGAGGGGCTTGCGAGGGGAGTCGGAGGGAAGGAGGCGCGGCGGCGGCGGCGGCGGCGGCGGCGGCGGCGGCGGCGGCGGCGGCGGCGGCGGCGGCGGCGGCGGCGGCGGCGGCGCGCACCGAGAGATGCCGCGGCGATGGCGTAGCCCCACATCTCGCGCACCTAATTAATAGTTAATTAGTTAATTGGGCCTAATTAACTATTAAGTAGCCCCACATCTCGCGCACCCAGCCGAGGGCCTGCACGGCCTGGTGGTCGGCCATGATCTTCTCGGTGAACTGGAGCCACGGCCGTGCGATGCGGCGCAGCTGCTCCTTGTGGATGAGCAGCGGCGACGGGCCGACCGGGTCCGTCTTGCCGCCCAGCCCGGGCGAGATGCGGTCGACGACACCCGCCTGGCCGGAGGCGAGCATGTAGCCGAAGTGGAATGCGGCCGGCACCGTCTCCGACGCGAGGTTGGGCATCGGCCGCAGCATCACGTGGTCCGTCTCGGCGATGAAGATGTACTCCTCGGCGATCCTGTCCAGGTGGCCGCCCTCCACAAACTGCACGATCGACGACGGCCGGTTGATGACAGGATAGCCGCCCCGCCGCTCGTTGACGACCACGGTGGGCATCTCGTTTGCAAAGGCGTCGGGCCGGTCCTTGACGCCCGTCAGCAGCCGCGTGAAGCCGCCCATCTCGCCGCATGGGTCCCGAGCGCGCTGCAGCTGCCAGTGGTGCCGCATGACACGCGACTGCCAGAGCTGGTACGGACCGGACGACGCCGTCAGCAGCGTGTGGTACGGACGCCGCTGCTTGCCGCAACCTGTGCGCGCGTCCACCGGCACTGGCAGCGTGCCGCCGTTGCATGCGTAGCAGCTCGTGGCAGCTGCGTCGGGCGCAGCGATCGGAAGCTCGACTGGCGAGTCCGGGCGGTCGCGCACGGCCCGACCCATCCGCGGCTCAGGGAGCACTTTCCGTGCCGGCGTCGCCTCTGGAAGACTCGCCGGATTGGGCTGAGGGGCTGCGGTTTGGTTGGCCAGCGATGGCAGCCGCTGCCTTCGGCGCGTGAGCAGCTCAGACGCATCTGCTCGCGCAGCGTCGGAGTGGTAGATGTGGCCAAAGAGCGCGGGAACGGCGAGCACGGTGGTCAGGAAGACAAGAGCGACAGCTGCGGTGAGTTTGACCAGACGTTGAGATGGGCGACGAGCAGCTGAGCTGCTGTCCCGATCCGCCATCGTGACGGACTTGCTTTGTATCGAGAAAAAGACAAAATTGTCGCTGGCACTGCGCGGCTCTCATTGACACCACGCGGAACGTATCTCCATCGCTTCGGTGAAGAGGGTGAACCGCGCCATCCTTGATCGCCGTGCAAAGCTCGCTTCCGAGCTCTCACGCCGCGCGTATAGGGCCCTTAGTTAGGGCTTAGGGAGGGAGGGGCCTAGAGAACACAACCCCCTCTCCCTTCTCTCCCAGTAAGCTAAAAGTACGTAACAAGAACACAACGCACTCTCTCACATGACAAAGCGATCCCACGACCCAGCGATTGTGGGGACTACATGATCCGTACGTGTGTTAGAGTTGTTTGGTTGGATTGATTGCTAAAAATCTCTCTCTGAATGAAGGGTGGAGGGGCCCATCCGCAGAGCTACATGTAGGCGGCGTGGGCGCCCCCCACTGGGGCCGAGGGTAAGAGGACGTCTGCCGCTTGCTTGTTCTTGACGTCGTTGACCCAGTTGGCACGCTCAGGGGAGTTGATTGATTGAGCCACAGTTGATACGCGTATTGCGCGCCTGCTTGTTGATGTTTTTCGGCGTCGCCCGCCACCGCCGCCATGGAGATCTGCTGCGTGTGGTGGACGACAAAGGAGGAGGCGCTCGCCGACGCCGCCCCATACACCGTCCGGTCCGTGGTGGTGTGCCAGAAATTTCGCGCAACGCGTCAATTGCGGCGGTTCGCCCGCTGGGGGACCTCGTGCCAGTGCCAATGGCGGAGGCGATCCCCGTTCCCGAGGCGGGCACGTCTTCGATTGCCCCCGCGGCGGAGCCGTCCCCTCCCGTCAAGGCGCAGCCGGTCGTGGTGGCTGAGGCCGTGGTCGTGCCGCCACCACTCCAGGTGCCAGTGGCGCGGCCGGTCGCGACACCTGTGCCAGCGATGCAGCCAGTGGCGGCGGCGCAGCGGGTGGTCATGATGCCAGTGCTGGCTGGTTCCGGCATCGGAAACGGCGAGTGGCACCATGACATCTACGACTGCCGCAATCACGTCGGCTGCAAGAAGCCTTTGACGTGCGTTATCTCCCATGCTTGCTGCTTCCCATGCCTGCTGCCCGACCTCTTGGAGCAGGCGGGCGTCGCTCCTCCGGGTGGTTACTTTATGACCTGCATGAGCGTCGCCGGCGTCTGGGACTGGCTCGTAAGCTTCATCCCCTTTGTCGGATTTGCTCTGGCTGCGCCTGCATTCTTCAGATCCAAGGCGCTCTTCGACTCCCGCCGAGCCATCATAGACAGGTATGGCATCACCACTGAGCCAGACTTTTGGGACACGTGCTGCCTCATTTACTCGGGCTTCCCGTTAATTCCTTGGCTGTGCATCGTGCCTTGCAGCTCGTGCCAGATGACGCACGAGCTGATGGTGAACGAGGGGCTCGAGTACACGGACGCGTGCGCCTGCTGGACCGCCAAGCGCGTCACCCCGATCGCCACCGCCGCCGTATCGGCTTGAGGTGTGAAGATGCAAAGGCGAGGTGAGCTGGTTGTTGATCTTACAGCTCACTCGATTCAACACGAATTCAACATTCATGCCCCATGCCGGGGGCGCGGGGGGGAGGCGCACCGGCAGGAGAGTGTTGTAGCTCTTACGAACATTGTCGCAGGTGGACTGCTGATTTTTGTGCCGCTTCTAGCTCAAAATAGCAAGCCTGTATGGCCACCCTTAAGCGCGGCCTTTAAGCGCTTCAAAACACCGCCCGCGTGCGTGTCACCACACAGGGTGTGGAACCAATCATAATCACCACACGTCTCACGTGCTACCCGGCTTGCGAGTAGGGAGGAGGAGGCTGCGCTGCACAAGCACGGGCGGGAGGGGCTTCTCCTGCGGAGTCGTGCGTGCGCAGGGCTCCTCTTTGCTTTCTTCTACTCCCTACTATCATCTCGTTCCCGTCCTACCAGAGGAAGGTTACTTCCCCCAGGATTGGTCTTCTCTGCCTGCGGGAACACCCTCGGGCGGCCGCATGGCTCGGTAGAGCCGAGACCCCGTGTTGAGGCGGCGCTCCTGTGGGCGGCTGTGGAATCGGCAGATTCGACCTCAGATCTCCAGTATTCTCATCCCAGTGGATGGACGTCCGTACGTCCCTTTTCTGTTCCTCTCGCCGTCCGCCAGCGAGACGCTCTGTCGCTGGCGGCCGCAGTTTTCTGTGACCCACCCACCTCTCCCTTGTTTTTGTCTGGGGAGGGGCTTCTCCTGCGGAGTCGTGCGTGCGCAGGGCTCCTCTTTGCTTTCTTCTACTCCCTACTATCATCTCGTTCCCGTCCTACCAGAGAAGTGCGTGGGGTAGCGTGGACTCCGTGTATAGCTGGCGTACACGGCTCTTATGCCGTGTACCCCACCCCACAACGCACAACGACAAGCGCAAGGCAACACAGCCTATAAGCAGAGTGCCGAGTCATTGCGACGGCGTAAACTGATCGTGGATCACGAGCTGCTAACGCATCACTCTATAGACCAATAGACGTTCGTGGCCTGTTCGTGGCTCGTGGGACATCAGTTGGTCTGTTGGTGTAAGTGTTAGGCTGTTAGCGCAGCTGCCTCGCATGCATGCCCGTCCACCCCCCCCCCCCCCGAGACCGTACTGGAGTCGTAAAGTTTGACTCGCTCGGTCCTAGGCTCTGCCACTCTCTCCGGGTGAACGCGTTAGGCAGACGCACGTCTGACACGACCAACGGTGCTCGCGGTGTCGGCATGTGTGCACGTGTAAGAGTGCGCGTGCTCCCGGGGGGGCCGCCCCGTTACTCTGCCACAGACCAACCCAACAGAGCCGGGCGCCGCATCCTGATTGGTCTGATTCGGTTGGGCAAAAGTAAAAAGCCAAACCGATAAACGTAAACGACGCGAGATTCGAGCGCCAAAAGCAAAACTGTGTGTGGAGTGTGTGGTGCTGTGTGGGTGTCAGTGTGTGTGCGCGCGCGGTCCGCGGAGAGCCTCGGAGAGTCTACCGCAGTGCCGTCGGCTCTTTCCTAGACTCTTTTGTCTTCGTCTTTGAGAGTTCGGTGTGAGCGTAGCCACGGTAGCCGAAAGCGAAACGCCCTCTATCTGTAGAGGAAAAACGCCACGCGACACAAAACAAAATCCCGTGCGTTGGCCATCAGTTCAGGAAGGCCTCTCCGCACTCCGGCTCCGCGAGCGCGTCCTCCGCCGTCAGGAGCGCGTCCCGGGCAGCCTCCCTCGCCGTCCCCCGTCTCAGGACACGGACGGCGCCGCCTTGGATCTCGAGCGCCTCGACCGGGCCGCACATCACCCACCTGCTGCAGCCCGTGTCGCACCGCCACACGGCCCCGCCGCACGCGCCGTTGACGCGCGTCTGCGGCGTGTGCCCCACGACGAGGCGGGAGGCGCCCAGTCCTCGCAGCGTGTCGCGCAGCGCCTCGCAGTCGCTCGCGGCCGGCTCCTCCCCGCCCGGCGCCGAGAAGGTGCGGTCCCACACGGGGCTGTCCCGGCCGCCGAGGAGCAGCGGCGGCGGACCCGCCGGCCGCTCGCCGAGCAGCCAGGCGCGCGTCTCGGCGTTGAGCCTCGCGAGGCTCCCGAGCGTGGCGCCGCGCGGCAGCGAGGCGTGCGCAAACACGCTGTCGCCGACCACGGCGACGACCGGGAAGTCGTCGGCGAGGCGGGCGGCGAGCGCCCCGCCCGGCCGGAACGCGGCACACCGGTCGTCCCCAAACTGAGCGTGCCCGGCCGGGTGCACGTAAGTGGCCGCCTTGCCCAGCGCGTTCAACACCTCGTGGTTGCCGAGCAGGGTCACGACGCGCCCGCCCGCAGAGCGCGCCTCGAGGCGTAAGCGCTCAAGCAGCCCCCACAGCGCAAACTCCTCGCCGCCGCGGTCTAGCACGTCGCCGAGCTGCACGAGGGTCGCGTCGCCGCCAGACCAATGCAAGTCTGCGTCAATCAGGCCGGCTGCGGTGAGCGCGGTGACGGCGGCGGCGGCGTCGCCGTGGAGGTCGCCGAGGGCAACCACGCGGCCTGGAGGGGCTGGCGCCACGAGCACGAGCGCTAGCGTGGTTAAGAGGGCGAGCATGGAGTGCTGTTCGGCGCTGCACGATGGCGTACGCCAGTAGGGAGGGCAAGGTCCCCTTCGGAACGCGATGGAGCAACAGTAGTGTGTTTTTCTTGCTTGGGCGGCACTCATCGGGGTAGGTAGGGTAGGTCTGGGCCCTCCCGTCGGGGTTTTCCCTCTTCCACGCTGGAGTTTTCACAGCAGAAAAAGAATTTTTTCCGCGCAAATCACGATGTCAACCCTCCCCAAGTGGGTGATCTGATTGATGCTTGTATGGCCTTGAGAGTGGCCTGCCATGTCACAAGAAGGACTGTGGTTGCAGGAGAGTACCACCAACCATCACTCTAGTTGGTATAGTACCCCACCTTCACCCATCCTATGATTTCTTTTTTAGTTTCCCATAAGTAAGGTAGGTAGGTAAAAGGAGCCTTAAGCAGGTCGTGTGAAGAGCACAGATGATGTAGTGAGTGAGTGGTCCCGGGCCCTGCGGGGAACTAAGTCGGCGCAAGTTAGTCTGTGAGCTGGACGAGGGCTAGTGGTGCGCCGAGGCGGGTCAAGCGTGGTGAAGTGCTCCCGGGAGTCGTGGTCGGAGGCCGGGAGCGGGCGGGACACTACGCGCACTAACTTAGTGCGCGTAAGTGAGTGCCTCCGGCCGGCCGCGAGGGGAGTGGTCCGGCGGGCCGCTCGTAGTGCCCTTCGTTCGCCGGGCGGCGGACGGAGGCGGGCTCGGCTACTACGCGCACTAACTTAGTGCGCGTAGTGAGTGGGCCGCCGGCGACTCGGCGGCGAGCGGGCTAGTGGGAGAGTGCCTCCCCCTCCCACCACCCCGCGCACTACTCAGTAAGATAGTGCGCGTACGGGTACCCTGGTAGTGAGTGGGCACGCCGGCACGATGGCGTAGCCTGCACGGAGATGCACGATGGCGTAGCCTGTAGGGAGGGCAAGGTCCCCCTCGGAACGCGAACGGTAGACGCCGCCTCGCCAAGCGGCGAGGGCATGAGGCTCCTCATCTACGGCGACAGCCTCACAGCCGGCTACCACAGCAACGGTCTTCGCTTTTCGCCCTGGGCGCCCGCCCTCCGTGCCCTCCTCGGCGTCGAGGCGGTCGACGCCGTCGGCCACTCGGGATGGACGAGCTCGGAGATGCGCGCGGCGATGGACGAGGAGGCGGCAGACGTCTGCGGCCTCAAAAAACCGGGCATGCGCCTTGCGATGCGGACGCAAGGGCCGTTCGACGCCGTCGTCATCCTGGCCGGGACCAACGACCTCGCCAGCGAGGGAAGCCCGGAGCGGATCAGCGGCAGCATCCAGTTGCTGCACGCTGCTGCACGCGCGGAGGGCGCCCGCACCGTCGCGATGGCCATCCCCGAGAGCCTCGCGGCGCGGCACGTGCCGGCACTCGCGGCAACCCGCGCCGTGGCAAACGAGCGGCTTGCGGCGTGGGCGAGGTCGCAGGGCGAGTCGGTGCTCTGGGTCGACACGGGCGCCTTGCTGCCCTACTCCGAGCCCTCGGCCGAGGGAGGCCACCTCTGGGAGCCGGACGGGCTGCACCTGTCGCAGGCGGGCTACGCGGCGCTGGCGGAGCGGCTGGCGCCGAAGCTGGCTCCGTGGCTGCTGCTAGCGCCGGCTCGCGAGTCGGCGGGGTCGCTGCCTCCGCCCTCGGCGCCGCCCTCGCCACCCAGAGGCGGGGAAGGGCGCGAGGCGGAGAACGACGTGAGGGCGGCGGAGCGGGCGGGAGTGGCCGTGGCAGAGATGCTCGGCGGGAGCGGCGCCCTGGACGAGGAGGAGCTCCGCAGGGCGCTCGAGGCGGTGCGGCTCGGCGGCGGCGCTGCCGTCGCCGCCTTTGCGCGCAGCTTTGGCCCGCGCCGGCTGGTGCGCCGGCTGGCGGCAGGCCTGTCCGAGTCGGACCTGAGCGAGGCGTGCGACCAGCTCCTCGCGGCGTGCCTCGCCGGCGAGGGCGACTCGGACGGCGGCGGAGCCTTCGCAGGCCTCGCCGGCGGCGCGGTCGTCGGCGAGGCCGTGCATCGCGAGGAGATGTACCCGGACCCTAACCCTAACCCTAACCCTAACCCCAACCCTAGGCGAGGACGTGCATCGCGAGGAGATGTACCCGGACGCCGTCGTGCGCCTGCAGCGACCGCTCGCGCCACGGGGCACGCCGCTCGCGGGCGGCGGCGGCGGCGGCGGCGGCGGTGGCGGCGGCGGCATGTTGCACCTTCGGCTGCACCTGCCCCTCCCAGGGTCCGCCGCCACCTTCGACGCGTCGCGCTGCGCCGTCTCGCTGCAACCGGTAGCGGACGGCGGCGGAGCTAACCCACCGGCCGAGGAGCTCGCGGCCGAGGCGACCGAGGCGCTCGCGGCCGAGGCTGCGGCCGAGGCGACGGCGACGGTGTCGCTGCGCACGCTGAGCCGGCGCGCGGCTTTTGGCGCCGAGATCGAGTGCAAAGTGTGGCCCGCGTCTGTGCTGCTCGCCCGCTGGCTGTGGCAGCACCCGTGGCTCGTGCGCGGCCGCTCCGTGCTCGAGCTCGGCGCCGGAGTCGGGCTCGCCGGCCTCGGGGCGGCGAAGTGCGGCGCGGCGCGGGTGGCCCTCACCGACATCAACCGAAAGGCGCTGCAGCAGGCCCGCGAGAACGCGCGACTCAACGGCATCGAGTGCGTCTGCGCAGAACACCTCGATTGGGCGGCGCCGCCGATCCTCCGGGCGGAGGGGGCGATGGAGGGGGCGGCGGGCGGCTGCGAGGCGGCGCTGCAGCAGCACGAGGTGCTGCTCGCGGCAGACATCGTCAATGGTGACGGGCTCAGCGAGCAGGTCGAGCGGATGGTGCGGCTCCACCTCGCGCCGAGAGGCCTCTTTCTTATGGTGGCGCCGCGCCCCTTCCACCGCCACCGTGTGGACGAGCTGCGCGGGCTGCTGCTCGCCTCGGACACGCTGCAGACGGCGATCGCCCCCGTCCCCGAGTGGCTGTCCGCCGGCATCGAGGAGGCGGCCGACATCAAGCACGAGCTCTACGTCGTCCAGAGACGCACGCCGTGCGAGATGGAACGTTTCAAGCGACCAAGTCGGAATGAGGAGACGACCTCTTTGTGATGAGTACTGCATCGTGCATGGGTTTGGAGCACTTGGAGGTTTTTGTTACGGGGTGTGCACCCTGAGTTGCACAGGGGTTTTGCGCCAGGCCGAGTCCTGCTCGGCTCCACGCTGCTCCAGCGAGAGTAGACCCCGCGCAGTGACCAGTGAGGTCATCAACAGAGTAGAAGGATCTGACCTCGGGACCGATGTGACCAAACGAAAGCGCTGGTAGCGCGATTTCACCCTCTTTCACCACACCTCACACCCATGGTCTCACAGTGTGTGCCGACAGTCGCCGAGCAGTGTCCGCTCACACAAGCCGCAGCAACACGAACTGCGACTGAGGGCCAGAACATGAAAGGGCGAGCCCATGCCCCATCGCTGTGAGTGTGACAGCTGAGAGCTGTGGCAGCCGCACAGTAGGCTGTGCCATCTGTGTAGAGCCTAGAGAGCGTGTGAGCAGCAGAGGAGCTGCTCTCCCCAGGCTTCAGGCGCAAAGAGCTGCATGCGCCATGCCACCGAAGGCGCTGGGTCGTCGTCTGTCGAGGAGTTCCAGTTCGCCGCGAGGGCGCGAGGGCGCGAGCGCGCAGGGTCGCGGCGCGCAGCGTGTAACTCTGTAAGAGTCTAGAGGCTCTTGGTAGACCGGGTAGAGAGCGCTGGTCGGATTCACTCGCCGCGGGGACACGACCCATAGTCATCGCGACAGGGAATTAAGTAAGTAGCAACGCGAACAACAGTCAGTCAGGCTCCGGGGCACAAGTCGGGCACAAGTCGGGCCACCACGGATGAAACCCCCACGGCATTAGGACGTACGCTCCTCAGTGGTCCTGCCACACGCCTCGACGGGGAGCCGCACATTAGCCCGGCCCGCATCGGGGTCCGCTCCCCACGTGTATGCGTCGCACGTCGCGACGGCGTTCGCGACGATCGGCGCCAACACACTCTCGCCGCCGCTCAGCCGGAAGGCGAGGCCAGCCAGCGCGACGGTGGCGGCCGCCGCGAGCGCCGCGTCGGCCGCGCGCCGCTCCACGGGCGCGCCGCCCGCGCCGAATCGCTCCTCCCAGCCCGTGGCGAGCGCGCGCAGCGCCTCTGCGCTGGTAGCCGCTTCCTGCGCCGATGCGCCGGGGGCCGCCTTCATCCAGAAGAGCGACTCGGCGTTCCTTCGCAAGCGGGCGGCAGCGGCGAGCTCGGCGGGCAGCCCGTCGAGGAGAGGGTCGCCTGCAGGGAGGCTCAGGGAAGGCTCAGGGAAGGACCCTAGAGCGGGCAGCCCGTCGGAGCAGCGGGTCGCCAAAGAAGTAGAGCTCACCCAGAGCCGGCAGCAGGCAGACCGCCGCAAGGCCGACGAGCGGCACCGCCACCGGCGCCGTGAACCCGAAGGCGCCGCCGCCGTAAGCGCCGGTGGCGGCGAGGAGAAGGGCTGCCGCCTGCTTGGTGGCGGCCGGCTGCAGCACGCCATGCGCGAGGAGCACGCCGTTCGAAGTGGCAACCAGCTCGAGCGCGAAGGCGAGCCGCCGCCACGAAGCGGACGCCTCGCCGCCGCCGGTACCGTCGCCCAGCCGAAACTCCCACGGGGCGGGCAGCGCGTGCGATCCGAGGGCGGAGTCGACGAGGATGCGCTCGAGCCGGCCTGTTGAGCATGAGTGCGCTCGTGCGGGTGGGACTACAGGACCGTGACGTGGATTCAGAGGGTCGCTCCAACGTGGCGCGTGTCCTCTTGCGCGGGGTGGAGCACGCGCGGACCTCCGCATCTAGAGTGGCAAACCAACGCTTCCCTCGACGCCCGCGCCGCCATGGACGGCGCGCAAACGGCGGTGAGCCAGCGTGAGCGGCGCCGCCGCCGCCAGACCCCACAGCGCTGACGTCGCGGCTCCCTCAGCAGAAGGCGGGAGCGGAGCCACGCCTTGCACGGCCGCGGCATGGGCGAGCAGCAGCCCGCAGGCGAGCTGCGATAGCGCCCACACTGAGGGCGCCCATCTGGAGGCGAGCTTGTCCTTGACCTGAGTGAGAGCGCAGTACACACTGAGGCTTGGGACACTCTCGTGCCCTGCGTCTCGCAGGGTTGTAGTAGTACGCCAGCCCGCAACGCTGTGGAGATGGCTCGGTCTACGGACTGCGGTCTCTACTGCACGGGTAGTTCTCGCCATCTGGGCTCCTGGCCTCCAAGTTGAAGGCGCGCGTCTCGTACTCGTCACTGCCGAGAGCCGCGACGCGTGCCTCCTGCAGCGACGTCTCCAGAGCCCGGACCGCGGTGGCGACGGACGGCCCGCACCGGGCGGCGCCACCGCTGCTGTCCACAAAGCGTGCGCAGCGGCTGCCCGATCGGCACTCGGCGGCTCGCCGATCGCGCGTGCTCGGGTCTCCGCGGAACCACCGCCCGCGGTCGGCGTCCCAAGTGTAGCCCTGTGCCTTCATGATGGCCGCCTGCCGCTCGTCTAGCTCCGGCGGGCCAGGCGCAGCCATCACCGCGCCGCCTCCTGCCCTGCGGCCGCTGCTGACGCCGCCGCTGCCGCCGCCACCAGAGCCAGAGCCGCCGCCGCCAGAGCCGCCGCCGCCAGAGCCGCCGCCGCCGCCGCCAGAGCCACCGCCGCCGCCACCGCCCGAGCGGGCTGCGTGTGCGCCGAATCTGATCGAGAGCAGCTCGAGCGGCTCTGAGCCGCCTGCCGGCGACGGCAGCGGCTCGCTCGCGACGGAGGCGCCCGCTGCAGAGGCCGCCTAAAGGGGCGCACCTGCCTAAAGGGGCGCCGCGCGCGGAGGCCTGGGCTCGAGGTCTGGGCGTATACGCTGCGTGCTCTCGCCACACGTCTCCTCCCTTGGTGGGCGTGGACTATGCTACCGAGAGCGCCACACGCCTCTCTCGGATGGAGGCACCTCTTCGAGCCTCCCGCGGCAACCAACCGCCCGCCCCGCAGCTGGCTCGGCGAGTAGCAGCGTCCCTCTCGAGCCGGAGAGGAGCGCCGCCGCCGCGCCCAGCAGTGGCTCGACGGCGGAGGGGTCGTAGAGCACCTCGGCGCCGAGGACGAGGTCCGCGCCGCCCAGAAGCTGCGCCGCCTCGGCCCAGTCGCAGCACGAGGCGGAGACGGCGCCGGGAGGAGCCTCCTCGCCGACGGCCGCTGTGGCGAGGCCACAAACCTCGGCTGTCGCCATCGCGCAGTGCAGCGCCAAAGGCTCGCGGTCGACTAGCGTCACGCGGCCCGCACCCGCTGCCGCCGCCGACAGCCCAGCCACGCCAAGGCCCGCGCCGAGCTCCACGACTCGAGCGCCTCGAACGCTGTCGGGCTTCGCGGCAACGTGGGCCGCCAGGGCGGCCGCCGCCGGCCACACGCTCGCCCACGACGGGTCGAGGTCCTCCTCGCGGCCTAGCTCGCGCGCCCACTCCCACAGCGCCTCGGCATCCGGAGGCTTGATCACGCGCGGAAGCGGGAGACCGACGCCGGGCACGTCGACGAGCGGCGGCAGGTGGCGGTCGCCGCTGTGCAGCACGCGCGGAGGCGAGAGAGCAGTGCTGGCGAAATGAAGGCTGAGCATGTGAATCCCCAGGGCCTCCAGGGCTCGCACCTCAACCTCTCACAGACCAGAACCCCCGCGCACAGCGCCAGTTGGTTGGTTGCTGGCAGTACCCCAGCACCGGGGGGTCCTGAGAGCTGTTGGTTGGTGGCTTGGTGCTCTGTTCACAGCCCAGTGCGGGTGAACTTTCTTTTCTATACCGCTAGGATTGAGAGCAGCCTCGCTCTCAATCCTAGAAGTCGAAGGATTGTGAGCAGCACTCCTCTCAATCGGAGCATCTCTGTGCGACTGTGAGCACCCACGCTCGCAATCCTACATCTTCTAGGACTAAGAGCAGCTCCGCTCCCAAGGAAGGTGACTGGTGACTCCTACGACTACTACCAGCGCGCTCGCAATCCGAACAAAGTCTAGGATTGCGAGCAGCTTTGCTCACAATCCGAGCAACATGCCTCCGATTGCGAGCAGTAGCGCTCGCAATCCTACATCTTGTAGGACTATGAGCGGCGGCGCTCACAATCGTACCCAAGATCCAAGGATTGCTAGCGGTGCACAGAGGGCGCTCCCAATCGCTCCAGCCGCGAGCGCTTGTGAGTGCGGACTCGGGGCCGGTGCTTTGACGCAGCACAGTGTGCTTCGTGGTAGCATGAACTCAGAACGGCCCCCCGAGAGCGCCTCTTCGACGCCCACGGGTCCCGGGGGGTCGGAGGGGTTGCGAGAGGGCCCCGGCTATTTTTTGTTTGAATTCTGGAGGCCGTTCAAACATGTAACGTTCCACGTGCCCGTCCCCAGCAAGGACAACATGCTAGCCCAGCAGGCCGCTCCCACCGCCGCCCGCGGCGGAGGCAAGGCGGCAAAGGGTGGCAAGGGCGGCGGCAAGGGCGGTGGCAAGGGTGGTGGCCGTGGCGCACCAGACCCGCTTTGCGCCGCCGCCCTCAACGCCCGATACTCGGTTAGAGCCGGCGGAGCGACGGCGGCAAAGGTGCGGCCGCCGGCGACCTCACACGGCGTCGAGCGCCGTAGAGACGGCCCCGAGAGCCGCCACCAGGTGTGCCACGACCGCCGCCGCGAGGCTCGTGGCGATGGATGCGCCAGACCCGCATGCGCCGCCGCCCTCAACGCCCGATACTCGATCAGAGCCGGCGGAGCGACGGCGGCGGAGACACTGCGGCCGCCGGCGACCTCACACGGCGTCGAGCGCCGTAGAGACGGCCTCGAGAGCCGCCACCAGGTGTGCCACGACCGCGGCCGCGAGGCTCGTGGCGATGGATGCGCCAGACCCGCTTTGCGCCGCCGCTTTCAACGCCCGATACTCGATCAGAGCCGGCGGAGCGACGGCGGCAGAGTTGCGGCCGCCGGCGACCTTCCCCTCGACCACGCCGCCGACCCGTCGACAAGCACACGCGGACTGCCATCGAGAAGAAGGAGAAGGAGCGCGGCGCATCCGGAGCCCGCGGGCGCGGCGTGGGCGGGCGCGGGCGCAGGCGGGCGCGCGGGAACCCCGCCAGTGGAGGCGACACAATGCCTCTGGCGGCTCTGCAGGCGGCGCGCGGCGCGCCCCTCGCCGGTCTCCCGCACGCTCCTGAGGGCCGAGAGGGCCGAGAGGCGGGGTTGGTGACCCGGGGGCATGGGCAGTGCGGCCCGCGCCGCGCGCGGGCGCGTGGCAGCCCGTGAGTGCCGAGATCGGGTCTGTGCTTCGACGTAGCATGGGCCCCCGGAGGCCATCTACAGCAGCGGCGAAGTGAGCGTGTTTGTGGTGTTGGTGTGACGTCTGAGCTTGGATCTGTGACTAAAGCCGCTTACCACTGATGGATCCCCACCCGAATAACACACAGTGAGCGCCCCAGCACTTCACTACGCCCTCCGCGCGAAATCGCTAGTGGTGCTTTGTGGCAGCACATTGTGCTTTGTGGCAGCACGGGTGCGGTGCCCGAGACCGAGTGAGCGCGCCGGGAGGGTCTCCTCGCACAATCCAAACAGTGATCGCACCGATTGCGAGGGGACCCGCTCGCAATCCTAGAAGTCGTAGGACTGTGGGCGGTGTCGCTCGCAATCGGCGAAAGTTCTAGGATTGCGAGCGCTCCTGCTCGCAACCGGAGGCATGTTGCTAGGATTGTGAGCCAAGCAGGAGCCAAGCTGCTCGCAATCCTAGACTTTGTTCGGATTGCGAGCGCGCTGGTAGTAGTCGTAGGAGTCACCAGTCACCTTCCTTGGGAGCGGAGCTGCTCTTAGTCCTAGAAGACGTAGGATTGCGAGCGTAAGTGCTCACAGTCGCACAGAGATGCTACGATTGCGAGGAGTGCTGCTCACAATCCTTCGACTTCTAGGATTGAGAGCGAAGCTGCTCTCAATCCTAGCGGTATAGAAAAGAAGGTTCACCCGCACTGGGCTGTGAACAGAGCACCAAGCCACCAACCAACAGCTCTCAGGACCCCCCGGTGCTGGGGTACTGCCAGCAACCAACCAACTCGCCGGCGAGCGGAGCGAGCCGAAGAGCTGGGGCCAAATTGGCGCTGTGAACGGCGTTTGAACCGATCACTGTGCGAGTCGTGATTTCTTGTTGGTTTTCAAAAATCCCGATTTTCGGCGGGCACGTCGCACCTACGTGGCGGGCCGCCAGGGGCCGGCAGCAGGGCGCCCCCGCGCGGATGCCGACGAGGATCACGGTGCGCTATCTGGGCTCGGAGGTCGGCAAAAAGGAAGGAAGGTCGCGCGACCCGACACCAAGGGACAGTTGCTCGAGCTGGCCGCCAAGAGGCTCAAGCATGACCAGAGAACGGGGCATTGCACTACACAGTGCGGGACCTGGGGGTGGGGCAGCAACCAACAACCTGGGATGGGGACGGGGTGCTGCGCAACCGACGCCAACCAGCAGCGTTCACAGCACAGTGCGAAACTAGGGTTACAACCTGGTAAAGAACTCGCTCGCAGGTATCTCTTTCTCAATATAACCAGGGCGTGAACACTTACCGACGCATGTTTTCTTTCTTCGCGATGAGATGAAGATTAGCGGGATGGGAGGGTCTTTTGGGCTCGCGGATTCGCCTATCGCCCTATTGCCTATACCCTGATGGCGAGTCTGGCGACGGCGGCTTCTGTGATTCCGATTCCCGGCTTCTCGCAACCCATGAAAACCTTTCTTAAAAGAAAGAAAGAAAACAGACAACCCAAGGGAGGGATGGGAGGACGGCACGCAAAACCTTTCTTGGCAAGAAAGAAAAGCGGCAGTGAATTCTTTGTCCCTCGCCCCGCCAGGCTTGCCCGGCGACGCGGCGCACAAGCACGCACAAGCTCCGCACCGCGAAACCTCGCCCTCGCCTCTCGCGGTGGTGCAGAGATGGCCCGTCGGAAGCAGGGTCGGCGCATCAAGCGCAAGACGCAAAAGGAGACGGACACGTCGGATCAGGCCAGCGAGCTGCCGCCGCGCGCCTTTGTCTTCTCCAAGGGAAAGGTCTCGGCGCCGCTCAAGGCGCTCGTCAACGACCTCAAGGGCGTCATGTCGCCAAACACGGCGCGCGCCCTCAAGGCGCAGCGCCGCAACAAGATCAAGGACTTTGTGGACGTCGCCGGGTCGCTGCACGTCTCCTTCTTCCTGATCGTCTCGAGCACCGAGCAGTCCTCCTACCTGCGGCTGGTGCGCTCGCCGCGCGGGCCGACGCTCACCTTCCGCATCCGCTCGTACGCGCTGGCGGCCGACCTGGCGGCGACGCTGCGGCGGCCGTACTCGGCGGGCAACGCCGTGTGGCAGTCGAACCCGCTGCTCGTCCTCTCCGACTTTGACCAGTCGCAGCAGGAGCAGTCGCTCGCGGCGACGATGCTGCGCAACCTCTTCCCGCCCATCAACGTGCAGACGCTGCAGATCTCGGCGTGCCGGCGCATCGTGATGCTGCACCAGCGGCCGGCGGAGGAGGGCGGCGGCGTCGAGCTGCGGCAGTACGTGATCAAGGCTGCTCCGACCAACGTCTCGCGCGGCGCGCCGAGAAGCAGCCGTTCCGGCAGCCGTCAGAGGAAGGCTGAGGGAGCCGTCGAGGGCGCTTGCTGTAGGCATCAAGAAGCTGACGCGCGGCAACCGCGTGCCGTCGCTCGGCCGGTACGGCTCGATGGCCGACTACCTGGCGGGGCGGGGAGGCTACTCGTCCGAGTCGGGCGGCGAGACGGACGACGACGAAAAGGTGGACCTGCCGCAGGACTACGTCGGGCGGGGCGCGGTGCGAGGAGGGCGCGCGTGCGGCTGCACGGGCTCGGACGCGCGCAGTACACGTCGCGGCCCGTGTCCCGCAGGTGCGCGACCAGCGTGTGGGCGTGCGGCTGCACGAGATCGGGCCGCGGCTGAGCCTCGAGCTGGTCAAGGTGCAGGAGGGGGTGTGCGACGGGGCGGTCCTCTTCCACGCGGAGCGGACCAAGACGGAGGAGGAGGCGGCCGAGGACGCCGCCCGCCGCCAGGCGCGCATCGACGCCAAGGATGCGCGCCGCAAGGCGCAGGAGCAAAACGTCGCGCGCAAGCGGGCGGCCAAGGACGAAAAGGCGGCGCGCCGAAAGCGGAGGCGGGCCGGCGCGGGCGAGGGCGAGGGCGACGGCGACGGCGACGGCAGCGACGACGGCGGCGGCGGCGGCGGCGGCGACGCCAGCGACGAGGGCGGCGACGACGGCGGCGACGAGGGCGGCGAAGGGCCGACTGACGAGGAGTGGTACCGGCGGGAGGTAGGCGCGGAGCCGGAGCCGGGCATGTTTGGGCGCGCCAAGGGCCCCCCCGCCCCGAAGTCAAAGCGGGCGGCACCCGAGCGCAAGCACAAGGTTGCGCGGAGCAAGGCGCGTTCGGCGCAGTGAGCGCCGTCGTCGTGCACAGCGTCTGTAAGTGTGTGGGCGCTCTCCATCACCCCGCGTGGCCGTGGGTGCGGTGTGGCCGCGGCACGGTCGTCTCGCCATGTCCGAGATGAGCGATGTGTGTATGTGTATGTTGAGATCTCTTGAAAGCTGTTTTGCTGTTTCGGTGTTTGTGACGAGGTCTGGCCGGCAAACCCCTAATACGGAAGGCTCACAAAAACCAAACTCAATGAGCGATTGCACTTTGTTAAAACGCTACACATAAGTGACAAGAGAGGAAGAGACTAGAGTTGTAGAGAGTCAAAAGACCCTCTTCAGCTCTTCTCACACGAGTACTTACACGTCACAAGACGAAGAGAAACCGACCGAGTCCGAGCGAGCGCCCGCGCGCACCGCGCACGATCCACGATACGAACTGCGTCGACTGACACGACTCAACACGGCTCACGCGGGTCCGAGCGCGGCGCACACGGGGGTAAGAAGTGGCGGGAAAGTGTACACATATCTCGACGCACTCGACGCACGACGGCATATCGTGTCCGAGGCCGGGGCCACGTGCGTTGCTCTACCCCCGTCTCCTGCTCGCCGTTCCCCCGCCGCCGCCGCCCTCGTCAACCGCCAGAGGGGCAGGGACGACCTCCGAAGCGAGGGGCTCGCCCGAGCCGAGGAGGGTGAGGGAGCGGTCCTCCGGCCGGAAGATCAGGGGCGCACCGTTCGGGACGTCGAGGTGCACCGCGTCCTCGAGCGGCAGGCCGCTGATGCCTGCGATGAGGGAGCGAAGCGCGTTCTTGCTCGAGACGACGAGGACGGTCTTGCCCGCCTGCGCGGCGGGCAGGATCTCGTCCCGCCAGCACGGCAGGACGCGCGCGGTGGTGTCCTCGAACGACTCCGCCCTGGGCACCTCCGCCGCCGCCGCCGCCTCCCCGCCCTCTCTGGAGGCGGCCCCGCCAGCCCTGTTCTGGCCGCTCGGGGCCTGGGCCACGGCGAGGGAGGCGGTGACTGCACTGCTTCGCGCCGGGTCGTAGCACGAGCCCCGCTCGAGCGGCGGGGGCACGCGCCTCAGCTCCTCGAAGCCGCTCTCGCCGAGGAACCGCCTCGTCTCGTCCTTATTCAGCCCAGTCAGCGCCCCGTACATGCGCTCGTTGAGCCGCCACCGCCGCTCGACCGGCGTGTTGAAGGAGTCGAGAGCCTCGAGCACGAGCCACGCGGTCTTGATGGTCCGCTTGAGCGTCGAGGTGTAGCACACGTCCACACAGACGCCGGCAGCAGCCAGCTGCGCCGCGGCGTCGAGCGCCTCCGCCTCGCCCCTTTGCGTCAGCGGCACGTCCACCCAGCCCGTGAAGCGGTTGGCCGCGTTCCACTCGCTCTCGCCGTGGCGCAGAAAGATGATGTCGCCGGACGGGGCGCACGGCGGATCGATCACGCACTCGTCCTCCGGCGGCCGTAAGCGGGTGAGCTGTGCGAGCCGCCTCGCGGCGGCGGACCAGCGGCGGAGGCCTGCTGGCTGAGGCACCAACGAGAAGCAGAGGAGGACGATCATCGAGTCGCGTCGCTCGAGGTGTGTCGTCGGGCCAGCATATTTTCTTTTTGTAAAGGCAAACTAGTTGGGGGAGGGCGCCCCGGGCTGGAGGTCTTTTTCAGTTGCAAGCATGATGATAGGCAAGGCGTTCAGGGTAGTGAAGAAATAAGGAGAAGAGGACATGGTTCGACCTCGCGTGAAGCGACCTTGAGTCCTTGACAATGATCAATGTCAATGACCTTCCTTGACACCTGAGAGCTGAGTGGAATGCCGCAATGCCGTGCGTAACCAACAGCGGGTCGTTGCTGACGAGTGGTGTGAGTACCATCAATGTTGGCACCATGGCAAAGGCGCAACTCTGAGGTGACTTCACGAGCATGCGCACCCATTTGACGCAGAGGTATCCGACGGCCGAGCCGGCTTCGTAGCCGCTGAGAAATGCAGAGTTGCCGCCGAGGGAGACCAAGCCCGGTGGCAATCCGAAGCATCGTGATCGAACGGTGCAGAGCCACTCAAAGTACTCCGTGCGCTCATCAAGAAGCAGGTATCTATGGCTAGCCGAAGACGAAGCTGGGAGTAGTAGTATCGGGTGGCGTTTGAAAATCAGCTGAACTTGATTTCCTTCCAGCGCCCAATGCCGCACTTCCGACAAGCCGCAATGGGGCAACATGACCTGGTTTGAGCTCCCAATTTCGCAGCGAAAGGTGTGCATCGAGATTCAGCAACGGGGCAAGTCCTTCAGGCCAACGCCAATCGCAATCGTTTGACGTTTCGCAGTTGGGGCGAAGTTCGGTCTTCCTCTTCGTCATCGATCGGCGGCGAGAGGCGGCGAGTGGTGACGCGAATTTCAACCGAAATCGCGCCACCCTTTGTGCACTTTGAGCAAGAGTCACTCCTCGTCTCTCGGTCTCGCAATGATGTTGTTGACGGTTGAATTTTTGCCGATTTCTGTAAGCGTCCATTTTTGAATAGGTTTGGAAACCACCGAGGGGTATACGATTCCACATAATTCATCCGACGGAAACGAGGCGATGGCACCTGAATCCTGATTCGGGGAGCAGTGGGGGGGGGGGGTGAGGATTTGGTTCTGAAGAAGGTGGGGCAGTACCGAGGGGGATGGGGTAGGGTCACCCTTTGAGTGAGCGAGGGCTGTGGCGCCGACGGCGGCACCCTTGTACGAGGCTGTGAGGGGAGCGGCGGCGAGAGGGGGGGCGGCGGCGACGCAGCCAGGCGAGCCGCGCGCGCGCGCGACTGAGGGAAGCGCGGGCGGCGGGAAGGAGAACGGCGGCGGCGGCGAGGCGCAAAACGGGGGCGGCGGAAGTGGGGGCGACGGCGGCGGCGGAGTGAACGGCGGCGCGCGCACGGACGGCGACGAAATCGACGGCGGGAAGGGGCGGGGCTGCATGGCGGCGGCGGGCGCGCGCACATTCGTCGTGTTTTCGCATTGTGGCATTCCACGTCCTCCTCGGCGACCTGCGTGCGCGGGAACGGCAGGGGTCATGTCGCGCGCACCGGGCGGCGCCGTGCTCGCAGCAGCCGGGATCGCGGCAGAGTATGGTGGAGAGCTCTACCCGCGCACCTGCCCAGCGAGGAGCTCGACGCCGCTCCTGGGAGGCGTGGCAGGGATCTCGGCGACGTTGGAGAGGCAGCGGGCGCACGATGTCGTGGGCGACGCCCGTCCGCAGCCACGTCGTGGTGACGATGACTTTTAGCATCGCGAAGGGGTTTTCTTGTATCAGGCGTTGGCGGAGGCGGCGGTCGACGCCGTCTACGGGGCGCTCGTAGCGGCGACGCTCGAGGAGTGGGCGGGCGCGAGCACGGACAACCCCGTCTCCGCGGCGGACGCTCGAGGCCCAGGCCTCGAGTGTCAGCAGTGCTTTGGGAGCTTTTACGACGAGTTTGGCGTGGAGCCGTGGCTGTGGCGCCGGGCGTTGCGTGAGGGCTGGTCGGAGCTGGGGGGCTGGTCGAGAGAGGAGATGGAGGCGGCGGAGAAGGAGATCTGGCGTGGCGAGAGTTCTGAGATCTCTCAGCTAGGCGAGTGGGTCTGCGATGCTTGCCTGGAGGGCTATTTGGGGGGGGGCTTTGGCGACTACTCGGAGCTGCGCAGCGGCTACGTTGCGCCGTATCCGAGTTACCCCTGGATAGGTCGCTCGCGCGACCTCTCCTGGATGCGCAAGGGGCCCATAGGGGTCACGCGAAGGGAGGCGCTGTTAGCGGCGGAGGAGGCGAAGGCGGCCGCGCGGGCGGCGGAGAAGGCGGCGCGGGCAGCGGAGGGGGGGAAGGGCGGCGGCAGCGGGCGGCAGTCCCGCGAGGCACGCCGGCGGAAGGGTTCGTCTTCGCGGGGCGGGGTGCGCACTGCGCGCCGCGAGGATGAGGAGCCTGAGCCAGGGGAGGGTTGGGAAGGGGGGGCGAGGCCGGAGGAGTATGGCGGCCTCTTCGACGGCCCATAAGGGGCCGTTGTCTGCTGTGCCTTTTGTGGTGCTAGTTCGTGCCAGTCAGCTGTGAGAGGACTGTCTAGAATTCTTGTATCAGGGCTCGAGTTAGGTCGGACATGGTTCGCGCCAACGGCGGCGCGCCGCCGTCGGTGTGGCCGTCCCTCCGGCAGCGGACTGCGGCTCTCCTCCGCGACATCTACGCCGAGCTCATCACCGAGGGCGCCGCACGTGCGCTCTCCCGCCTCCCGCCGCCCGCGAGCGAGGCGGTCGGGGACGCCGCCGGCTGTCGGGACGAGGCCGGCGAGTCTCCTGTCCTCCCCGAGATGGGCGCCGCGTCGTCCGCGGCGCTCTGGACGCTGTCCGTCCTCGTCGCCGGCGTCGGCTCCATGGAGTCGAGGCTCTCGAGCGACTCGCTGCCGTGCCGGACGGTGCGGGAGGCGACGCCGCTCGAGCTGCGCGCAAACGCCGGCACGCTGGGCCGGGACTACCTGCCTTCGGCCTACGACCCGTGGCTCGGCCCGCGCTCGGCCGGCGTGATCCGGCTGCGGTACGGCTTTGACGCGCGGCGCCTCTCGCAGCGGCCCGGCGCGGGCGCGTGCGAGTACACTCCGGTTGGCCTTGACGGGCAGACCGAGGCGTGGGTGCGAGGGTGCCTCGCCAAGCCGGCGGCGGCGTCGCGCCTCGCCGTGTGGCGCGCGCTCAAGCGGCGGCTCTACCACTACGACGCGGGAGTGCTCGCCTTCCACGCCTTCCCGCGCAACTACCTCCTCTCGCCCGCGCACTGGGAGGAGCTGCTCGCCGGCCGGCCAAACGGCGGGCTGGCCGCGGCGCTCGACGTGGGCGCGGGCGACGGCTCCCTCTGCTCGCCGTACGCGCGCCTCTTCGGCAGCGTCACCGTCACCGAGCTCACTTCGCCCCTCGTCTGGCGGCTCAAGGCGACCCCGACGCAGGGAGCGAGCCTGCAGGCGGTCGCGACGGCCGAGCTGACGCCGCGCGCGCTCGGCCGCGAGCAGTTCGACGTCGCCTTCTGCCTCAACGTCCTCGACCGCTGCAAGGACCCCGTCCGGATGGTCGAGCAGCTCCACGCCCTCCTCCCGCCGGGCGGCTGGCTCGTCGTCGCGGTCGTCCTCCCGTGGCTCCAGTCGCCTTAGTGAATAGCGAATTGACGGTAATCGACTGTTAACTAGGTCGTCCTCCCGTGGCTCCAGTCGGACGCCGTCGCGCGCGGCTCGCACCAGCGGCGTGCGCGCGTCGTCGGCGGCGATTTCGAGGCGGCGGCCGCGTCGCTGCTCGACTCGCTCCTCCTGCCGGCCGGCTTCGAGGCCCTCCGCCTCGTGCGCGCACCCTACCTCTGCGCGGGCGACCGCAACTCGCCCGTCGCCGTCCTCGACTCTGCGGTGGTCCTGCTGCGCAAGGCGGGGCCGGGGGCGGACGGCGCCGCCGCCGCCACGCGGGAGGCGACGCAGGCGCGGCAGGCGTCGGCGGAGGCGAAGCGCGCCACGCCGCCGCCGGCCCGCCCCACCGCCCAGTCGGCGCACCCGCACGTCGACGAGACGCGCTGCACCGAGTGCGGCGTGCTCGAGGGCTTCCGCCAGGGCAGCGCCGGCCCCGCGAGAAAGTAGGTGGCGAGTGTGGCTCGGTGCGCGCAGTGAACGCGAGGAATCAGCTTGCGCGAGGAATCAGCTCGCTTTTCCCTATTATGTAATAGTCTAATAGACTGCAGCATGCACACTCGGAAAAGTATAAAATTACGCGAAGTGAAGCCGACCTCCCTCCCCCCCACGAGCCACGTCGTGTTCTCGTGACTGCACCAGGCGCACTCGAGTGGAGCACTTTTTTCGACGTTAGAGTGAGAGAGTGTCTCTGACGCGCTCTCGTCGTTCCCACCTAGCCCCTGACACTAATCGTAACCCCAACCCCTTACCCCAACGTAGCCGTTCCGTGGGAACGTCGAGATGGGCGGTGGGCTCCGGTGGAAGAACAACCTGGTCGACCCCGCCCGGCTGAATGGCAAGTACCGCGATGTTTTCCCGAAGCACGACCTCTTCGGTGGGCACCTCGGCGACAGGCATCCTCCCCTTCTCACCCTCTCCACTGCTCAGCTATTGTAGTCCTCTCCTCTGGCCTCACACCGGCCGGCACCTCGCTCAAAAAGACCAATGCGGCATAGGTACCCGCTGTGCTCCGATCTGCCCGACAAGGCGTGGCTACGCAAGGGCGCGACGTACCGCTACCTCGGCACGCGGCCTGCACCGTTCGGCTTCTCCGAGCCCACCTACTCCCGAAGAGATCCCCCGTTGTTTAACCAGTGGATTCACTGGTGGATCGGCGACCAACCCGACACGATCCTCACGCCGGACGCGACGCACTCGCAACTGTTTGACGCGCTATGCGCGCGCGGCTCCGACGGGGCGTGCACCTTTCCGATAGAGGTGGACCTGTCCCAGCACCTTGCTTGCCACGACGCACCGACGATTTCGTTTACCGAGTACAACCCGCACAACCAACCCGTTGTCATGAATCGCTCAAACGAGTGCGAGATCGAGGAGCCGCGCGTCGTCCGCATCGTCGACCCCTCGAGCGGCACAGTTGCGTTCTACGAGTACGAGCGGCCGGCGTGCACCGAGCTTACCTTCTTCAACGACGGGAGGCAGGTGCAGCGCGGGGACTCTTTGCTGTGCTCCGACCCGGCGACGATTGGCGCGGCCGCTTCTTGTTGCCAACATCGGCTTAATTTGGCGGGTCATGTACCGGCGTCCAACAACGGCTACGCGGAATGCCAGTTCATCGGGGAGCGCGTCAAGTACTCGACCGCCGTCGAGAGGTGTGCGACGCTCGGTCCAAACAACGACTACATTAAAGCCGACCCGCAGGTGTGCGATATAACGGTGTATAACTCCCACAAGGGCATCACTCCCGGCGAGGACTGCACCCGAGGCAATGCAAGCTGCTGCACCCCCGGCGTTGGCTGCACTTCGATCCGCGGGGTGAGCTACTGCGGCGGCAAGGCCTACGAGAACTGGCTCGGCACGCCGTGCGAGCTGCAGATACAGGTGCACCCGGCGCACGGCGAGATCTCGACGCACGCGCCCGACGTGCTTGTATTTCCGTACCAAGCGGGCGTCGGTTGCTCGGACCCGACCCAACTATACGGCCTTGACTCGGGCAACACGTTTCGCGTGCACTGGGCGGGCGGCAGCTACCCCACACCACCAGATTGCGCGGCCGCCTCCGCCTGCACAGTGCACAGCTCAGGCATTGGCGTGTTCTCGTGCGTGTGCGCGGTGCACGTCGTCACGTCCGCCGTCTTCGACGCGAGCGACGGCGTGCCGAGCGCCGCCGACGTGGAGACAGCGCTGACGATCGCCGCGCCGCCGCTCGAGATGTACGACCCCGATGAGTACCGGCTTTGCAACTCGACAGCATGCACCGCGGCGGCACCCGACGTGCTCGTGTACCTACACAACACGAGCTTCGCGACGGGCGGCTTCAACGAGCAGACGGTCTTCCGGATCGTCCTCAACGGCACGCGGCACGTCTACCTGCTCAACAGGCTGTCGACAGTAGAGGTGTCTGGCACGAATTTCTCGTTCCGCAACCCGCCGCACTTCATGCGCTGGGCAGAGCAGTCGACGCGCGACGCGCAGCACGAGACCGACGCGCTGATCGACTCGCTCGTCTACCACCAAAACACGCCGGCCCACACGGCGACGCGGCTCATACAGAAGCTGGTCACGTCCAACCCGTCGCCGCGGTACGTCAAGCGCGTCGCCGACGCATTCCACACCGGCACGTGCGCCGGCCACGTGTACTCCGGCTCGTATGGCGACCTGGGCGCGACGGTCGCGTGCGCCCTCCTCGACCGCGAGGCACGGTCGACGACGCTCGACGCCTCTCCGACACACGGCCACCTGCGCGAGCCCTTCTTGCAAGTGATGAACGTGCTGCGCTCGCTCGAGTTCGCCTCGAAGGACGGTCGGCAGGTGCAGCTCCTCAACTTGGACCAGATCGGGCAGGAGCCCTTCCGGGCGGCTTCCGTCTTCAGCTTCTACTCGCCCGAGTATCGCGCGCCTGGTGCTGTCGCGCAGTCGCGGCAGCTGTCACCGGAGGCGGAGGTGACCGCACAGGGCGACTACTACATCGCGAAGCTCAACGGCCTCTTCTCGCTCGTCGAGTACGGGCTCTCCGCGTGCAAGGGCGGCTTCGGCCTCCCGATGACTTATCACAGCGACGACCAGTGCGACCGGTACAAGGGTTCAACCTACGCGGTCGACCACGCGGGGCAGCTCTCGTGGCGCCCGAGCTCGACGCACGGCCCCGATGTGCTCGACGAGCTAGCCCTGCTGCTCACGGGGGGCAGGCTGGGTGCGAACACTCGCGCGGTCGTCCTCAGCGCTTACGAGCAGGAAGCGTCGGCGAGGGGGCACACTTCTGCGCTCAAGCTGGCTGAGAAGCTCGTGCTCGCCTCCGCCGAGTTCCACGCTACCAACGCCAACGCCCTGCCGCCGCTCCCCCCGTCGCCCCCGTCGCCCCCGTCGCTACCGCCATCAGACCCAGCACCGTCCTCGCCGCCAACAACACCGCCCACATCGCCGCAACCGCCTCTTCAGCCCGCATGGGTGCAGTCGAATCTCGGCGCTGGGAGCAATGATGAAGAGCCAGAATGTCCAGGTGGCTACGAACGGATCACCTCCGAAGAAGAGTGCCAAGAAGCTGCCGAGGCCTTGAACGGGCCTGATTGGTTCCACAGCGCTCGTTCGTGGACCGACTGGCCTCAGGCGTGCTTCATCACCCCAGGGGGGGGTGGGAGAGTCTTCTTCAACGAGATCCTGGACGAAAGTGCCATTGACTGTGACTCCGGCAGACATTGCAGAGCGGCCGACACCATCTGCAAGCGAGCGCTACCGCCACCCCCCCCATTGCCACCGGCCGCACCTTCCCCGCCGCCCGCACCGCCTCCCGGCGGCGACGATTACAAGGCAGTCATCGTGATCCAACTCTTCGGCGGCCTCGACTCGTTCAACATGCTTGTGCCGCACTCCCTCTGCGACGCGGCCGCCGGTGGATACGCAGAGTACCTCCAGGCGCGCGGAGGCCTGTTCACTGGCAGGGAAGACAGCGGCGTTGCGCTCAGGCAGGACACCCTCCAACAGATCGCCGCGGGTGCGAGCTCGAAGCCGCAGCCGTGCGACGTGATGGGGCTGCACCCGAAGCTAGTGAAGACGAAGGCGATGTACGAGAGCGGAGACGCCGCGATCTACGCCAACATCGGAGCACTCATCGAGCACCTTACGCCCGACGAGTTCTTCGGCGGGGACGGGAGGAAGGAGGTCCCCGACGCACTCTTCTCGCACAACGTGCAGGATCGCTTCATGCAGACGCTCTCCAACAACCAGTTCGAGCCGGGCATACTTGGGAAGGTAATGCGCGCGCTCGACGCCCCGGCGTGCGACGCGTATGGCAGCACGAGCGCCGGCAGCGCCCGCACGTCGTACAAGACCGGGCTGTACGCCATGCACTCGGGCGCGGCACGAGCACTCGAAGGAGGGCCCGGCCTCCCTCTCTCTATCGACTCGAGGCGAGGCGACATCCGCCGGCTTTCGGAGTACGAGCAGCTCTGGCCCCACATCGAGAATCTGACGGCCGCGCCCTCGCGCTCGGTCTTCGCCGAGACGCACTCGCGCGTGCTGGGGCGGGCGATCCAGGACGCGGAGACACTCGGCGATGCGATCGACGCGGCAGCAACGACGACGACCTTCAACGACTGCTGCGACGGCGGCAGTTGCGGCTGCTCGTTTGCGATGGCGCTGCGCACCATCGCGCGGGTCATCAAGACGCGCAGCGCGACGGGCGTGCAGCGCGCGGCCTTCTGGATGGGGACGAGGGGCCTCGACGCGCACGCGTCGATGGACTCTCCAGGCGACGGCATAACGTCGATGATCGACAACGCGGTCGACGACTTCCGCAAGGAAATGGTGGAGCAGGGGCTGTGGGACAAGGTTACAGTCATCACCCTCTCCGAGTTCGGCAGGACGATCATCGGTAACGGGCGGGGGACGACGCACGCGTGGGGCGGGAACCAATTGATGTTTGGCGGTGCGGTCAACGGCAGCCGGATCTTAGGGCAATACCCGTCGAAGCTCGGCCCCGACGGCGATCGCACGCGCAACGACCGCGGCACGATCGTCCCGACCGAGCCGTGGGAGAGTATGTGGCAGCCGATCGCGCAGTGGATGGGGGTCGCGCCGTGCGATCTGCCCAAGGTGATGCCAAACCTGCCCAACTTCCCAGACGCGGGAGAGGGGCGAGTGCTGAGGGTGGAAGATGTGTACGAGGCGGGAGCAGTGGCTTAGAGCCGTAAGCCAACAACAACAAAAGCCAGGACCCCAGTGTGCAGTGACGTGTCTCGTCTCAGAGAGTGTTAGCTTTGTTTGGCAAGGATTGCAAAAAATCTCTTGCACCGTGATCACGCGAAACGACGACGACTTAAACCATGAGAGTGTGCGAGAGGCGGTGCTGTGAGCACTGCAGGCGATCGGGCGACATGCATGGGGAGTGTTGCCTGCCCGGCCGCAGCGCGCGGCCCAAACTCCGATCGGGACTACTGCTCCGCGTCCTCAAAGCTCCCGCTCAATCGCGCCGCGATCCTCGCCGCCACCCCCGCAGCCTCGCTCTCGCCGTACTCTGCGGCCGCCGCCGCCGCCGCCGCCGCCGCCGCCGCCGCCGCCGTCGGGCCCGGGAGCTGACCGCCCGGCAGCGAGAGGCGCTTCTCCTGTGGGCAGACAAGAGACAACTCGCGGGTCAAAAGACGAGGGCTGTGTGTGGGGGGGGGGGGGACAGCGCCGCTCGTCTGGGAGGCGCGAGAGCTCGCCTCCTTCACGTTGCGGGCGAGGTCGGACAGCGTCGAGTAGGTGGCAGACGCGGCGTGCTGCGCGTCGGTCGCCACCTCGCTCCACGCGTCGTGCGCAAGCTCAGTCCACGACCCGTGCGCGGCGGCCGCCTAGTGGCAGTACACCCGGTAAGCCTCGCCTCCCTTCCAAGATCGGACCCGTATCCACGCCCCAAGGCCAAGCGACTAGCGACGCAAGGGACGTGGCGTAAATCCACACAGGGACTGGGGAGGCGGGAAAGGCGGCGGCCGGCGGCCCGCCTCGTCGCTCCGCACGGCGCCTACGCAGGAAAGTTCCGAGAAGGCTCCCATGGACAGCGGCTCTCGACACCCGCCCGCGTCTCTGCACGGAGAACTGTGCCGGCAAAAAGGAAGAGCCGTGCTTTGATTGATGATTGATGGGAAGGTGAAACACAGACCGACCAACGACTGGGACACCAACGCGGTATGGGTGGACGCAGGACGGGCGATGGCGGTCACACAGGAGCGACACACAGAACCACAAGACAAGACACTCAGCCAGCGTGGCTGCCACCCATCCTGAGCAAACTCCCCTAGTCACCCGCGGCCGGACTCCATCCGGCACGCGTCGCTGGGCACTCAGAGCCGCGTCCCCTGCTCGCCACCCCGACGCCCAAGGCGCCCGAGTCGAACGACAGGCGGCACGCGAAGACTGGTTGCAATCCCGCCGACCGCGAGGCCGCGGGATGATGTGTGCGTGGTCATGTAGTGGGTCTCGGAAGCTCCCCTCTCGGGGTAGGAGCCAGCCCCTGCTGTATGTATCTCGCCGCCAGCCATGCGAACACATCCCGCTTGTGTTCTTCCTCCGCGGGGCCTGGCTGGCGTTCTCGACTGCGGTCGATCGAGCCTGGTGCTCCTCGATCGCGTGTGCGCCGCCGCCAAATGACGCTCGTGCTCGTATATCTCTGGCTGCCAGCGTTTGCTGCCGGCTTCGCACAGCCGCACGTTCATCGTCTCCAGGGCAGCGCACACCGAGTCTCTTTCCAAAGGGTGCAACACCGCGCGTGCCTGAGCGCTGCCAGAGCGGAGGCCGATGACGAGTGGCCGCTGCTGCGCGACGTGCGACGTGCGGTGCACGACTATGCTCTGATACAGCCCGGGGACAGGATTGCCGTCGCTGTGAGCGGCGGCAAGGACTCGTCGACTCTCGCGTTCCTGCTCAAGCGGCTCAAGGAGAGGCGGCTGCTGCCCTTTGACGACTGGTCCTTCACCACAGTGCATCTCGACCAGGTCCAGCCGGGACACGACGCTCAAAGCCTCGAGGCGTGGCTCGAGGGAGAGGGCATCGACTTCCACCTCCTCCGTGAGGACACGTACTCGGTCGTGACCGAAAAGACTCGGCCGGGCGCCTCCTACTGCTCGCTCTGCTCTCGCCTGCGGCGCGGCATCCTCTACACTGCGGCCGCCGAGCTCAAGTCTAACCGGCTCGCGCTCGGGCACCACCGTGACGACGCGCTCGAGACTCTGCTGCTGAACATGGTCCACCAGGGGCAGCTCAAGGCGCTGCCAGCCCGCTACCGCGCCAGGCGCGGCATCGACGTCATCCGGCCTCTCATGTACATCGGCGAGAAGCAAATCGCCGAGTTTGCAAGCTCGCGCGGCTTCCCCATCCTGCCGTGCAACCTGTGCGGCTCCCAGCCGGACGGCACGCCCGGGCAGCGGCAGCAGATGAAGCTGCTTCTCTCGGCGCTGGACGGGCTGGGCGACGGCAAGGCGCGTGCCAACATGCTCACCGCCCTCGCCGACGTGCGGCCGACGCATCTGCTGGACCGCGACCTGCGAGAGGCGTGCGGCCTCGATCGATCGAGCGGCGCCCTGAGATACGAGCGCGGTCGCGCGGTGGCGCACGGCGAGCCGAACGAGGCTGCGGCGGAGGAGGCAACGGCGGAGGAGGAGGCGGCGGCAGAGAAGCAGGCGGCGGCGGCGGCGGCGGCGGAGGCGGGGGAGGCGGAGGCGGCGGGAGAGGCCGAGGCGGCGGCGGAGGCGGCGGCGGAGGCGGCGGAGGCGGCGGAGGCGGCGGAGGCGGCGGAGGCGGCGGAGGCGGCGGAGGCGGCGGAGGCGGCGGAGGCGGCGGAGGCGGCGGAGGCAGCGTCACCACTGCAGGGACAGCAGGGGCAGGGGCAGGGGCAGGGGACGCAGCGGGCTCCCGTCGCCGGCTCGGCAGACGCGCGGCGCTCGCGGTTCCGTGCGACGACCAGCGTCCCAATCTACTGCGCTCCGAGCGTGTCTGCCTATGAGGCGGGCGTGGCGCAGCTCGTGCGCAGCGGCGACAGCGTGCTTGAGGTGGGCTGCCAGCTCGGGCGCACCACGGCGCTGCTCGCAAACATCACGACCGCTTCCGGCTTTGTTCTGGGCGTCGACATGCACCGAGAGCTCAACGGGAAGAGCGGCAAAGCGTCGAGCTATCGCTGCCACGCGACGCCCGCCGCGGCGGGCCTCGACCCGTCCCGCGTCCATCTCGCGCTCGTCGACCCATGGGACACGCTCGCCCTCCTCTCCGCCGTCAACGCGCGCGCCATCGACGTGCTCGCCATCGACGTCAACTCGCTGCTCGGCAACGACCTCATGCTGACCGCGCTCTCGCTGGCGCGGCAGCTGAGCCGCGTGCTGCCCGGCCTCCGGTGCGTCCTGCTCAAGTCGAGAAGCGTGGCCAAGGTTGAGCGGCAGCTCGTGCTGCCCGAGGCGTTTGCTGCAGAGGAGGGGCCCGTGCCGCGGGCATGGCTGCCGAGGGTGATCCCTGCGGTCGGCGTCAAGGAGTACCGCGCCGCCGCGCGAAGCTGGCTCGACCGCCATCCCGGCCGCCAGCGCGTCCTCGAGATCGGCTGCCACGTCGGCACGTCGACTGCCCTCCTCGCCGAGGCGGTCCAAGGCCGCGGCGGCTTCGTCGCGGGCGTCGACGTGAGCCGGTCGATCGTGGAGCGAGCCACGGCGCTGCACGGCGGCCGCGCGGCGTTCGGCGTGGCGGACGCGTGGGACGCGGCGGGACTCGTGCGCGTGTGGGGCGAGCTGCAGGCGACGCACGGCGGCGACGATGAGGCGGGCGGCGGGCCGACGCTGCTGTGCCTGGACGTGGGCGGCGTGAGCAGCGCGCAGGGCGAGCTCGACGCGCTCTCGCTGGTGGAGCTGCTTAGCCGCACTTTCAGCGAGACGCTGCAGGCCGTGGTCGTCAAGAGCCGCTGCCTCAAGAGCTCTGCTCGCACGCTGAAGCCGGTCGGGTGGGCGCAGCGCCGCAAGGCCCGTGGCGGGTGTGGGGACGGCCGGGCGGCGGAAGCGGCGGCGGCGGGGGCGGCAGAGGACGCCGCGGCACCGATCGAGGCGCGCGAGGTCGCCTTGGCGAGGCATCTGCCTGGCAGCGAGGCGCCGACGCGAGAGCGGCTTCGCGACGCGCTCAAGAAACGCCACGCTGGTGTCGCGGTGGTCGTCGAGAACGGGCGCAAGGGGAATGTGGCCTCCATCGCGCGCACGGCCGAGTGCCTCGGCATCAGCTCCATCCACCTCGTCTACACGCCCGACCAGGTGGTCAGCACGAGAGGCTTTGGCGGCATGGTCGAGGAGGTGCGCTCCAGGTGGCTCAGCAAGCTGTCCAAGTCGGCCACCGACTGGCTCGAAGTTCGGCAGCATCGCAGCATCGCGGCGTGCGCGCAGGCGCTACGCGAGGACGGCTACGACGCGCTCGTCGCCACAGTCCCGGCGGATGGCGCCGTGCCGCTCTACTCCGACGGCGACGACGCGGCGTGGGCGCATCGGAACGTGGCGCTGCTCTTCGGCAGTGAGGCCGCGGGGCTGTCCGACGAGGCGCTCTCGCTCGCGGACGTCAAGGTGACGGTGCCGCAGACGGGGATGACGCAGTCGCTCAACGTGGCGGCGTGCGCGGCGATCGTGCTATCCGAGGTGTTGCGCAAGCGCGCCGGCCGCGAGGGCGACGGAGACGAGTCGGCGGGCTTGAGCGAGGGCGAGCAGCGCCGGCTGGAGGCGAAGTTGATGCCGAGCGAGGCCGCCTTGCGTATGCACAACAAGGCCACGGCGAAGGCGGCGCTGCGAAGGCGCCAGCCGGCGATGCACGTCGCTCGCGCTGGGCGCGTCCAGTGCTGCAGCAGCGGGGGTGCGGAGGAGGAGCGCGCGCAGAGGTTTGCGGCACGGCAAATCGCGAGCCAATGTATGAGTGGGTCGAATTTTCCCAACCGGCTCCTCGTTTGGCATAGGCGGCAGGATGACGCGTCGCGCCGGGCGGAGATGGAGGGGACGCCGTCGTCGATCAGCGACGAGGACATGAGGACGCTGCGCGAGTACATCGGGGTCGTCACCGAAAAGGAGGAAAAGCTGGCCGAGATGAGGGAGATGCTCCGCGTCTGGCAGGCGAGCATTGGGGTGCAGCTCGTGAGCCCCGACGACAAGATCCTCCCTGCAGCGTGGGCATTTGTCGCGCTCAACGCTCTACTCGCCGTTTATCTGGCAAAGAGTTTGCTGCTCGACCCGTTTGCACGGATGCTGACCGGCGGGAGCGGAAACTCCAATGGGTGGCCGATGGTTTGAAGACAGAAGAGAGAAGTGCCGGGGGCATTTTTTTTTAAAACTTAAAAGCAGGTGTCTGAAAAAGCAAAACGAAAACCAAATAGCGGCCGCGCACACTGCTCGGTACCCCCCCTGCACATCTAAAGTCATGGCCGACCCCCCCGCCTCTGGGGGGCGCTCCTGCTGGGGGGGGGGGTCGCTCCCGACCCCCCCAGCAGCAGAGCGCTGCTCCCCAGGCTGCTGCTGGGGGGTGCTGGCATCTCTGTACCGACAGCTGTAAGTAAGTACGGTTAGGGTTCCAGTCGTCGGCGAGGTGCTGGATATTAAATGGCTTGAGGGCGAGCCGCATGGCTTCCACCACGTCGCTGCCAGCCATTGCGGCGACGCGTCGCGGCGGACCTGACAGTTTTGCCGCGCGACGCCGACAGGCCGCGCGCGCGTTTCGAAAAAAGAAAAGTCCTTAAGCTCAGTCGATCGATTTCGACGAGCGAGCGATCCGAGGATCGAGCGGGGGACCGATAGGCTAGAGAGATCAACGCTGATCGATCAACGTCAGCCGAGACGCCCGAGTGAGTGGCTCACTATACGGCTTTTAGTGTGGTAGTACAAGATAGACTCATATGGTCACAAGTCTTTAGTCAAACGCCAGCACTCGACACGACGAAGGCGGTGTATTGGGCTCGAAGGCGCGGTGAACACAGCCGCCTCGAGCGTACCGCTAAAACACGAGCCGAGGTGGGAGGGGGCGGCGGCGGCGAAGAGGCGGGAGCCGGGGGAGAGCTGGGTCCAATGGCAATGCCCTCTGAGCTGCTGGGGGGGAGGGGGGTCGGGACCCCCCCGCCCCAGCAGCAGCGCTCTGCCGCTGCGCTGGGGCGTGGGGGGGTCAGACCCCCCCCCCCCCCGCCTGGCCGGGGGGATTGCTTTTGGTGTCCGGGTTGGGTTGGGTCCCGGGTTCTTGCGGGTCGGGGGGCTCTCCCTCCCCGGGTGGGGTTTTTGCGGTCCGGTCGTGGCGGGTCTGTTTTCGTCTGCCCCCTGGC